GGGAGGTGGTGGATTTTTTGTGTGGAGGTGTATCTATGAAGGCTACTAGCATTGGAACCGGCGGCTTGTTCAGTGATGGTGGGAATCGAAATCGAAAGACTATTGCTGTTGTTCGTGGCAACTATTTCCATGGGAGCTGCTCCGTTGGCAATAGCAATGGTTGCTGCTTCTACAATGATAGACAAAAGATGAAACAAACAGTTTCTTTAAGAGTAAATCCATTACAAGCTAAGCCAAGGCGGAAGCCAATGTCTAAGGACCACCTTCCTTCTTGATCTTCTTACTCTTTTTCATCATTTCCACCATCAAATTCTTGCCAGTGATGTTGGTCGTCTTTTCCAAGCCGACCTCAGCAAGAGTGCCTTTGACAAAAGCCCTCCAAATGACAATGACTTCCGTGTTCGTCTCGGTGGTACCATCGCAATTGTCTTTTGTGAAGTCGTATGGGACAGGCAGCATTGTGAGCTCACCATCCATGCCGCCACCGTTGAAGTGCTCATTGCTCAAGACCAGATTGAGGTGATCAAAAGCAATTGTTGTGTCCTTTGTAGGAAGCTTCTTAACGAGTGACGTGACAATGCCTTCGAAGGTCTCACACAACTTTGTCGAGTGGAACTCGTCTTTATTGGCCTTGAGGAGGCCAATCCATTGGGGAGCAGCACGGAGCCATCCTGTGGTCTTGGACGGACCTGTAATCACAATGCTTTGGTTAGCATTCTTGCCGTTTGTGACAATCTTTGCCTTCAAATGTTCGATCTCCTCAGGATGGGTTCCAGGACGGGCGATCACAATGGCCATTGCTTTCTTCGTTCCAATCCTTTCATCATTGGTAATGTCCACAATAAAGTCACCGTGTGCTGCAGCATTGTTGAGATTCGCAGGGAAGCACTCATCGCCATCATCTGTAAGAAGGCAGCGAATGAGTTGCAACATAATGAGTTAATAGATGGATGCATGCAATGATAACATGATGTGAGCAACAACGGAGTATTCGCTCACTCTTGTTGGCTTCTCCTTTCATGCGAAGGAATTTTAGGGGGCTTGCAATGTTTGTAGACGCCATTTTTGCTGAAAGATCTTCGATAGAGGACTGTTGAAGTCGTTGAGCTCAAGTTGTTTCCGTTCAAGTTGGGGAGGGGACACCACGGGGATATAAGTCGCTGGTGGAATCGATGGAATGGTTTCACTTCTAGCAGCCAAGGTTGGAGCTGAGTTGTCTTCTTGCTCTTTGTCTACCTGAATAAGGGATTCAAGAGGCACGGAGTAGTAAGGAGATTTGGCAATCCTTTGGCGTTTCTTTTCAAAGTCATCCGCACTCGATCGCTTCCATCGGTCAACTAGCCAGCGAACTCTGAAATGAAGATGAGATCGCTCGACTCCAAGATCCATGGGATAACGAGCACAAAGACCGGCAAGAGCTTGGTTGTCGTGTGACACTAATTTCGGGCCACCAAGAGGATCAAGGAGCCGTAAGAGGAGCGCCTTTTTGGGCATTGGGAGCCCCTCTTTGGGAAGATCCCAGTCGCATGCGTAGGGCGATTCCTCGACACTGAAATCGGGAGATTGTTTCTTTCTTTTTGATTGCTTGGTTGCACTCACCTTTTTTGGGTTCACTCGGCTTGGTGGAAGGCTTGGATTGTTGTGGTTCGGAATATGGATCGTCTTGAGCTGAATCAAAAAGATCGTCTCCCAAGTCTTGTCCTATCGAGGCCTTTGTTGATCGGATTCGAAGTTGCATTGTGAGCACGAGTGACAACCAAGCAATCAATAAAAAATGAAAGGATAATTGCTCTGTTTGAACCAAATCAGTTTATCATGAAAATTCCAATGCCTGGACCTAATTGTTTGAAAAAGATCGTTTCAGCCTCGATATCCTCTTAGGAAATTGCTTGGCAACAGAAGCAACAGAAAGCAACCGAATCCAACAGCAGGGTTGATTGTCAAGTTCCACATCCTAGCATGCCACCGAAAATGAGAGCAGCCGCCAAGAAAGGTAAAGGCAAGGATCCTCCTCCTCCCACGCGTCCTCCTTGCACGCTCAATGGCGCTGATTGGGGAGCAAGCGACGCAAAACACCGAATCGTACAAGATCTTCTTGATGGCATCATCCCACATGACAAAAAACTCGATATCGAAGACGTCTTCAACAAGATGTACAAAGGCCGTCCCGAGTTTGCCGATTTTCCTTGGGACTTTGAAAGGTACAAGGACCGCATTGAGCGCCTTCAAAAGGCAGTAACCAGACTCAAATGGTCCCGAGATTATGATGAGGAATGTCTTGTTGAAGCCAGAGCCAAATATCCAAGACGGACCGAGTACCCAAATGGTAAAAAGATTTGGTGGCCCGGATGCCCCGCCGACAAGGCTCTTGAAACTGACATGGCAGCTGGACTGCATAAGGAGAAGACACCCAAGGAGATGAGGGAGGGCAATCCCCTCTATCAAGAGTTCCCACAGCGTGTCTTGAGCAAGAAGATCGATCAAAAGAGGGAAGCAGTGAAGCCGTACGGAAAGAATCCAATGCAGGTGGCCGATGAAAAAGCTCAAGAGAAGGCCGCCGGGAAGTCAAAGAAGAAGAAGAATGGCGCCAAGGTCAAGAACCGTCCAGAGCTCAGCCGTGTGGGCCAAGTAGAGGCCTACAAGAGTAGTAAGTAATGCAATAGTAGCGTTAACAGCGTCCAAAGCAATGGCTTTTCGTCATCTTGATAGTGCTGAAATCGTGAGTTGAAATCGCGAGTTGAAATCGCGAGTTGAACGAGTCAGTGTGCGACAATCACGAGTCACCGCGAGTTGAATCGCAAGTCACCGCGAGCTGTGTTTTAGGGCGCGAGTTAAATCGCGAGTTGAACGAGTTCATGTGCGACATTAGTAAATTTTAGCGATTTGAACGGTTGAACCCAGTGTAAAGCCACGTAATCGGGGGACTTCCAGCCCAGGTCAGGGCAGAGCAGCTACCGGTATTACTAGTACCGGTAGCAGAATCTTATCATGAAGGCGTTTTGAATGATGTCATCCTGATGAGTGAACGTGAACGTGACTCGACTCAAAAGATCCTCTGGATCTTTCGATCTCTTTGCTTATCAAAGAGCCGAAGCCTAAGCAGCGATTCCGACATTGCTTTGAAGACAAAGACTGCTTCAGAGTTCACGTATACCACTTGCTCATTTCAAGCACTCGCTGTGCCAACGTTGACACTATTACCAGTCTTCAGGATCTTATAAAGGAAAGGACACCATGTTCAAGAAAATCAAAGGTGCTCTTGGTGGGAAAAAGAAGAAAGAGGACTCTCACACTGAAGAAGCGTCTTCACCCCCAGTGGCCTCGACCCCGCCTCCAGCAGCACAACCCGATCCAGTACCAGCGCCAGCTCCTGTTCCTCCTCCTGCTGCTGCAGCGCCTCCTGTAGAAGTACCCGTTCCCGTGGCGCCACCCCCACCCGCTGCTGTTGCCCCGCCTCCACCTGCTGCTGTTGCCCCTCCACCACCAACACCGGCTCCTGCTCCACAACCACCCAAAGCACGGATTGTCCCACCACCGGCTCCAGCACCACGTCCTCGCCCGGTCCCTCCTCCTAGAAGAGATGTGGCATCGGCGCCCATTAAATCCGCCACAGTACTGACGGCGTCCGGGATCGCGGATGATGCCAAATATTCGACCAGTGTTCCCGGTGGTATTCCAGCTCCCGACTATGCGGTCGCCAGAAGCAATTTGCCCAAGGAAACACACTTCCGAACCCCAGAACCTCTGGAGTATGTCCGTAAATTGGTCGACACGGCACCCGCTGGTTTGTTGGCCAGCATTGTGGGAGATATTCAAGATGTCGCCTATGGATACATGGATGTCGATTTTCTACGCGACCTGCAAACCAAGGATCAACAGAAAAAAGGCATGGCCATGGGCGTGGCCCAACATCACGCCTTGGGACCGTATCTGGCACAAGAAATTTCCAATTATCAGACACAAAAATATTCTCCCCGTAACGTCACATTTTATCGAAATATTGGTCCCGGATCCAAACCGAGCGAACTCATCGTGAACACCCATGCCGAATTGTTGGATGGCAACAACTCACGGACGGGAGAGTGGAGTGCCGAGTGGACCGTCAATGCCGAATCCTGGGCTCAAGCCGAAATGTCGGGACAAGTCCAAACGAGAGCATGGTGTTACGAAGACTCGACGGCACACATGTCGGCCACGCAAACGTTTGGACCCACGGTGGTGGCAGCCACCACTCAAGAAGTACCGCTCGCAAAAGTCATCATGCTGCAGATTATTCAATGGGAAAAGGAAATGCTGACGGCACTGAATGCCGTCTATGAAGACGAAATGGATGCCACGCTCAAAGCCATTCGAAGAACCTTGCCCATTACCAGGACACGGTTGAAGTGGGATCTGATTGCCCAGCGTGCTGTCAAGAAACGAGAAATGAAGGGTTAGTGCGACTCGGCTCTCCGCGGATACGGGTGTGCGCAACTTTTTGTTTGTCTCCTTTTTGTTCCTTTCATCAAAGGTTCAACGAGATCTTTTTGTCAATTTGTCCGTGTGAAGACATTGTTTCTTCTAACTGTCAATAATCCTAGAGAGTGTGTGTGTGTTATGTTTTCGAGAGAACAAGAAAAGCCAGGATGCTCGCCGGGACCATCATCAACTCATCTGGCTCTCGGAAAGGTCTCTCGTGCCCATTGAATAGTCGCTTCATCACCAGAAATTAGAGCAGCACACAAAACTTTGTCTCCAACACAGGGACACCCATTCTCATAGGCCCATTTTACTGTTTCAAAGTGCCCTTTCCTGGCTCCACTTGTACAAGTGAATCGATCCCATGGACACCCATTTGCTCGAGCCCATTTCAGCAATCCCAGTTGGCCTCCGATAGCTGCTGCAGAGCAAACCTTTGCATTTGGGCATCCATTTTCAAGGGCCCACTTCAGTAATTGCACACGCCCATGAAAGGCAGCCCAAAAAGAAGCATCTTTATACCATGGATAGTCATTTTTAGGGGCCCATTTCAGGACATCCAGGCGACCTTCTTCCGCCGCTGCCCTACAAGTTTCACCCCATGGGCATCCATTTTCATGAGCCCATTTGAGTATTCTCAGTTGTCCAGTAAAAGCAGCTCCAAAGCAAACATCTTCATTTGGGCATCCGTTTTCAAGGGTCCACTTGAGCGCTTCCAAATCCCCCGCCGCGGCAGCACCAGCAGCAGCTTCCTTATTCCATGGGCATCCATTTTTATGGGCCCATTTCAGGACATCAAAGTGTCTATACACAGCAGCAACAATACAAGCGTTTGCATCCCAAGGATACCCCTTCTGTCGAGCCCATTGTAAAACTGAAAGACTTCCTCTTCTGGCCACCAAGGTACCAACTTCATCATACCGGTCTGCATTTTCCTTTGTATCGCGCTCCCAAAACTCAGCGCAGCCCACACTCGAAAAGGCTGCAAAGTCGAGAGTGTCGGTGGGTTTGGCGGTACGCTTTCCGCTACTAGTAGTGGTACCTTCTGCCTTCACCATTGGAGGCTTTTTCTTACATGTACTAGTACAATAAGAGGTGTACAAGTCTTTCAGACGGTGATTGCCACCAGCAACAAAGACAAAGTGTCCCATTCCAAGATACGGAAAAATCTTGTTCACTCAAATGTCATCCTGTTCCAAGAAGCTCTCAGCATGGGATGATATCGCAGTATGACTGAACAGAGCAGCGGACATGACAATTGATAGGTTAGAATAGCTAGCTAGAAAAAGTGGAACTCGATGATTTCTGATGCTGTTGCTTCTAAAGTTTGTGAATGCAAAAAACCGGCGAAACTATGCATCGTGGAGATCCACGATCTGTTCCCGTGGAAACTTCGCATTTGCTCCGTCCTTTTCACGCTGAAACCAACGCCGAAATCTGCAAGAACCAGACTATGGTCATCAACGAAGACAAACTGCTGGCAAGACAAGCAAGTGAGTGGCAAGCCATTCCTCTTCCTCCCTTTGAATCAATCCCGAGAGTGAATCGAAGACGACCAAATGCGACGTCCGAAAAGGTGTTACATTTTGTAGTGCAGGCTCAAACTTCTACCATGGTACTGGCTAGTAGCTAGCTAGTAGGGACATGTCGCCAAGTAAGTTCCTTCAAGGAGCACTTTTAATCTTTTCCTGCAAACATTGCAATAGCTTTAATTTTTCGGCAGCCTCTCGCACGTCCGTTCGTTTCTGCCCATGCCATCGTCGGGCATTGGGATGCGTGTTGCTACCAGCATGCTGTTTCTCGTGATCCTCCAACGTCCGTTGCGCTTTTTGGAGTGCTTGCACACATTTCTGCACGGATGTGTCCAACTCGAACCATTTGGCGGGATGGGTCGGAGTACACAACCCGGCTAGATCGGTGCCATAATTCATGGAAAACCACGTTTCCCAACCACACTGCGGAGCCTGACTGATACAAACAATCATGGCCAACAAGGCGCGTCCATCGATGCATCTGCCTAGGTATTTGGTCAGATTGGTTCCACATTGTCGTGGTGCCATGTAGGGTTTTTTGGTTTTGTGTAGCGACGTGGCCATTTTGATTTCTTTGCAAAATTCAAACAATTCGTAGTTGATCAGACAGCCTTCTTCGTATGCCGTCATGGTTTCTCCTCTGTACAATTTGTAAAAGGCCGTGGCACCACTCCCTTGTAGATTGTCCTCTCCCGTTCCTACTTTGGAGGGTCGTTCGGCCCCGGCCAAATCGACCAAGTGAAATTGGGTTTGTCGAAAACGTGAGGCGTCGTCGTCATATTGGAGTATGGTAAAGAGAATGGCACAATGGGATCGACTGGATCCGGCATGATCGTCCTGGGTATGATTCATGTGAGTTCCCCGCGAACTCCGTCGTGCCAGGATTTTTTCAATAATCTCCCAGATATCCGTGGGAGTTGTCAGTACCACGCGTCGGTAGCCCGCTGGTTTGTTGTGGGCATCCAAACGAACGGTGTTTTGATCCGTATCATCTTGTAGCAGATCGACAATCATGGCGAGATAAAACTCCATGGCGGAAATGGCAATGACAGTGGTGGATTGTGGCAATTTGGCAAAGAGTTCCAATGTCAATCTCGGCAAAATGCCCCAGTTGGGGTCAATTGAGTTGGTGGTTGCAGATTGTTGTTTCAAGGACGGTTCAAATCCAAAAATGGTAACAGTCTTTCCAGTGCCTGTCTGACCGTAACTCAAGAGCATGGCATCATTGTGTGTCACAACTTGTTGGACCAATGCTGGCAAGACAACGTTGTAGACGTGTTCTTGTGTCGAGTCGGGAGCAAAGACTTGAGTGGGAAACCTGTATTCGTTGGATCCCTTGCTGAACATGTACTGTGTGTTCAACGTAATGGACGTGTCACTGTAGCCTGCCAGAGACTTGGCCACTCCAGGAGCATCTTGATCATGGCCGGATCCGTCAAAGACGGTGGGGCGGATGCGAACGTAGACATGGGAAGGAACTAACTTTACTGAGTCTGCTGAATCGTCTTTCTCTTCTCTATTAGATTGCTTCTTCTTCTCTATCATTCTAATAGTTCTGGAACAGCCATTAGCATGACCCTTGCCATTGGGTATTATTTGTATTTGTAGAAGTCAAGGGGTAGCAAGTACGGTACTCTAGCTATAGTAGTCTCGCTACTAGCTAGCTAGAGCCAGTGCCATGACCAGTGATGACAAAACAAAAAATGGGACGAAAGTAAAAACTTCCTTTGTTGAACTCATTTACCACGGTGAGTGGAACTCCACGATCTTTCCATCACGTGGAAAAGTTTGAAGGCGAAGATCTGGTTCTCACTTTTGACCATCGCTAGCTAGATAGTGAATTGTGGATTGGACCATGGCGGACAGTGCCAAGCTCGACGCTGCCTACAGCAGAGCAGTTCCTCACTCTATTGAAGGCCTCTACAACTTTCATGCGGCTGCGACGATCCTTCGGATTTCCCACGCTTTGGGGGAGCTGGATGCTTCCGTCATCCTCCAAAGCAAGAAAGACAACCTTCTCCAGTCCTTTTTCGACCGTTTGAATGATGTGGAACAGAGTCTAGCAGCATCCATAATGATGAGCAAGTCAGCGACTACTCCTCCATCGTATGCCATTCACGAGAATGCAAGCCGCAGAGCCCTTGTGATTGTGGTGGAAGGATTGGATGGATCCGGAAAATCTTCCTTGGTGGACCGCTTGGCTTACAGATTTAACAACAAAAAAGAACCCTCACAACATGCCGTGGCCATGGCGACACCTACCGAATCGATGAATGCCGTACGACCCGTCTTTGACAAGCGAGGTGGACCTGTGGCGCGAGCCTTTTACATGGTCAGCAATTACATTTTACAGTATGAGATTACACTATTGGAACAAGAACATCAACAAGAACCATCAAAAGGGAGATTAGTGGTAGTGGTGGATCGATGGTACACCAGCACCGTCGCGTATTCCTGTGCTTGGAAAAATACCACGGGTGCAGCTTCCTCCATTGATTCCCTTGCCTCGGGTCCACTTTTTTCCTGGCCTGTCGATTTGAGAGCCCCGGATGTGCTCTTTCTACTCCAAGTAGAAGATTCAGTCCGACGAGAGCGAGTCCAATCACGACGACAAAAGCAACAATCTACTCCAGATTCCTTCAATCCATGGGATCAACGACTGGACGACGACCCACAATTGGGGGAGCGAATCATGAGAGGGTTGGAGCGTGTGGGCGAGAGTTTGGTGACAAAAAGAGGTTCACGAGTCATTTCCTTGAATGCCAACCAGTCGCAACAACAAGTGCTGGAGGATGCCATGCAACATGTCCATCAAGTATTCTCGGAACGACCAATTCACCCACTTTCACAATTTAAGCGACAACCTCTTGCATGTTTCCAATGGGTGTCGTCCGAATTGAGTCTCTGCGATCGTACCACGGGACGGCGAGGGAAGCATGCGCCGTGGGCCTTTCAAATCGCATGGAACAACAATCCAAGAATGCATCATCATCATTCGAAAAAAATCAGCGACGCAATCATATCACCCGTACTCAAAACAGTGGGAATACACAGTGTCAACGAAACGGGCATTCTCTTTTTCATGCGCTCCCTCAAACACGACAGCACGGCTGCCTTTCGGGCTTCCATGGTGTGGAACGGAGGAGAATATCCGTATGAACAACAATGGAGAGGAGAAGGTATGATTGTGCCACTGAGCTGGTCCGAGTGCGAGTTTTTAGACACGCTGCCACCTCCCTCGTTGGTGGCCTACACCACGGCTTGTGAGGAATGCGATGAGGGAAATGACATGAAGAGTCATTTGACCAGTAAGCAATCACAGCGACTGCGAGAAAGAGCCATGGCGCTTCGCAAAACGCCACCTCCTAGTGCGCAACAAGAGACGGTCTTGCAGGGGTTCCGCTTTGTCCCGCTTCGAATGGAAGTCCTCGCGGGCGGCCCGAGCTCACCGGGTGGTCCGCTCCGGTACGAATGGAACCGTGGGTTGCCAGACAAGACTTTGACGGATCCCGATGAGGAGCAGCGAGAGGAGAAACATGGATGGAGACCCTCGGTTCCCATTTTACCGTTTCGTGCCGCCAAGCAACATCCGCAACAGAACAATCCATTATTAGTATTGAAACCAATCACCGTGGCCATTACAGGGACGCACTGCGCAGGCAAGACGACTCTGTGTGAAAAGTTGGCGGATATTCTGGATGCCGCGCTCCATTTAGAGCAGGGGGAAATTTTGCGCGACACGGATGCTCTGGTTCCAGGAGGCCATCGCCACGGGGATGGAAGTGCCTCTTCATCTTCTGCTGCGAGTTGGGACGACCGTGTATTCGAGGCCGAAGTCGCTCGTGATGGGCAAAGGTTCGACGCTGGTTATTGTCGCATTGTGGAGACGTGGCATGTCGGCAACTTGGCATGGGCATTGCTGCGACTTCAGTCATCGTCGTCGACGAGTGATGACAAGAGCAATCATCAGACCGTGCTGTGGGAAAGGACCAAAGCTGCCATTGAAAGTGAATTGTCCCGTCGCTGCGTCATGTCGGTTCACTTGAGCATTGGTCCCGATGACTCGTTGCGACGACGGCAACAGGAGGTAACCGAAGGAGTCGGAGCCAAGAGTCGTCTTCCCATGAAAAACGAATCGGAAGAGGTGGGCGAGCTTCATCAAATGTTGGACGTTGGCGTTATGGAGCACATGGAGCGGTTACAGAGAGATCTGCAAATCCCAACCTTGACAATTGACAACTCGAACGACACCGCATTGGAAGCGACAGCTCGAAGCATCATCCATTTTATCAATCAAAATCAATGGCGCAGAGCATACTAAAAAATTCTAAGCAACAGGACGAGATAATGCATCACAATTCGCGCTTAGTTTTCTATGGAACTCTAGCCAACCGGTAGCTCGTCTATATGAATATGAAACCATGCGTCAATTTGAACTGGATGCCAACAAGCGAAAAAGACAGGAATCATTACGCTGAACCCGCTTTGCTTCCCAATCTAGCCCTTGAGGTCCCGCTCTCGCTTCCAATCGTAGACACCCCCTCGGAGATGAAACATGTCATGATCAAAGCCTGCCTGAGCCAATGCCGGGTAAACTCCCACATCAAGGATGGACTCTCCCGGTATTTTGGCTCCAGTGGAACAATCCAAGAATCGCAAGTCTTCATCCAACAAAAGATAGGAATTTTGCATCGCAGAGTTATCTTCTGGGACCAGTTGTGGAAAGTGGGGTTGGTGGCGTTGGACAAAGCTTTGGAATTGGTCATCTGATACCACCAGAGGCCGGGCATCCCGCAAGGATTGTTCATTCCCCATGTTTTCCTGATCTAACAAGAGTACCTGAAAGACCTTCCATCGACAAGGGTCCAATTGCCGAACCTGATCAATCATATCTTCCTCCCAATTGTAAGAATTGACCACTGTATTCATTTTGAAGCGAATGTTGTGTTTATCGCACATTTCTCGAACTTTCAAGATTCGATCCACGTGTTGATTCTTCTTGATCTGCTTGTTGCTGTCTTTAGTGTTAATTGTTTCTCCTCTTCCAATTTTGGCATTGGTTTCATCGCAGAAGGAATCCACGCTAACTCCCAGGACATCCACATATTGGCCATAATAGGCCATCCATTCTTCACTGATGAGGCTACCATTGCTGATGATTGATACAGCCATACCCAATTCTTGGGATGCCGTCTTGCAGAGTTCTCCCAGCTGTAGTGGCAAGATAAATGGTTCTCCACCCGCAAAATTAATCTTTTCCGTCCCCGCTTGCTGCAAGAGGCGAAGGCCTTCTTGGGCTTGATCCAGTGGCAAATGATGGGACGTCTTCATGGTATGGAAACAAAACTGACAACTGTAGTTGCACTTGCGACTGATAAAGTAATTCACCGATCGAACCAGTGACGACGGGGCGACATCCATCGTGGTAGGAGGATCTTCTCCTGGGGGATCGTCGTTGCGAAACCACAGAGATGACCGTGCTGAAGGAGGCGTGGCCAAGGGAGCACGTGGTAACCATGCCAATGCAGAAGGTAGGGCATAACAGCAGATCACGACGAGCGAGTTCAGCAGGCTAATGGTGGTAACTTTGGACACAAGCGTCATTTTTGCTAAAGAGATTGATCGAATTCTAAAGATTGTGAAAAGATCTGGCCGTTTACGCTGCTCAGCCAGCCAAGCAAAAATTGATGCCATCCGTGATAGCATCTACATCCAGTCCCAGCATTCAAAAAGTACGTGAAGATCCCTTTGACACCAAAGATCCTGACGGTGTGTTGGCTATTGTATCTTGCTGATTGAAGGCAACTCAAGAGAATTGAACATGCTAGCTAGCTCGCTAGTAAACAATGGTGAGAATGAGAAATCCGGTCAGAGCTGTGTGCGTACTATGCAGTCTCCTACAATTATCCATGTTGGAGGGCTTTGAAGTTGTCCCATCGCCCGCGAGTAGATCCAACCACAACAGCAAGCCTTCGTCGCGTCACCGTCGAGATTTGTTATTGCAGTCCATCCAAGTGGTCCCCCTTTTGGGAATTACGCTACCTGCCAAAGCAGCCGCTCCCAAAGTCAAACCAGCTCTGGCGTTTGAAACTCTGTCCATTGCCGAACAAGAACTGCGTCAAGCCGCGAAAAAGTACTTGCCCACCAGCGACTATGACGGTTTACGAGACTTTTTGGCCACGAGTGAACTCAAAAACTTTGAAACCTACAGTACCGCCATTTTGTCCTCCAAGCTATTGAGTGAAGAAGACAAGAAATCCATCGGGACCATTCGGACGTATGGCGTCGGTGCAGATGTTCAGATCATGTTCGGGGGGTTGATGGCCGAATTGGACGACACGATGGTAGACGAACCCAATCGTGGAGATGTTGTCAAGTACATGACCAGAACCATTGATGCATTGAGCGAAGTATTGACCATTTGTCGCAATAGTGGGTCGTTTTAGTTGACATTTTGCTGCGTAATCAAGAACAACAGAACTACCCAATATGCACCGTAGCTTCCCTGCAATGGGAAGGATAGAAAAGAGTTGCTTGTACTAAAGTAGGTGAACAGAAAAGACTGCTTCTCTTTGTCAACAACTTGAAACTGCATAACATTTGTTTTAAGTTTAGTATCTGCACACATTTCATGGAGGGGAAGGGTATCCCCCGGGAGCCACCGTCGGCGTTGGTGTGTAATCCTCAAAAGAGGAGGAGACTGCGCTGTAGCACAAGGAACCACCTGCATTAGCACCGAGACCGTTGGCACCGACAATCTCTTGGAATGCTACACCATTGGCTCCTATCCCCACAGAGTATCCAAAGCTGACGAACAACCCCAAGTCGACGGATGCCATGAATTGCAAACCGTCCATGGCAACCTTGTTGTTCTTGCTGGTGAGATAGTAGGCCTGCCCAAACAGGAAACCAAGGTTTATCAAGGCGCCTACTCCACCCAGACAGAATCGATTGGCTTCAAACCATCTGCTAGAGCCACAGTCTGTCCCGTACTGAGTGTACGTCCCTCCAACCAAGAGAGCTGCTCCCCCCTTGAAGCCCATAAAAAATTGTTGTGAGTCGTCACTTTGTAACAAGCGATTATGGTCGTCTGAAGAAGGTGTCGATGGAGCTGTGCATCTTTGGAATATGTCTTCCAGGGCATCATGTGGCGCTCCTGGCTGATCATGAGTCATGTTATCGAAAGCATCAAAGTCTTGCACAAAAAAGCCGTCATTGCTAGCCCTCAGATAACTCATAATGTCCGGTACGGAACCCCGAAGTCGTTCGCGTGTATATTGAGGTTTCCAGTTATTTTCGGCTTTGGTTTGGTTTAGGACCCACTCCGAGTATCCTTGCAAATCAAAACTGGTCTCAAACTGCTGATATGCTTCCCTGAGACAGTTGATAGGCAAACATCGATTGCCAAGGATGCGACTAATCCTACGGCATTGCATTTCTCCACAAACATTATCGCTCCTCTCTTGGCGACCCCCGCACTTCCTCATAAATGCAACTTCCTGTGCAGCTTGGGTGTCATTTCCAAATAGCTCCTCCAGCTGAAGCCGGCGCTGTTCATGGTGTCGATCAAAGCTATTCACTGTTTCCAGAATGAGAGACTCCGTCTCCTCTGGACTTTTCGGCCATGGAAGCGCTTCTACCAAAGCTGAAAAGGAAACAAAGAGGGCAAACCAGAACAACAGCATTTTGAATTGAAAATGGTACCACTGGAGGACGTATCATACCTGGTAGATCTAAAACATTGGTTGTGTAGGCAAGGTGGTAAGAAGCAACGAAGCGCTAGCTAGGAACAGCCCAACAGGGAGAATGGCCCAACAGGGAGAATTTTGGTGAGAACCTCTGGAACACACCGGAAACAGCACCTGAATGCTCCAGACATTCTTTGTGTTTGTTGGCAGCATGTTCCAGAACAAAAAAAAAACCAAGTTTTGATTCCTCTTCCTTGTGGCCAACACTACCCTACCAGAATAGCAAATAGAGCCTCCCTACCAATACCCTGAGATAGGGGATACATAAATTGAACATGCCGGTCGCAGTGGTGGTAGTGGCTTGATGATTTTCCAGTCATGGGAGCGACGAATGGCCAGCAAAGTAGGGCAGCCATTTTCTGGCAAGATTTACTCTCACTGATAGGACGGCCCATCTATCCCCCACTACTGGCCCCATTTCACCCATCTGATTGATCCATTCCTTCAGTTAGACAAACAAACAAGATTGGAATGGCTAATGCTATTACTACTATCAGAAGAACCACCAGAATAGGTGCTGGAGTTGGTGCTGGCTCATATTGGATTTGTGGTCTGGGGCTGCCACTTTTTCTATTAACTCGAGGATCATACTAGTTTCCAATGGTACGATTCTCCCCAATGTGTCCATTAGATCAATAGACATGATTGGGTATATAGCAGAAGGGTGACACAGTCCAAAATGAAGGTGAAGCTGAGAACTTGGAAATAGTTTGGAAGAAAAATGAAGCATCTAGCTTGACATAAGATAATGCCTTCTACACGGCTGCTACCACTACAACCAGCACATGGCTGCGACAAGCAAAGAAAGTAGATAACTCTACATGTTTAGCTTGGTGGTGTAGGTGCCATATTGGTTGAGTTCATCCTGTAGTCCTCTAGCATTGTTTTTCAGGCCAACTTTGTGGCTTGTTTGAACCAAAGCAATAAATCATGTCACGGATACTCTTAAAATCAAGGTGTTTAGAATCAATTTATCATATTTTGGAATTTTATTCTAAATTTATGACACTTCCAGTAAAATTTTGATTCGTGTACAGGCTGGTTTTCTTGTGTTGCGCACATGAGTTCTAGCTGGTATAAACAGAGAGAATTTCTCTCTGTTGGGCTGTTCCTAGCTAGCAAGAAAGATTTTGTGAGCAATTCTCTGTTGTCGCATCGCTGAATTCGCCGCTGTTAAGTATCCACCACTGCAAGATTTAGTGGAGGTCACCTTCCTACGGGTACTATTTTAATAGCTACAGTTGCAATTTAAAAATTTTATTCCGGAAACATACATGTAATGTACCGAGCTAGGTACGGTAGTCTACCGTAGCGTATCCGGCCCGTACAGTACCTACCGGTAGCAAGGTAGTCAGCTTGCAGCTGGAAGCATTGGTACAGTAGTACCATCATCAGTTGAGGCGCACTACACGCCTACCTCACCAATAGGATAACTCTTTTGTGAGTGCTGTACCAATACTGGAAGAGCTACTGGATGCATCCACAGCCACACTGAGTCGAGTCATTATCTTACACGCAGACCAATCTCAGTATCTTTCATGTCTTATAGCCACTAGCAGCTATTGTTACATACCCTTCTACAAAACATGCCCTCAGACAGTGAGGGGCCACCACCAAAGCCCAAGAAGGCAATGGTGCAAGCCAAAATTGATGAAACCACAGATGTTGTGGTCACGGAGGCATCCCAAGATGAGGTTGTTGAGGACTTGGATGTAGAAGGTGGTGTGGAAGATAGTGGGTACTAGCTAGCTGCCCTCACTACCCACATAATAGTAGTAGCAGCTTAGGATTTGAGACATTGGTACTCGTAGCTTATCTTACTATTTTGGGAAATCTGGGTGTCTGGATTATCTGAACATTGCTGTAAATTTGAGCCACTGTATTCAAAAATCACTTATCTTAAGCGTGAGTGAGGAATAAACAATGTTATAAGCAAGTCTCGGACGCCGGTAGAGTCCGCGCCTTGCGGTGTCATTGGCATTGGCGTGACATAAGGATCTGTTCCAACACTGCCAGGAAACGCGTTACTATTTTAATAGTAGGCAACTGCATGCTGGTTCATAAAAATAAAAAAGTGCTCGAGTAAAAGATGATCCGGTCCCTTGTAGTTTGTTCTTTGTTGATCATGGCCGCATCTGGCCAGGAGGTTACGCCGGAGATGTGCTTTCAGGGATTTGGTGGGTGAGTTGCTGGATTTTCTATTTGCCTTCTGTTACCAATATCCTTATGTATCTCTCACTCACTCGTTCTCGACTACACAAGCCTCCAATTTCGGTTCGATGCATACGATCGATACAATGAGTTCTTTCGCAACGACAGTTCTTTGATTAGTATCACCGCCGGCATCTACACTGGTCCCGAAAACATTGAGGAGTATGTTCGCTTTGGTGGCACTACCAATCCCATGGTGGGGTTGGCCGACGGGTATCATCAGCCTGGTCTACGGGGCATCGTCAACGGTGAGTTTGTGGTTCTATCGAGAAATTGAAGAGCATGCAGTCTGATGATACAACAAAAGCTAACTGCGCGCTCGTATTCACGTGTCGACTCCCCGATTCTATTTAACCAGGCACATGCGAGATTCTTCTCTTCACCAACAGCTGGTACGAATTTTTGCCAGGCGCTGCTCGTGGAGGCAAGATGAACGCCACTTTGATGAGTCTCATTGAATATGATGCCATTGAGAATTACATGAAGAATTTCATTCTCTACTTGCCACCCGCATGGATGGATGGGATCTTTGCTCAATATGCAGGGACCGATAGGACTCGCGACTTTGTTTGCAGGACGATGCGAGACAGCTGTCCCGACGTGTGGGAAGCCAATGAAGAAGTCTTTAGTCAAGCTACTGTGGCGATGGAGGGCCGCGCTGCCGACCAAGATTTGATCCCTTGCAAGTCTCTCCTCCGTGATATGCCACATGTCGAAGGAGCGAACCTTTACGTCGATGGGGACTCCCAAGGTTGTAGGGCACTCCATAGCGTCTACGCGAGCACAAATAGCGATCACTGTCCTCACATGAGCTTCGTGCCCATAAAAGATGTCAACGGAAAAATCAAGTGCCAAGAGTCGGCGGGGCTTTCGACTTCCGATTATTTCACTCAGGAGGACCTCGACAAGTTCGATGCCTTTGTTCAGGAGAGCAGCTTTCGAGTCGACTATCCCTCTGGCGCTCGTCTTTTTGATATGGAGGAAATGACAGAGGAAGAGATTCTAGGATTTTATGGTGACGTTGCGTTAGGCGAGATTGAGACTGAGATTGAGGTAGATGCTTCCTCCGCGAAGATTGGCATGAGTGGTTTTGCCTTGGCCGTTTTGGTTTCTTTTCTCTTGTGAAGCTGAGGGAGTTGCGTGGTTTTTGTCTCATTTTGGAGAATAAATTGCTTCTCTTGAGGCAACAGAATAATGCCCCACTGTACTGTACCGGTTAACTACAGGTACAGGTATGTTTGATGAAAGAGGATTGAAATTGAAAGAGGATTGTTACGATTAGTGGAGGCAGGGAAGAGCACATATTGAAGCATCCCGAATCTTCGAAAGATTTGGAGGTGTCTTTTGTAGCTTGGTAAATTGTTAGATGTTGTCTTTCTAAGTAACATCAAATATTGAGTTGCCTGGCCTGGCCTTGCAAGCAATGGGAGAATTAGGACAGGCAAGTGATTGTCTTGTTTTCCTATCCTGCCAGGCTACTAGCTAGTATGCTGAACCGACTGTTTCCGTCAACCACCAACATGAGCATTTCCCATATCTCCCGCAAAAGCATGACGAACATCCATGATTTCTGTAACCAACCAGCAGTGCTGATTGGGAGGACGTCGTTGTTGCTCCAAGCGAATCACCATGTGAGTGACCGGAGGTTCCGGTGCAATACCACTTCGTTCCATACCCGACAAGTGCTGCACAGCCAGCACGGGTGCTCCATGAATCTGTACTGGGAAGGACGCCAATGCACCACGAAGCGGAGCCTTGGCAGGAGTATACGTACAGTCGCCAATGCAGACTTGCGCGGCTCCTATAAAGGGTTGCAAGGCAGGAGAGTACAGACCGAATTCCACAAAGGACTCCAACGTTTTACCTCCCCGTCTGGCCGTGGCCACTTCTCGACATCCATAAGTCAAAAAGGGAAAGCATCGTCTCAATCCTTGCAGTGGAGTAGGATAGTCGACCCATTGAAGACTTCGAATGCAGGTCACGGCGACAGCTTCCGCGCTCAGGTCGGGACTGGGCTCTGTGGGAGCATTCAACAGCGTCAATTCGGCTTGCCACCAATCCGTCTCGACGCGATCTTCCCCAATATCGTTATTGTCGTATTCCTGATCCTCATAGTTCGTATAGTAGAGTTTGCCCGGTGCTCTTAGCCTAGTAGTGGGGTGTCCATTACTCGATCGTTGCGTTTTCTTCGGAAGCAAGTTGAAGGCACCGGATGAACATCCTTGCCTCCTCCAATCCAACGTAAATCCGATCGATTTCTGAGTTAGGCATGACAGAAGCAGGCTCCAACAGAAGAGCTTTCGTTGTTGGACGGGTGCCATGGTCGGTGAGGATGCTCTGAAGAACAAAATGTTTCTGTTGAAGATTTCTCCAAAGATCCAAATCTTTTTAGCATGCATGCGACCAGTAGTGCTCGTGATTCGATTGATTCCTTTGTTATTTCTAAAGGAAACAGCAGCAAAAACGGCCTGAGAGCCTGAGAGGCCGAGCTGATAACTCTGTCTTACCTCACCACGCCCGAAGTGAAGAATACTCCCTTTAGGATGTATCGGTAGTCAACCGGAGACAGCCGGTAGTCGATCTGTTTGTTCCGTATTCATCAATATCCGTGTCGAAGAAGTGTCTTGCCATCATATCAGGAAGCTCTAAAGCGCGAGCCCTTTGCGGGGGCTCGGCTTCAACGAGAAACACCGAGCCAGATGTCGGCACCACAGGATTCTCTCGGTGTCAGTGTCTATCACTTGGAAAGCGTCTTTATGAAGGATGCTGTTTGTTCTTCCAAAGACACAAAAGGGATTCTTCTTGCGAGAGTGTCCAAAATCTACGACATTGAGAATTTGGAAGGCCCCCCAGGTGTGATCCGAAAGAATAGTGCCTCAACCATTTGCCCCTTGGATGGGAATCAAGGTGCTGCCTATGTCCACTGCATTGAAGGAGAGGATCATGTCGGAGATGCAACCCATATGCTCAGCTATTCATGGAATTACAGCATTGGTGATATTGTGGATACTCTCACAGACTTCTGCCTACAGAACAAACTCAACCCCAAGAGAACTTATATTTGGATTTGCTGCCTTTGTGTGAATCAACACAGGGTAGTGGAGAATTCTGCCCTACCAAGATCTGGCATGCTGGTCCAAAATCAAGTTGACTTCTTTCCCATCCTTGGAGAAAGAGTCCAAACGATTGGGCACTTGCTAGCAATGATGGCACCCTGGAACGCACCAGTTAATCTTACCAGAATCTGGTGTATTTTCGAAATCTTCACTGCATGCACCACTGACAGGTGCAAGGTAGACATTGTGATGTCACCAAAAGAGAAGCAATCGTTTGCCCAGGATGTAATCAACAATGGAAAAGGCATCAATGCACTCTATGAGTTGCTAGGCAACACCAGGGTTGAAAATGCCAAAGCATCAGTTGAGAGTGACAGGCTGGCCATCCTGCGCAAGGTGGAGTCAGGTGTGGGATACCAAAAACTCAACAATAAAGTCAATGATTTGTTGCGTGGTTGGATGCAGGGTGTCCTTACCCAGTTGGTGGAAAATAGAGAAAACACAAACAATGTTGATTATGTGATTTTTTGCAACCGAATTGGGATGATTCTTTCTGAGAACGGAGAGCATGAAGCAGCCATGAAACTCCACAAATGTGCTCTGGAAATATGTGATACTGTGTTTGGTGAGCAACATGAAGAAACTGCAGCCACATACAACAATATTGGTTTGGTGCTACTTGCCAGAGGTGACTATGAAGGGGCACTGTCAAAGTACAAGGAAGCTCTTTCCATTGAAGTATTTGTATTGGGCAAGGATCATCCAAAGGTCGCAAATACATACAACAATATTGGATCAGTGTTGCAGGACATGGGTAACTATAAAGGTGCTTTGTCCATGTTCAGGAAAGCTCTTCTGAATCAACAACAGTCAGGATTGGACAGGAATCAATGCCCTCGCTTAGCGACCACCTACAGCAATATCGGTTCTGTTCTGGAGGACCTAGGTGACTATGCAGGTGCTTTGTCAAAGTACAACCAAGCTCTTGCCATTCAAGTAGCTGTACTGGGTACAAATCATCCCAAGACCGCAAGCATCTACAACATTATTGGTTCTGTTCTTGATGAGATGGGGGATTATGAAGGTGCTCTAGCAAGGCACAAGGAAGCCCTGGCTATTCGATTACAAGTTTTGGGCACGAAGCACCCTGATACAGCAGACTCCTACAACAATTATGGGCTTGCACTTCAAGAGATTGGTGACTATGAAGGTGCTTTGTCCATGTACCTGGCAGCACAGACAATCAATGTTCATGTATTTGGAAAGGTCCATCCTTGTGTGGCAACCACTTACAGCAATATTGGTTCTGTTCTAGATGATATGGGAGACTACGAAGGTGCTTTGTCCAGGTATCAGGAAGCTCTTGCCATTCGAGAGTCAGCATTGGGAAAGAACCATCCCTCAGTGGCAACAATCTACAATAACATTGGTGCTTTGCTGTATGCAAAGGGTGAATATGAAGAAGCCCTGCTGAAATTCAAAGAGTGCCTTCCGATTTGGGAACCTGTGTTGGGACTCAATCACCCGTATACACAAACTTGCCTGAAATGGATTGTGACTGTCAAGACAGCTTTAGAAACAACAGCACATGATCAGCGGAGCTGGTAGAGAGTTCAACTTGACAATCTGAGGAGTTAAGTCATATTGCCTCTGCTTCATTTCCAAATGCTGTCGCCAGCATCCAAGTTGAACAAATGATCGAATTGGGTATTCACATGATTCTCTACTGACAAACAAATACTTTGCTAGACTATCCAACTTTCAACTTTTGATACCAACAGTAGGTTTTGTTTCATTTATCACGACAGTTGCTATACCGGCTACTTGAGAAGGTGCCCTGAAGCAGCGAACGGACGGACGTTAGATGGCTCCGTGTTCTTCGAGGTCCCTGCAGGTCAACTCCAATCCCTCCGCAACGGAAACCTTTGGTTCATAGCCCAGGTCCTTCCGAGCCCGGTCAATGCTGAAGTAATGATGCGTACACATGTACTTGATCGCAAAGGGAGTGAATCCATCCTCGTCGTTGATTGTACCTCCTCGCACATAGGTATCAAACCACTCTCTAGCATACGCCAACGCCAAAACAGGTTGATGGGGCAGCGGCGTGTCGGACATTGGTGGCAGATCCAACCGCTTGAGAGCGGATCGGACAAAGTCCCAAAATGGCATGGGCTCGCCGTTGGTGATAAAGTATGCCTGGCCAGAAATGGGCGATGTATTTTTGAGCTTTTCATCAGCCAAGAGACAGGCATCAACAAGATTTTGCACGTAGGTATAGTCGCTCATCCAGTCGCCTCGGCCAATTTGGAATTTGAGCTTTCCTTCTTTGGCGTTCTTGATGACCGCTGGTATGAATCGAACATCGCCAGGACCAAAAATGACATGTGGTCGCAGTGATATCGTAGCCAATCCACCCGGTTCCGAACTAGCCGCAGCCAGAACTTCCTTCTCTGCTTCAATCTTGCTGAGCACGTAGGGAGCCCTGGATGTTGTTGCATATGGCAGCGACTCGTCTCCATTTTCAATGTCTTTCCCTTGGTAGACTACCCCTCCACTGGATACGTAAACCAGTTTCTTCACATCCTTGTCTTCCTGGCAGGCTTGAATAAGGTTTTGGGTGCCTCCCAGATTGACCTTAAATACAAAATCTTGTTGGTTCTGCTTCGTGTGAACGACACTGGCCACATGAAAGACGGTGGTAGCACCAGTGACACCTTTTTTCACAGCTTCATGATTTGTAATGTCCGTTTTTAAAAATTCAACCTTGCCATGGAGGTCGTCGTCAGGCTGTGGCACTGTAATGTCCAGTACTCGGACCTTGTCTCCCCGAGCAACAAGCGATTGAACCAGTCTTCTTCCAACAAAACCCGTTCCTCCGGTAACAACTGAAAGCGTCATTGTCTTGTTCCAAGTCCAGTTCTATCTTGTTTTGTACCGGTAGTGTGACACAGAGGAGAGAGTCTACGAAAATGAAGCCCGACAGCAGCAGTTGTGTAAGAGGATGAGTTCTAAAAGTGATGGATTGGTTGACCAGCACAATCACACCAAGCCGATCCGATAAAAGATCCCAATCAAGTCGTGTGATTTCGTTGCGCCTTTGAACTTGCCTGGACCGTGGATGCATTTGAGCGTGGTTCAGGTAATTTTCGGAGTAAAATCGAACATTCGAATATTCGATCGTTTGTCCTTTTCGGTTGGATTTCGCGCTCTCATCACAAGCGGCCAGGAACGTTCTCTTGGTTCCGTGGATCCAATGCTGCGTGTGGACGGATTCGTGTAGCCCACTTTTTGCGCGTGCTGAAGCTTGTGGGCTTGTGTTGTGCTCGAGTCTCCAGATGATGATAGCCAGCCAGCCGGCATGGAAGGTTTACAGTGAGCACTGGCAACCTGGCAATACAGTGGTACAGTAAAGGTACTGGTACCAGGTCGCAACCTCAAAGCTTCTCGTTTGTCCTTCGGGCTATCTCTTGGAGCGGGATTTCGACGAGTTTTGAAAAGTTTTCGGCCAAACTGTGCCTTTGGACCTGCATGGTTTGCTAAAGGTGGGACATGGGACCGCTACGGTAGTTCCTGATCCTGGGAACAGACCTGTGTGTACAGCTATAGACACTAGTACCAGTAGTCGCCGAAATGACTCGTCACTCGTCAATTTTGGGATAATGAAATTGGACCTTGCCAGCCAGCTAGAGCCTTTGCAAAGCTTTAGGATCTGGTTGTAGGGTTGGTGTGGCCCAGGGTAGCGGTAGGCAAAGCGAGTAAGACACGGGATGAAACCATGGAGCAAGCAAGCTCCAAACTATGGAAGCAGCAAACTACGTACGGTTTCTTGCAGTGCTTTATAGTATTTGTTACATCCACTTCCTATCAATATTTATCATTACCACTGGGTGGACTCCAGGTGGGGACACATAGAGTTTCGTACATCACAGAAGGACCATGTTGCCATCTCCCACAAAATTGCATTTACTTACAGTAGCCGCCATTGTTGATGCGATGCGATATTTTTATGAATGACTTGAGTCTGAGCCAATTCGACGCAGTTCGGCAATTTCCAAGGTGAGCCCCGGCCCAAACCCGAAACAGACTGCTGTCGGTTTGATCTCAGTTGGGTGTTCCCGGGCTTCTTTCATCAGATCTTCTAGCACAAAGAATATAGTCCCACTCGACATATTACCGTGTCGTTTTAGAACGTCGTAGGAGCGTCCGAGCGTCTCCTTGGTTATCCCCAGGCCCAGTTTATCCGAACAGAAAAAGTCCAGGATACCCTTGCCACCTGGGTGTACACACCACTCGATCTCGGTTGCCGACTCTGAACAGACGCTTCTTAGGTACGACTTCATATTCCAGTAGAGATGCATGCCGAATTTCAAGCCGATGCCTTTGTCGAGGTACATGTCATAGTTGAAGCTACTGGGGCGCCATGTCATCAGCTCTCGTGTTTCCGTGCCAAGTGTCTTTGTTTGTTGATCGGTGATCGCCCAGTCTCCTGGTCTACCAGCACCAATAATGGCAGCAGCTCCACCATCGGCAAAGAAACAGTTGCCGATTGACTTTGAGCGGTTGTCGCTAAGGGAGATGTGGGCATAGCATGTTTCGGCGCAGACAACAAGCACCGTGGCGGTAGGATCCGCTTCGCAGAAAGCCTTTGCGACGGACATTCCTGTGAATCCACCAAAGCAGCCCATGTAGTTGATACCAAGTCGTCGTCGGACACCCGTAAGTTTCAGAGCGTCCACAACATCCAGCTCCACACCAGGAGCCTTGAAGCCAGTGCAGGAGTGAAAGATGACATGAGTGATGTCTTCTTTCCTGCCTCCCCAATTGGCAATCGCCTTTGTGGAAGCCTCAATGGCCATTTTGGGGGCCCATTTCGCCCAATAATCACGACGTTCATCGACCCCAGGGCTTCCCTTTCGAGCGTACATGCCCGTGGGCATTTCTCCTCGGGCGAGTGCTTCCAGCGACGGTGGAGGGTCTCCGAATTTTCGCGTATCGACTCCACTGGTCTTGTGAACGCGCCTCATAAAGGGGATAAAGTCGTCATTGACAATGTCAGAGTTGTTTTCCTGGAACCACTGCAATGCTGCTTCCACGTGCTCGATGGTCCACTCATGAGGAGGGTTGGAAGTGCCAACGGCCAGAATGGCAGGCTTGCCAATCAATCCACTATCCCCGAGCGCTGGCACAAGCTTTCGTTTCTTCTTTGGAGCCTTGTCATCAATCAGAGTCTTGTAGGAGACGATACCAACCAACAAGAGCAGGGCCATCTGCATGCTGGCCGACACGGGTGGTGACTCTGTGATAATGGGAGTGCCGTAGACTCTGGATGGTTCGACGGTGCCATTGGACTCTGCCGGTGAGTTGACATGGTGTTTCTTGTAGGATTTTTCGCCAGTGGGGGTAGCAAAGACAAAATTCATGACGTGATCGTCCATAAACGGCAACCTTAAAAAGGTAGGGATTCCAATCCATTCACCATACGATGCCGAGCGAAAACTTTGGATGTTGTAGTGCTTGCCTTCTTCGGTAGCACGTATCATCTGGTGCAACTCGGTTTGAGAATAGGATCGCAAAATGGACACGGTAGCATCGTGCCAGAGACCAGCAATGATGATAGGGACGGCAGGCGCGAGCAGTACCTTGATGGGGTTTCTCATTAAGATGCCCGGGATGAGTTTGATGAGTTGCTTGAGACCAAGGGCACCATTGTAGAGGGCTCCTCCTGCATTGGGGCTGTGATCGACAATGAGAACTGCAGCATTGGCGCGGGTAGCATCTTCCAGAATCTGATGTACAAGGTTTGGTTCAAAGTGATGAAGAGACAAATGAATCATCCGAATTTCTTTGCCATCCAATCCCCAAGTGGGAACGATATCTTCCAAAGCAGCTTGAGCTTCTGTGGCATCGACCGAAGAAGCCACGTAACTAAATGTACCACATTCAAAGGAGAAATCCTCGTGCATGGTGCGAAGCGCATTCTTTTCCTTGCGAAGAGCCTCCCAAGTCTTTGTCTTGGGTTGAATATCAGTGAGTAAGGTTCGTGTACACAGATCCGCCTCTTGGAAAATGTCATGCCACACAGCTGGTGCATAGCCAGAACCGGCTGCCAACTCGAGGACATCTCCGCCATCCCAATTGGACAGGTGCTTTACTACAGCTGTCGACACCTCCTTCAAATAACCATGGTCTTTCGCATGCTGCCAGTGGCTACCCACCACATCCTGAGCATCTGATGCCAGCCAATCGGGTGAGAACCCATCCGTACAGAGCTCAAACCAAGTACAGGCTCTACCGCCCGGGAAAATCGCCGTAGCATACCCGATCCATAGCAAGCAGATCCCAGCTCCAAGGGCCGTTAATGGACCAGAAGGATTGGTAGTTTGAGCCGTACTAGGCGTTTGAGGAGTAGAGCAACACACCATCTTGAGCAGTACAAACGTCAAAAGTCGATCAAAAATCAAGAAAGCTTGGATAATGCGCGTACAAGGTGACAAGATACGCTTATTCGCGGATCCAATTCTGCAATTGTGAGAAGAAGAAGGATGCTTTGCTTGCTCCTTGCTTGCTAGCTACCCTTGTCCTGTCCAGCAAAACAAAAACACCAGTCAAGTGTTTGATGGTGTTGGTTGGAGCTGCGAAGTCACTATCCTGCTTCTTGATTTATGCTCTTCGCGGACTGGTTTGGTTTGCACAGGCAACAACTATGGCACATGCGCTGCTGCAGGTGAGAAGCGGTCGTAGGACGAAGAATGCTGTCTGTCTGACGCCAAACAAATGCTAACTTCTATCTTTTACCTGGACTTTGGCAGCAGCCGAACCGGGATTTTTGCCACCAACCTCCAAAAACCGACGTGTAAGTGAAAAATCGAGAATTGGCCAGTCACATAGGACCGACAGCATTGGGAAACATGGTAATTAGGCGGCCGACATAGCTAAACAACGAGCCTGGACTGCTTAATCACCGAAAATTGTTGCGAGAGATTTAGTCGTAATAAATCTTCCTCGTTTTTGGGAGCGTGCTGCGTGCATTCTTCGTTCCCATAACTGCATTAGGCGAATACCATTTCAAAAATCCTGCAAAATCGGCATAATACCCTCTGTGGCCACCCAGGTCCCCAGTTCTTTAATAGGCCCGCCAAACCTTAATGCCTCTGTGTCACCGTCCTTCTGTATCCCCTCCAAAGTCAAGCTTCACTTTCACACCAAATATGGTTGCTCGTCATCTCCCCTGTGTTCCTACCAGTACTTACAAGGTGGATTGTAATACCGTGGACTTATTTTGAGGATGACGGAGCGCATTCTTTCTTTTCCATGAAGGATTGTACGGTAGTACTAACGTGTACTGGTAGGTAGTACCTGTGAAAAATCTGTGACCTGATGAGGTGTTCCCATGCAGCTGGCAGTTTGAAATCATTCGACTCATCCGACTCGATCTGTGATTTGTCGCTTCTCACTTTTGCTCCGGGAAGCCTGAGATACCGGAACCAAATTCTCATTATCCATCATCTTTCCTCTTGCTGATCTTCTCGTGTGGATATCCATTGAGATAAAGAGAGAGATCCAAGTTGGTTAGTTGTGTTCTCATGCCATTATCTTCATCATCATCATGTTGCTACTGTTGATATCCCTCTTTTTCGTGGCGCCCCTGGTGGCGGTGGTCGCCCTCCTGTGGTCCGAAGGGATCATGCTACCCTTTGAAAAGAAAAAAGCAGAGTATCCTCCCTTCATGCCCAGCATCAAGTACCCAAACCAAATCGCCGGATGGATCGAAACCATTGTCGCCTTGATTGGGACCCGAGCCCCCTTTGTCGTCTACGAAGGCATGAAGAAGCTACCCCAAGGCTACCCCTGGATTGTCACTGGCAAGTTCCCCAACAAGTCTCCCAGTGGATGTGGCTACGCCGTGGCAGATGTTCACATTGCCAAGGAAATCTTGACATCCCCTCACTCGCGTAAATCCGTCATGTACGACGGAGTCGACTTTTTGACCTGTGGGTTTCAGAATATCTTTACGGCCAATGGTCATCGCTGGAGACATGCTCGCAAGTTTGTGGCACCCGCCTTTTCCTCCAACCACATCAAGCGCATGAACCGAATCTGTGCCGAGCATTTGGAACACTTTATCAATACCACTCTGGACAAGTACGCCGAAGAAGGAAAAGCATTTGATGTCAGCGAGGAAATGGTCACTTTGACCTTGGCCATCATCTCCGAAGCGGCCTTTGAATATCCCATGTCGCGAAAGGAGATGCGAGAGTTTACACATAATCTGGAAGTGGCCGCCAAGACTTTTGTCATTATGAATCCACTGCATCAAAAGTTCCCGTAAGTGATGTAGCATGGGAGGTTGTGCTCTCACCAACTGAATGAGTTCTCACTTACTTGCTTACTTTCCACATTATCATCATCAGTTGGCTCTTCCCTGCCGTCTGGAGGGCCCGCCATGCCGCAAAGAACTTGCAAGCCTTGGCCTACCGTATGATGGACAACTATAGAGCAGTGCACAAGGACAAGAAGGAGCATGAGTTCAGGGATGACACCATCATTAGCCGTATCGTCAACAATCCCAACTACACCTGTGACGACGAACGGGCTGCTGGTAAGTAGGAATCGGAACATGAAACTGCAACCTTGTCCATTTATGCTCACACCCCTGCTTGTTATCAAAAAGACATTGCCATTTTCATGGCTGCCGGACACGATACGACTGCCTACAGCATTTCCTGGAGTCTCATTGAGATCTTTCGAACTCGTCCCGCCGAGTTGACCGAGTTCCGAAACAAGATTGCCGAAATGCCCGACCGTGACGATTGGAGACGAGTTACAGAACTCCAGTACATGATCAAGGAGGCCATGCGGGTGTACCCGGCCCTAGCCATGGGAACGGTCCGTGATGTGGGAGTGGAAATCACCTACCAGCATGGCAAAGAGAAGGTGGTTCTGCCCAAGGATTCCATTTACTTTATCAATCTATTCCCCATGTTCCGAAACCCAGAGTACTACGATGATCCGGATGAATACCGTCCTTCTCGATGGGCCAATCCAAAGACCGAAGAGGCACACATTCCCTTCTCCATTGGATCTAGAAACTGCATTGGGCAGACACTCGCCAATGCCGAGCTCTCCACGGTTCTCTCGGTGCTCTGTGCTCGCTACGACTTTGAATTGGTGCAAGAGGGTTACCCGGAATTCTTTTCCACATTGACGCCCTGCAAGTACATGATGAAGCCAACAAAATTGTTTTAGACGAGACAGGGAGGCAAGCTGCAATACTGTACACAGGATGAATGGTTAGACTATACGGTAGATGTATGTGTGGGAGTGCGCCAAGAGGCTTTGTAGGAGAAACGCATGACGGACCATAGTGAAGTGTTTGTGTTTAGTCTAACTTATTACATTTAGGGATAGCTCTACCCGAGTTAGTTTGCGAAGTGATTCCTATTACGGTTGTACCTTGTTCCAAAGTTGTAGCCCGCCTTAAAAGGATTGATTCGACCCAAAAAAATGATGTCGTGGACCTTTTTGTCGTGGTTTCCGTCCTTGGTGCTCGAAAGATCCTTCCGCAGCTTTCTCCGACGTCTCGGAACATTTTCAATTCCAACTAGACTAGACTAGATCTAACGCTGTGGATTCGATTGCCATGACCTGAGTGAGCGAAGTGCGTCATGCATTTCAACAACGCATCTCAGGTACAGTCAGGTCATCCTTCTGGGCGCTGGCAAAAAGTTCGCGGCTTTCTCTCCCATTTTGGTACTGGGCTGCAACGCTTTTTCCCAGGACCACTGAATGCCTTCAGTTGCAAACAAGCAAGTCATCTCTTTGGTCCCCGTAGTTTTGCCTTGATAGGTACCAATAAGGTACCGGTATAATAGCCAGGACTGATGGGGTTCATGTACCAACAAGAGATAATCGGAGGGACTTGCCACCACCGAGCAGCAAGCAGCTCAGTCCTTAGCAGCCACCGCAGCCTAACCAGCACCCTCGCAAGCGGGTGTGCAATGATCGTGGACGCGAAGCGTGGAAAAGCGGATGGATAGTGCCAATGACACGTTGATTGGGTTTGCCTCCCATCCTTGACCCAATACACTCAAGAGGAAGGGTACGTACCAGTACATCGGTACAAATAAACATGTTTTGGTTGTGAGCAATCCATATTTAAATATGGGACACTATGATATATGCTTAGAATATACCGGTACCAGTACCGGTACTGTCCAGGCGGACCATAGCCAAAGGTCACGAACTAACAATGGTGCCTTTTCTCCTTGATATTCATCGAGTATGTCTCTTCATTCTTCTCTTTCACTCTTGTCTTGGTTTCTTCGCGGTGGGAGGGGCTGATGAAGCGACAGCAGCACATCGCTTGTCACCCGAACAGACAGGAAGCTTGGCATCCAAATAATCAGAGAGACTTTTCATTGTTGACGACCCATTGCAAACCAGAGACAGGCAATCGACTCGTAGGCACGAACGCCCCGCTCGTTCCAATGAGAGTTGTTGATCCATAAGTTCCTGCCACTGCTTTTTCGATTCTCCTCCATTCTCGATCCATAGGAGGACAGTAGACGAGCTAGTGGAACCATCTCGTCGGCGCACACAGAGGGCTTCCTTCAATGCAATGCCACCACGTCTCGTGACGACAAAGCCTGCTTCCGTCAGGCTGGTTGCTAAGAATCGCTCGGCCCATGACCGAACGCAAGAGGGAGATGGCAGATCAACCAGAACATCGGAAGGAGTACTGCATACATCAGAGCAAGCCTCCAAAATCTTGATTCTGATGTCATTCTTGTTGGTGAGCTCTGACTTGTCAAAGCTGTGGACCAACACCATCCGTTCTTTTGCTCTTGACACCGCAACACACCATTTCTTCTTATCAGCTTCAGCGACTTCGGGTGATATTTTCTGTCTCTGCCCACCTTCCTTCGCGTCGTCTTTAGCATCACTACGTAACGATTCAACTGGGTCGTCGCCTGCATTCGCTTCATCAGTTTCTTGTTCACACTTGAAATGGGCCACAAGGCGATCCGCAAGCACTTGCTTGTCTTTGAATCGCTCCTGGATCTTCTCGGTGAGCTCTCCCTTGTTCCCGGATTTCTTTAAGCCATTTTCTTCACAGAAACACTTGAGCTCATTGACCTTCATCTTACTCAAGGCAACGACAGGATCCTGCGGCACTTTGTTGGGCTTCTTCCTGCCTTTTCCTTTCTTCGTTTCAACGCCACCATAGACAAGGCTGATAAAGACAACATCACGTTCATCGCCTTGGCATTGCTGGGGAACTGCAAAAAGGATACGGTGTCGCTTGATCAGCTTGCTTGGAACGTTCTTCTCTCGCGCCAATTCATCCAACTGATTCTCCACCTTGCGCTTGATATCATCACGTTGCTTGTCTCCACCCATAGAAATAATTCCAATCGTATGGACATCCGAATCAGGCAAGGACAATGACCCTTCTACCTCCTTGCGCACTTCTTTCGCAATGAAGTCACTCTCTTGCGCGTTTGTCTTCGAGGCGGCGTCTCTGCTGCCATCAACCCGAACAAGCTCCACTTCCTTCATGTTGCTCGATTCACGTAGGGGGTCGAGTCGACCTCGATAGAACACTGTATTGCAGACTTGAATGATAGAGGGCCTGCATCGGAAGTGTTCGTAGAGACGAACCACATAGTGGCTGCGGCTGAAAGTGTTTGTGAAAAGGTCGAAAAAGCTCTGTGCAGGGAGAAGCCGCTTCTTTGTAGCTCGCTTTAGAGCCGGCAAGTGGTGCATCAGTTCATTAATTCGAGCTGCAGACAATCCACATTCGCTTGGACTGGTTTGCTGGTTGTCGCCCACGATCAGGAGCTGTTTGCAGCGAGCTGCTGCCAACAGTGCAGTGTATTCAGATTGAGAGGCTTCATCGAATACTCCAAAACCAAAGGTATGCTCAGCGGACAAGTACTTGCTAACCTGGTCGACGGTCATCACCAAGAAGGGCATGGATCCTGCAGCTTCTTGGAAGGCTGTTACGAACTGTTTGTGGAGCTGGTGCTTCTTTGTGCTTTCCTGTTTCTTCTTCTTCTTTATATCGGTCGGCTCACTTTCTTTCGGAGAAGATGAGATGGCGGTAGCTTTGATCTTTTCAAGGTCCGTTTGCAAATCAAGGAGCTTGCTTCTTGCGTCACCATCAAGTACGCGATTAAGAGCATCAATCACCATGTACATCACCAGCTCTTCTTCCGGCTTCTGAATCTCGCTGGCAATGTTGTTACGAACATCTTGCACGGCTTGACTATCAGTGGGCCCAGCTATGCATGTCACAAGGGCCGCCTTCTCTCCCCCCGACAATTGGCTCACGGCCTCTCGAAGATCCTTTCCCTTTTCGAGCACTCCCGCGAAATCTGGATTGTATCCATCATGGACAAAGACATTCTTTGCATCCAACCCAAGATTAAGGAGAGGGTCAACGGATGCCTTTCTGAACTCAAGGGAAGACTGAACGCGTCGCCATTCGTCTTCAGTTGTAGGCTTGTTGCCAGCAATGGTGATAGCATCGACAAGGTCTTCATCCGATGCCGAAGACGAATCAGGCCATTGGAACTCTCCAGGGCAGTCATCGTGTTGAGGACTATATGAAGTCTTCTCCCGGACAAGCTGGAGCATTTCATCTGTAACGATGGCAATGCCACCAAATGACACAGCCTCCGCACTCCTTTCACAAAGCTCATCCCAGCCCTCATGGATGCGGCCCCATTCGATGTCTTGAGTTCCCTGCAATTCGATTGTCGCCAGGCATGCAAAACATTGTGGGAAGGTTGAGACCAGGTCAAGGACTTGTTTGATCTGTGCGCTATCGAGCAGCGACATCTTCTCAGAGTGCGCTCCCTCAATATTGAGGTTGTTGTTTGACATCTCGTCCTTCTTTACTGCAAGCTTTTGTTTGAGCTCCTGGCAGCAACCACGGGCGCAGTTGAAATTAGACGATGCGAAATAGGTAAACAAACAAATTCAAAAGTTTCGAGAACACACCTTAACTTTGTTGGTGTACTCATCTTTGTTTTCGTCGGCATCCTTAAGCAACTCGTTCAAATCTTCAACAGCCTCACGCAGGCCATCAAGATCGCCTTCCTTAAGACCGGCTACGTTCATGCACAAAGCTCGAATCTTGAGCGGTACTTTGTCCACAAAAGCTTTGAGGGCTGCTTCGTTGGTAGAACAGAACAAAACCTTGCTTCCTTGAGCTAGAGCTGTTGCGCACTCACTAACAATCGAATGAGTCTTGCCGCATCCTGGCGGCCCAGGAACCACAACGGCGGGCCTGTTTTCTTTCCGCAACTTTCGATTGACCTCCTCCTGTCTTGCTGATGTTGGCAAAGGGTGCACCGAGATCCTGTTCTTGCGGGCTAAGGAAGCACCCTCCAACGAGTCAGCCCCTTCCATCAGTCCCAAGATAGGCAACGTCATCTGGATCTTTCTTTGCTGCAGCGCGTTCTCGAGGTTGCGCGCATCTCTTGAAAACAAAGTCCGCATCTGGTTCCTCGAATACAAGCAAAACTCATGGGATAAGATCAGTGCTTCCGCGGGAAAGTGCCCGCCCTTACATTCGTCCTTACTGAAACTGTTGAAGCGCAAACCCAGAGCAGCTTCAACCAACTGGCTATAAGAGCTAGGTGTACCAGGGATGATGGATTGTGCAACCGTGTCTTTGGCTAGACGGTATAGGTTGTCGAGAGCTTCGTCATCATGGCGCCCATCCGACGTGAGAGCAGCAACAACTTCTCGGTTGACCTTAACGTGCTCGCCACACCTTGGGCGAATAAGGATTGCTTTTGACTTATTGTCCAGCACCACATCCACGACGACTTCAAACAGCGGACCATCGACAATTTGAGTTGTTTCATCCTTTGGGTATGCCAAACTAGCGCGAACGATTCCAAGACACAACTCCTTGCCATTGTCTTTACAGCTTTGAAGTGCCCTGTGCGTTTTCATGCACAGAGTTTCTGCCTGGTGCATCAATACATCCATCATGAACCTGCTAGTGGCTGGGCGCTTTGTCGGGGAAGGAATGTCATCAACTGTGAGATGGCCAAGCAGGTCTTCGATGTTTTTGACTTCTTTGTATTTCATCTTCATCAGATAGTTGAGATCCTGGCGCACTTGGGTGTGGTCTGGGATCCGCTTTGGCACTTGACTGCGTTTCCAAGCAAAGCTGAACAAGAAGGGTGGAGCGGAGCCCTCTTTGACGCCATTGGCGACTTCATAGAAGGAGAAAAGTGTAGTTGCTTCGGACTTGCCCAATTTCATGGAGATTTCTTGAACCGTCTTCATCGATTGCTCCAGTTGAGAAGACGTGAGCAGCACACCCATGGCGTCGTCATTGTCGTCGTCCTTGGTCTCGAACATGAAAGGGTTGCAACTTTCATTGTCATCGCTGGTTTTCGTGAAGATGTCGCGTGACGAACGTGTCTCTTCTGCTTGCATAATGTAGCGCAACGTATCGATCCACTTTCGTCTTGCCTGAGGATACTTCTCTTCCAAGGCTTCCACAGCAGCTTGATAGCGTTGTGAGTCAGTCTTGTCCTCAATCTCATTAGGCTTCGAATCGTTGGTATCGGTCATGAATTCTGCGCTTGCTACAGGGCTCACAGAGGCAGGCGCATTGGAAAGTTTCGTTGCCGCTGTTCGTGAACACGTTTCCACAGGGGAAGACACATTGGATATAATCGAATCTTCCTGAGACACAGCAGCATGACTGTTGTCAAATGCCACATCCGATGGAACCTGATTGTCCGACATGAGTGTAATGAGTTGTTGCCAAAAGATGATACCAAAGTCCGAGATGATACCAAAGTCCTGGTTCAAATTCAGGACAGTTTCTGTCGAGACTCCCACTCGAGTTGTGAGTTAAAGGAAGAGGAGGGATGCGTCTACACGAGGCGGAGGAGTACTGCATCCATCGGAACTCCTCCGTTGGACCTATACTACCTAAAGCAAGCTCTCACATTCGTTCAAGGGATTCGAGCGTTCCGCGACGCGTAACGCAGTCTCCAGTCTGCGTTTCAACATCCCGTCGGATAGACAACACGGTGACTGGGCTTCAACGTCCACGATTCCTTCGTTGGAGTACTTTCGCTCTCCTATGCTCTCTTGGAGGCCAGCCCACAGCCGGTTGTTGCTTAAACCTAACCTCTACTGGTTGTTCGTACGATTTGTTTGTTGCCCAGGTTCAATTCCATCGTGGTTTTGGCACCTTTACAGAATTTAAAATGGTTCTGAGCGAGGAAAAGACCTGGTGTAAAGGGGGTATCCCTATCCCTTGAAGCGCGCATATAAACGACTGCAGGGTAAAACGAAAATCAGGATTTAACAAGTGCACCCGATAGTTGAAGTTTCTTCGAAAGTGACCGTAAGTCCACCAATCTGATGATCTATTGAGTTCCTTACCGGTACTGCTTGGTAAGTGGCCATTAAATGGTACGGTCTCCTCTTTGGTCCAAGACAATGGTCAATAAAACATATACTACTACTAGTAGTAGCTATAGTACTGAGCACTTAGAACTTATTAGAACTATCTGAGGAGCTGATGTTGTGAGCTCGACAGTCGAGCTTGAGAGTTGAGAGTCGAGCCCCTGAGGTCTCAGGCCTCAGGATAGCAAGCATCCAATGCTGAAGTACAGCGCACAACCCCGCATTCTAACAACAAAGAAATCAATACCGGTAGAGTGATGAATGGCGAAAGAAAGAAGAAGGGGATGGAAGAGGAAGCGGAAGGCACCGACTCTCAAGAGCCCCTCCATGAACCTAACGAGGTTGAAGACGAGGACGGCTTTCTCCTTGAGGTTGTGGCTGCTCGGATTGACTTGCATAGGAGATTGGATACCCAAGCGGCATGCAAAGATACCGGTACAGATTTCCAAGGAGGGACACCGGTATCCACCGATGAGAAACAATCTGAAGCACTCAGCGGCCCCTGCGTTTTGATGGGCAAGACGCTACCTGGCCCGAATCCTTCCGGAAACTCCGGGAGAGCACCTGTGTCAGAACCAGGTGCATACGCCGAAGGGGGTATCAACTGCGAAGGCACACCGAATGTAGGATCCACTAGGTCGACTGACAATAACTTGGAAGATGGGGCGATGACGACAAGTGCTATCTGTGATACCGGCTTGGAGTCAGTCTCAATTGTCGTCCGAGCCGACCCTGTGGATGAAGCGGATCTGCCTCATGCTGTGGAATGGACAACAGAGATGGCAAACAACGAGCAGAACGGCAGCTGCTTCAAATTGTTTGTTTGTGGAGCCTTGTTAGTGATGGTAGCAGTAGTAGTATTGGCCCTTTCACAAGCGGACAATGGCAACCCGGCATCCCTTGATGCTGCTGGCACAGGGAGCCAATCCAAGGAACCTACAATGTCCCCGATCGAGCAAACGACATACAGTCCATCAATGATTCCAAGCGAGCTGTTACTTCTGGACCTTCCAGACTATACAATTGAGGCAATCTTGGCGGACGCCCATTCCCCTCAAGCAAGGGCTTTTCATTGGCTGCGCCAAGATCCATACCTGACAAACTACACACAGAATCGACGACATGTACGCATGGGATTAGCTGCATTCTACTACTCCACTGGCGGGGATGACAGTTGGATCGAAAACGACAAGTGGCTGGTGTACGACGAACACGAGTGTGACTGGCTATCACATTTGCGAAAGATGCAGTTTTGGGGAGGGCCTGGGGATCCATGTGATCAACAGCGAAACTTTCAAGAACTGGTCCTTTCCTCGAATGGCTTGGCTGGAAGCATCCCCGAAGAGATTGCCTTGCTCTCTAGCCACATCGGCACCATAGGCCTTATTGATGAACCTATGCTTCAGGGGCCGTTGCCATCGACGCTGGGCCTCCTCTCCAACTTGTCAAATGGGTTGAGATTGGACAATGTTGCCATAACCGGATTCATTCCAAGCGAACTTGGCCTGATGACCTCCACCAGGCATCTGACGTTCCGGAATACTTTGCTACAAGGAGCTCTTCCATCTGAGATTGGGCTATTCAATGCACCGTTTCAATTCTTTGGACGTGGACGTCGTGTTGGTACAACAATTGACTTGAGTCAAAACAAGCACCTTTCCAGTAGGCTTCCATCTGAAATTGGACTTGTCTCCAACCTCGTTTGGCTCAACATTGTGGGAAGCAAGATTGAACCTCCCCTGGACTTTCCAACCGAGATTGGCTTGTTAGAACATCTCAGTCATATGGTCATTGAATCAACGTCGTATGAAGGAACACTTCCAACGGAACTTGGAGACTTGCAAAGCTTGGAAGTCCTCGAGATGAAAGATAACAGTTTCTATGGATCTGTGCCCTCGGAACTAGGTCACCTTCAAGGGTTAGAGGTCTTGTCTCTCTCCTACAATCGTTTGAGCTCCACTCTTCCAACAACAATGGAGCATCTTGGTACTCTACGGTCTTTGAAACTGGACGGAAACCCAAGCTTGAGCGGGTCGCTCCCTGATTCGTTGTTCACGAACCTTGTCAACCTCACCACGTTGCTAATAGAGGGGACGAGGCTCACTGGAAGCATACCCGAGGCCAGCTGTGTACGCCTTCTAGACTACAACATTGAATGCCCATTGGTTTGCGGCTGCGAATGCTCTTGTTCTACTCCATAGTACGAAGCTCGAGACTCTTCTATTATTAAAATGAGGCCTTGCAGAGAATTACTTCGTACATCATATCACGTGCATATATACAGGTGCTGCGTGCTCCGTGTTGCAAAGCGTGGTCGGAAAACGTGGAAAACAGGATTGTACTTTATCCATGTCTGAAAATAGTATGCCGCCAAGCCAAGCGCCAATAATTGTCAGAGCTGGATGCCAAATTAGTCCTGGCATCTTTGGCCGTGCGAAGGTTCCTTCTCCGGCAACCTTGCCGAGGAATGCAGAGATCGACGGGTTTCCAATGACTCAATCAAAAGCAGAGAGAAGAAAGAAAGAAGGCAATCCTCTGCAAGTGACACAGGTTACCCCTTTCGGTCACTTCGCAATAATTTCAGAATTGACACAATGACGAAAACCGTCGTCACCCCCACCGCCCTCACGACGGCGGTGCAGCCCTTGGGGGGGCACATGAGATTCGAGTTGACAGATGAAGAGCGAGAGGAAATCATTGCTCTAAAGAAAGCCTGTGAGTCCGAGGGCATCAAGTACCGTTCCATTTTCGAACTTGCAAAGTACTGCCTTGTTGTGAGGTCCCAGGTGGACAGCAATGATCCCAAGGCGGCTGAAAAGCGTACAGCACTTGCTCTCAAGCGCATGAAGAAACGACGCACTTGGGAGGCGAATCATGGCATGAGCAAGATTGACAACATGGAGGCCATAAAGGAAATTGAAAAGGACGCGCCAGGTTTCTTTGTGGTTCGATACGCCAAGGATATGGAAGGTCACCCAGTTGTGGGCCACCATCACGCCTACTCGCCATACAAGTACATGTTTACTGGCAAGCAAAACCTTGGAAAGTACCTCGCTGCCGAACAATACAGACTAGACTTGGGTGCTGCAGATATGGAAGAAGCTCGAACAGGTATTGCTGTTGTCAGCGTCGCTGATGAAATGTGGGGCTTGACCGGGGCCTACAGGTATCTGCGAGTCATTACGAAAGCCAAGGACAATTGCAATGACATGCATCCCAATCGAATCCGTCGCGTCTATTCCGAAATCCCAGTCTTTGGCCATCATCTTGTGGAAACCTGCAAAGCGATGTTGCCCAAGAAGATTGCCGATAGGATTGTCATTCACTCATCCGTGGCTCAACTGGAGGCGAAGCTTGTCAAGGCGGTGGAAGGTGAGGATCCCACCGACATTGTTGCCTGGTGTGAACGAAAGGAGGCGATCTACCAAGAGTCCGTTAGAAGGGTCGGTTTGTGAACGCGTTAGCTGGATGGTGGTACCAGTAGTCTAGTTTAGATCAATCCTGAGCCGAGCCAAAAGGCCACTTTAGTTAGATCGAATAAGTCTGTACTCTGGCTTTCTCCTACTAGTAGCTGTCTCGTTGTGATGAACTACAGTTGGAATAAACTAGCTATTTTTACGTGCTGGAAGGTACAACAAAACCAAACCACAGTGCCCCCTCTACCATGCGGAAAGTCAGTAGATTCTGTCCTCATCTACAATACAGTAACATGTATGTCCTCACATAGTCTGCCTTTCCAAGCTTGTCACTTTCACAGTTTGCTCGTCCCCGACAGAGTCGATGGCGTATTCTCCGCAGCAAAGCATAGACGAGCTCCTAGAGAGTACCGTCCGTTCTTCGTCGCTTGTCGTGGCTGCTTCGGACAAAAGAGAACTTGGAGAAGTTAGAGTCGTTCGTAGCTGATCTTGGATCCTTCGAATCTGCTCGTTCTGATACGGCGATAGTAAGGCGGGAATGTCGTTCCTTGATTCATACTGTCTTGCTGCTGCGTGCGTATTGGTGGCGACAGGAGACGTCTCCGCGCCACTTGCACTAGCAGGAGACTCGATCAAACGCACAGGAGAAGAAGTTTCCAACGCTGAATTTGAAGAAGACTCAGGTTCTTGACAATGCATCGGTGATTCTTCGCACTGAGCAGGGGTCGATGTTTCCGATGCTGTTGTTGGAGACGTTGGCTGCTCACTTTGGTAGTAGCTCGATAGCGATTCTCCGGTATTCACAGGAGACGCTTCCAATGCTGGTCTTGGAGACGTCGCCGGCTGGTCATCGTATTTGGAGAGGCAATCGGCATTTGCGGGCGACGATAGGTCAGATCCTGTTCTTGGGGAGGACGTCAGTGTCGTGTGCGGTGTTGCCGGCACGAAAGTCAAAGCATGGTCAACAGGACCCACGAGAGATAGCAACACTGGCAAGAGTACCACTCCCACGGCACACCCCAGGGATACCATGGCCACGAACGAAATGAAAACAGTCTAGAGATATTGTTTACAGTGCAAGTTAGCAACCAAAAGAAACAACCAAAGATGTCGAGAATATGAGGCCATGCACCTACCATAAAAACTTTGGTAGAGGAGAACACCAATGGCATAGTTCCCAACAAAGTGGTGAAACCGCCCAACCTGGTACAAAGAGGAGGGCAGGGAAGGGTCAGAATGATGTCGATTTCAATGTGGGAAGATGAGGCACCAGCGGAGCCTTCAACTTACAAGATGGAAGACCCCATTGTCTCCAGCATTTCTTTCACTCTAGCGTGCCTTGTTGTGCCTCTGGTCTCGTAATATCTAAGAAGCATATGCATCAGGAAATCCACCAACAAACCAATGGCCATGACAATGATAAAGTAGGTGATGCTATTGATCTTGATTCCACAGTACTGCATTGTACCTGTTGAAAAGTGGACATATCTGTTAGGATCCGTCGTGTGTTTGCAGATCACACGTTTCATCGTAGTTCACTCACCCAAAAGGTCGAAATAAAGCATTATGATCAACGGGGTGACAAAGAGCACCGCAGACCAATGCGGAATGAGGACAAAGCCTACCACGCTGACAATGACTACGCATGAGACTGTGGTGAAGATCAGTTCTTCAACAGTGATGTCGTACAACTCCCAGAAGAAGTACAAGTCGTCAAAAGAAAAGAAAGACAGGTCGCCGCCGCCCTGGTTTATGGGCTGTGACAAAGTGATGTCTCTCAGTGTATTCAACATTTCCATCTGTTCCTTCACATCGTGCAAGTCAATTTTGCGCAAGTACAAGAAAGTACGCGATGCTGTGATGTTGCCACTCTCGTCTCGAGCAATGTCTTGGGCATACACCTGACGAACTTGGGGTATTTGAAGCGCCAAGTCGATTTGGGTATTGAAGCTGAGATCAGCAATGCTCTCGCTCAGTCCAAACTCCCGGGCTTCATCACTCGCAGCTAGATCTGGGAAGTCGCGAAGCCAGAAGAAAGCGGGAGGCTCTCCAATTTCGGGTAGCGAAGCCAAGTCATCCACGTACTGAAGCATTTGTTGTTGGATGTAAGGATCCGACTGATCCACGTTTCTTCCCAAATGAATACAATGGTCCGATGTGAGAGGCGAAAATGGCTCTAAGAAATAGGTTCGTCGACAACGACTCTGTACTCACCGGAAGTAAACTCCAATAAACCGCTGGATGCTTGTGTATTGTGAGAAGGATTCCATGAACGACGTCAGGAAACTATCTTTTGGTACATATTCCCCCACATTGAACTCTTGATAGAGTTGGGTTGTCGAGTAGACACAGCCAGCAAAGTAAACTGCAAACGCCACAATCACAATGGCTTTCACGTATGGCTTCAAGAGTTGATCTGCATACCAGCTCATTAAGCGTTCCATGAAGTTGCGATCCAGCTGTTTGCGTTCAGCTGGCGCTTGGGAACACGACGCCGCTAAAGAGGTCTGCTCCGTCGAATCTGACTTTTTGACGGGTTTGCTCGCCTCCAAGTCCTTAGCAATCGAATTGCTGTCTGGGGAGTAGGCGTTGCGATCGTATTTTGCATCTAGCTTGACCTCATACTGGCCGGACTTGGCTGACTCCGAATCTGGCCCAATAGGACTTTTTGTCCGCGAGCCGCGATCTGATTCTGCCTTGGAAAGACTCGTCTCGTGGTTCTCCCGGTCTTCTCCATTTTCATCAATGGCATGACATTCGGATCCTCGATAATTGTCTGGGTAGTTGATCAAGCTGGCAGCGTCCTCCGCTTCGTCGTCGTCCTCGACAATGACCCAGAAACAAAAGTCCTTGCGATTTGCTTGTACTCGTCGTTCGTCCAGAGTGAGCCATGCAATGAAGAAGGTGATCTGGTACAGAAAGTCCACTCCAATGGTAGTGGCAGCATATAAGCACAACCATCGTACCACTGGAATGGTGGTGACAGTACCCACCAGAAAGCAGAGTAAAGTTGTAATTGTAGTCATGGAAATCGACAATCCAACTTCATCTAGTGTTTCCTCAATGATTCGGATCGTCTCCGCCTCTGGATCCCTCTCTTGTGTAGATTGCATGGCTTCTTCTGCCGCTTCACGCCGTCGGCGAAAATAGGCTCCCGTGATGATGAACGTGTCATCCAGACTGCACACACACACACCATGCAGGGTGAGATGACTATGATACACAATTCCACTTGTCTGTCTGTCGTACAGTACCCCTCCTACTACTACTACTTACCCGACGCCGACCACCACAAACGGAATCATGGATCCGGCAGATGTCAATGGCACCCCGAACAGAAACATGAGCCCATAGCCCGTGATCAAACTGAGTCCAATGGTCCCGAAACTGAAGAGCCCCAACAACCCTCGACTCTGGACCATGTCCTTTCGTCTGTAAAAGACGGCACACGTAAAGGACACCATGACGGCAATCAACAAGAGTACCAATGGCATATCTTGGTCGATGGCTCTCTGGAACTCCTGCTCGTATGCATTGAGGGTAAAAAACTCGAGACGAGCGACGGGTGGAAAGCTAACCTCCGCCGATGCTTCGAAGGATTCTATCACGGCTGCATCCTCTTCCAACCAGAGTTCCTTGAGTTTGAGCAATCGTTCGAGAATCTGCTGTTCCAACTGGTCCGTGGCAGGACCTAGATCGGGTATATCAATCTTGAACACGAGACTCTCTGCATCGGAAACGACGAGACGTTGAACTACGCCGCCATCCTCCTCTCTTGTAACAGATTTGAAGTTGTAGTTTCCCAGGATGGCTTCATGAAACACCGGAGTGCCATCCGGATAATTGGTGTTGGAAATGTACTCGCGGACTGTATGTACACGAGCAGAGAATAAAATGCATGAGTGGGTGTGTGGTCCTCGATCCCATCGCACACATGCCGGTGTTCAGTTCTGACTGATAACTGATAACAAACTTACCATACTCATCTTGTTCTTGTTCGGGCACATACGTCAACTGATTGTGAAATCGAGCGTACTTGTGTTCCCAGAATTGTGTCGGACTCGAGATACGACAGGTGGGTTGATCGGTTTTCAAGTCTCGAAATTGTTGACTTTGCGAGCAAACCGCACGATAACTGGGTGCCGTCAGAATGGCATCCATCGATATGAACGCGCGTCGCATGGCCTTGGCAGTGACGACATTGTGGCTATCGCTGTGTATGGCCATCCAAAAGATTCGGAGGGTTTCAAATCCACTTTCGGGAGTGTTGTTGATCCAATCGCTGTGCAAATCGGGTAAACTGCCTTGTGGCGTCAGAAAGGCATTCTGATCCAACTCGATGCGAAAGTTGGTGAGAAAGCCCAGGATGCAAATGGAAAAGCCCAGTATGGTGAGTGAGACAATGCATCGTTTGGGATTCCGGGCCGCCAAGGAACCCAGTGCTACGACGGATCGACGAATGGCCTTGTGGAGAATACCTTCCGTCACATGAGTCCAAGGAGGACAGACCACCTTTTTGCGTGTGGAGGTCGTCATGCCCACAATTCGAAGAGAGGGTGTTGCCAACTCGGTATCTCCACAGTCCAGACTCTTCTCCAGGAGTGGAGGCGACGGAGTGACAGTCGTATCTTCATGGACAGGTCTAGTGGAAAGATCATCCTCCTGATCGTCGGAGGAAGGACTCTCTGGTGAAGCATCATCATCTAATGGTACATCATCTAATGGTACATCTTCCATGGTGGATTGTGGTGTTTCTGGAGAAGATTCAGGGGGATACGGCACCATGGCCACCACCCGGAGGCCGCTTCCGGTTCCTTCGTCATCTTGGCTACTCATTGCGAACAATCAGGAACAGGGGTTCACCTTCACAGCGACTATGGATCTCCTCCGGATGAGGGAATTGATTGCCAGCTCAATGGGTGATAGGTCAAGTTGGAGCACCTCTGTACTATACCGGTACGGTACTTCTCGAGTTTGCTACACCAACAGCTTTCATTCAAATGATGAGTTTTGCTTGCTACCTTTCTTGGATATGGTCTAATCTTCTGTTCTTGATGACGCTCTTTCACTTGGTAGTTGTTTGAGGTCGCGCTACTTGTATGGCATAAATGTCAACTTGCGCTTCTCACTTCCCATCAGAGAGGGAACACAAAATGAGATGCCGGGAGCGTGTGCTCCCCACGAGAATCTTGCTTCTAATCGCTGGGGTGACTGTGAAAACCCGGGATTCAAGGCTTTGCCAAACACTATTTCAAATGTTTGACGAGACAAATTTGGCCAACATTTCTTATTCAAACGAGGCAAACAATGCCGTTGTTAGACAATGGCTTCGACGGTGTGGCCCATTTATTTGTCTAACTAACAAAGACTTCATACATGTCCAGGTTTCACTGTCTGACAGCTGTCTGACAGAGCTCTGACAAGAATGAGGACTCGAATCAGAATTGTGGTTCAGTCCCCAAGTCCAATTGCTATTTATTTTGGCGTTAGGCTTGGTTGGTACGTATCGGTAGCTTTCGGAGGCTATTTGTTCTCAAGAGAATCAATAGGTTTCTAGATCGAGGGTCCACGGGAGATACCGTACTGTACCGTGAGAGCGTAGATTGAATTGCAGTCTTCGTGTAATCGATATTGCTGCACAGAGCCAGCTGCCAGCCTTGAGGAAGCAAAAACAGCTACCGTACAGATAGATTTTGAAGACTAGCTACAAGCTAGCTACCATTTGGTACACGAGGACCACTGCCATCATCCCTTCACCATGGTGGCTTTGCCAAGCGACCTGCACTCTTCAATCCAACAGTCAAACTGTCAGCCTAACCCCATCTCTAAACTTTTACCCCGTATCTTTTTCCTTTCGAACCGTTTGGATCCACCCACACTCCTTGCCTTCCATCTTCCACTTCGTCTTTCATCACCCACCACTCTCTGGCTAAAGTATTGCCTTCTACACTGTACTCTCCATCCCATTGTCTCCTTCTCTGAAGCGTTCCTCAAAGATGCTGCGAAAGTTCATCTCATCATCTTCGTCGTCGCATGGACGGCTGTCGACAAGCTTGTGTCGAACCCAGCTTCTTCCGAAAAGAGTTGTCGCGGCCCACCACCAAAAAATGATGTCCACGGCAACCTCTGGGTTTGAAAAAGTAGGCGTCATTGGATTGGGTCTCATGGGTCATGGAATCTGTCAAGTTGCTGCTGTCTCGGGGATTCATTCCAAAGGAATCGTGGCGTATGAGCCAGAACAGAAATTCCTCGATTCCGGCAAAGCCAGAATTGAACAGTCACTGGCCAAATTGGTGTCCAAAGGAAAGATTGCCCAGGAAAATGCTGACAGTGCTCTCCACAATATTACCTTTACCACGGACATGCATGAGCTTGCGGATACTGACATGATTGTGGAGGCCGTGATTGAGAAGATGGATCTGAAGAAGGAAATCTATACAAGCCTTGGAAAAGTTTGTGAGGAAAAGACCATTTTTGCCTCCAATACTTCTGGCCTCTCCATCACCGAAATGGCACAATTCTCAGGAAGAACTGATAGATTCTTGGGTGTCCACTTTTTCAATCCAGTACAATTGATGAAGTTGGTAGAAGTCATCAAGGCAGAAGAAACAGATCAAGCTGTCTTTGACAAATGCTATGCGTGGGTTTCTGAAATTGGAAAAGTACCAGTGTCTTGTGGTGACACACCTGGATTTATTGTCAACCGTCTGTTGGTGCCAAGCTTTATTCAATCCATGCTCATGGTGGACCGAGGTGATGCCACAGTGAAAGATATTGACTTGTCGATGCAACTGGGTGCGGGCCATCCCATGGGTCCTCTCCATTTGGCAGATTATATTGGATTGGATACAATTCTCAGTGTGATGAAAAGTTGGAAGGAGGGATGGCCGGAGGAACCCGCCTTTGTGATTCCACAATGCATCCAAGACAAGGTTGCTGCAGGGCATTTTGGACGGAAAGCAGGAAAGGGTTTCTACCATTGGGATGGCGACAAACGTGGGGATCCTCTGGAGTGATCACGTTTAGTAGTGAGATGCTTAAAAAACAAATTCAGTAGTTAACGGAGGCTGCGTGCTTTCTGAGGCGACAAACGGTACGTGGCAAAGTTGTCCTTTTGGAACTGTGTGGCTGGCCAGCAGACCTCGATATCCTCAGGATTTCCGCGGAGAAAGCATTTGTAGGATGATTGCATGCATAGTCAGTATGGCTAGCTAGCGAGATTGATCACGTTTTAGAAACTAGGCTAAGTCCGTAGAGACGTTGTTACACGTAGAATTTCTGAGACTGGCCCTGCCGTACGGTAACGTTGTAATAGGTTAGACTGACTGTGATGAATTCCTTTTTCTATAAACTGGTCTTTGGTTTATTCACTATGCCATTCTCCATCTCTAGCAACTGCAACCTTTTTCTGTGGGGCCATTCATTAGGAGGACCTGATGATTGGTGATTGTAGCTGTAGTAGATATTCTACCATTCTACCTCGTTTCAAGCAAATTCTCGGGAAAACTGGTTGTTCAGCGCCAAGACCCACTAACAATTGGATGTCTCTATTTCATATATCTTCACTTCGACGACTCTTTCGATTCCACTTGTCTGTTGGGAACCGAGTCCAACCATTCGATAGGGTTTCGATTGTAGAATGGCCAATCGGGGACACAGAGGACAACCGAAATGGACACTCCCACGAGCCAAAACTTGAAGACGATGAAGAAATCTTGATGCATGTAACCGATAACCCAACCCACAGCGCCAAACGCTATTATGATCCAGTAGAACAAGAGTTCTGCCAATTGTTGTCCTTTGTAGTCCATGGTGATATCTAGTTAGGTATCTGTCTCTAGCTAGCGGCTTCTATCTGGCTTCTTTGTGGTCGTTCGTTGATGGGCTGCTGTTGTGCTGTGTGGTTGCAATTTGGCCAGTGGCAGTTTGACGAAACGTTTATCCTTATCTCCTCTGTCTAAGGTTTAACCCGTAACCCTAACAAAATGGTTCGACAGGTTGAACCCCACAGCTCGCGATCTTTGCGCACTTCATGACGTGAAGCAGACGAGTAGCTCAGCCTCTTCCCTTCTGCTTGGAGCCGACAAGAGATCGCCTTGGACTGAACTGCAACGTTGTTTACTACCGAGAACGCTTACCGACAGCCTTATCCCTCATTTCGTATTCCTGAAACTGAAAATGATGAAATTCGCCGCCCTCTCTGCTGCCCTTCTTGCTGGCTCCGCCGCGGCCTTTGCGCCTGCTCAACAGTCTGGACGTGGTGTTGTATCTCTGAATGCGGAACGCAGCAAAGCCCTTCCTTTCATGAACCGTCCTCCTCTTGTAAGTGGGGTTCTAGTTGTAGCTACTGTAGTCGGATAACGAAACTGGGGTAGCACACATCGGATACCCATCGCTCACCAAATCTTTGCTCTGCTCTCTTCCTTTTGATGTTCAGCTTGACGGATCCATGGCCGGAGATGTTGGTTTCGACCCCCTTGGTCTTTCCAGCATTGACGAGGTTGGAATCGATCTCTACTGGCTCCGTGAAGCCGAGATCAAGCACAGCCGTGTTGCCATGATGGCCGTTCTCGGAATGGTCCAAGTCGAGCTTTTCGGACCTGCTCCTGGTTGCGAACCATGCACAGCCAAGAACCAAGTGGATGCCTTCGGGCAATTCTGGGACTTGCACCCACAATACATTGCCTTCGGCGTCATCTTCATTGGAATTGTTGAAATGATCTCCGGAATCGCCACCACAAGTGGACGAGAGAGTGGAGAACGTGAACCTGGTGACTTTGGATTCGACCCTCTTGACTTTGGATCTGGTGATCCCGCCAAGTTCGAGCGCCTGAAGGCACAAGAAATTGCCAATGGACGTCTCGCTATGTGGGCTGCTGCTGGAGAAATCATGCAAGGAATGACCACAGATGAGGGTGCCGTTGGAAACTTGGTTTCTTCCTTGAAGGATAACGCCTTCTAAGGAAACCAGCCGAAAAGTAAACCATTCACTTTTTCCCCTTGGCTACTACTGAGATTTGTTTCGCTTGAGGCTTGAGAGGTGGTGTGTCTGTGCTACTACAAATTTACCCTCGTTGCTGATTGCTCAAGACTAAAGCGTCTTGGGCGGTTGTTGGTACAAGTAGCGAGCTGAATATAGAGGTATATAGTACACAAGCTAGCTAGCTCAGTATGTAGCCGTAGCAACGTCGGGCCAAGTCGGTGATGTTCCTTCATCCCGACAACTGGACCCCAGCGGTACCGGTTGCTACTAGATCTAGACAAACTCGGCGGAAAGAGTCCTTATCCGTTTACCTTGCTAGCCAGAGGACTTATGAACTGTTGTAAGTAAGAGCGAAGCAACCAATCTCTACTTTGATCTAGCTAGGCCACTGGGTCCCCTCGCTTGTCTCCATCCCAGTGATAGAATCCTTTGCCTGTCTTTCTGCCAAGATCTCCAGCATCCACTTTTTCCTTGAGGCATTTTGGAAGAACAAAAGCAGGTTCATCAGGATACTTCTCCACCCATCCTTGGGTAATAAAGAGTGCTGTGTCAAGACCAATGTAGTCCGCCAAATGGAGGGGTCCCATGGGATGTCCTGCTCCTAGCTGCATGGAAATATCAATATCCTTCACGGAAGCATCATTTCGATCCACCATGAGCATGGCTTGCAACAAGCTGGGCACCAACAGACGGTTCACAATAAAGCCAGGTGTATCTCCACAGGAAACAGGCACCTTTCCAATATCATTGACCCAAGCATAAGCCTTGTCAAAGACAGCCTGATCGGTCTCATCAGTCTTGATCACTTCAACTAACTTCATGAGCTGAACAGGGTTAAAGAAGTGAACACCCACAAACCGATCAGTGCGTCCTGAGAATTGTGCCATTTCACCAATGGACAAGGACGAAGTATTGGAAGCAAAAATGGTCTTTTCGTCACAGGTGGCACCCAAAGAAGTGTACAGATCTCTCTTTAAATCCATATTTTCAATGACAGCCTCCACAATGAAATCTGTATCCTTCAAGTCGGACATGTCCGTGGTGAAATGGATGCTTCCCAGCGTTTTGTCCGCATCTTCCTGGCTCATTTTGCCCTTGGAAACCAGTTTGCCAATGGATTTTTCAATGCGATCTTTTCCGAGATCCAAAAACTTTTGTTCGGGCTCAAAAGCCACCACACTGGAATGCACACCGGATGCCGCTGCTACTTGACACACACCATGGCCCATTAGACCCAAACCGATCACACCGACCTTGTCAAATCCCGAAGCCGAAGTCGACAAGAAGCGATGGGAGGATTTTGCCTGATGCTTGAGCAAAAGACGAGATCCAAAGGATGCAAGAGCGGAGCTGGACATGGTAAAATTAGTTTGACTATGAATAATAGGATGTCGAATCTATAAGGATAGATGACGAACTGCTTCCCTCCTTTGTATTTGCAGAAAATGAAGGACGAGAGGAGGTTGTGAGAAAGGAAGGAGTAAGGATTTCGTGATTTCGCCTTCACATCAATCTTGGATCCATCATCTCGGAGCGTCGTGACGAGGCTTCGCTCGGCTGACACCTCGTATTTGGGACCTGAGAGCAGACGGCAAGACGGCAAAAAGAGATAATTCAGTCAATACAACAAACTCAGACGGCCAGACGTCGAAAGGCAACAAAAGCATCGACAATGACACGATAAAACAACGGCTGATTCCTTCTTCTTCCTTACACACAACAACATCATGATACTGGAGCTTCTGTTACAGATCTGCCTCTTTGTGGGTGCCCTCTTATTCACTGCTGCAGTTTTGTTTGTGTCATGGCATCGATGGAAGTATCAAGGCGACGGTAACGACCGCACCCTTGCCTTTTTCCATCCATTTTGTGCCGCTGGAGGCGGAGGGGAGCGAGTTCTTTGGGCCATCCTTCAAGCCTTGGGAGAAATTGATCAGCAAGGGTTGCCCATGAAGATTGTGATTTACACCATTGATCCACCATCGGAATCCTACAAGAGTGGTACGAGGGACCCAACAATTTTGACCGTTTCCAGCTGTCTTACTGACATGACTTGTCTTGTCTTGTTACTTCTTTAGATGTGCTGGAAAAGGTGAATGACAGGTTCTCGTTGGCAATTTCACCAACTCTGGATATATCGTTCATCCATTTGGACGATTGCGCCGCTTTCCTAGGTATGTATTCATGATGCAATGGAATCGGCTGTTGCACTAACCAATGCATGGTTTCCCTGAAGTTTCGCCCTTCCCCCCTTTGGATGCCACCAAGACAACCGGTAGCTAGAGATCAGCTTGACGTGGTTTGGTTCTGGCCAAAATATTAGTTGAGATAAATGGCCAAGAAGTACTCTGTGGGACGTCCCTGAAGGGAAGAATATTGTCTTCAAGGTTTGCCCCACGCAATACTTCTTGCCATTCCTCCCACTACTTGGCCAGACAAACCCATCATCTGTTTTGGATCCAGTCGGAAGTTGGAAAAGTTCAACCATGGCGTGGACCTGCTGAAGGAAATGTTCTTTCGTCAGGGGAGCCCACGCCATGGGACACCAGCTGAATCTCCTGGGACTTGGCTAGATATGAGCCAGATGGATGATGGGATGCCTGTGGAGACTAGCATCCCAGCTTGCTATCAGTGGTCCCAAGTTTGGACTGGGATCACGAGCTTCATCTTCCTAGTAGCGAAGAAATGGATGGCACCCAAATGCGGGGAAGGGCCAGGTTCAGGAGACAATGGATCCATCTCAAGGAGGAACTTCTTCTTGTGGCTAACTACTTTCCTCGTTTTGTACTCCAGAAAGGGCAAGCAGACTGTCCATGGTGGTGGAATCATGGGGAACCATGAGACTCGCCTATGCGGCTCTGGTACGGACAAAAGTGGCTCCCAAGATCTTTGTGGATACCACGGGTTGCGCCTTTACGTATATGGTGGCACGAGTCCTCTTTGGCTGCCGAGTTCTGGCATATGTCCATTATCCAACAATCAGCACCGACATGCTCTCTATGGTCTGGGAACGTCGTCGCGTGACCTACAACAACCAGGCATACATTGCCAACAGCCGTATCACGACCTTTATCAAGTTGGTATACTATTCCATGTTTGCCGTGGCCTATGGCACTGTGGGGAGTCTCTGTGATTTGGTCTTGGTGAATTCTACCTGGACGTTTAATCACATCAATTCACTATGGTGGTTGGTGGCCCTGCAACGGAAAATAAAGGTGGTGTTTCCTCCCTGCCGGATTTCATCTGACACTACTCGGACAGGCCCGCGAGAACGCATTGTGTTATCCATTGGTCAGTTTCGACCGGAAAAGGATCATGAATTACAGATCCAAGCGCTGTCCCAGCTGTTCCAAAAGCATCCGACACTAAAAGGCAGCATCACCATGGTACTCGTGGGTGGATGCCGTGGACCTTCCGATGAAGCCCGGCTGCGTCACTTGCAAACCAAGGCCAAAGATTTGGACTTGGAGAGCTCGGTGGTCTTTAGTGTCAATCAACCGTACTCTGTGGTGGAAGATTGGCTGGGCAAAGCCAGCGTGGGCATTCACACGATGTGGAATGAGCATTTTGGAATTGGAGTGGTAGAAATGATGTCTGCCGGTCTGATTACCATTGCTCATGATTCGGGTGGTCCCAAATCGGACATTGTGGTTCCACTGGACGGACAACCCACTGGCATGCTGGCATCAACTGCCGAGGGCTATGCCGATGCCATGCATCAAGCCTTTACCATGAACAATGCCGATGCGGACCGCATGAGAAAGAATGCCAGGTTGAGTGCGGAACGCTTCTCGGACGAAAAGTTCAACCTGAGTTTCAAGAAAGAAATCCTAGAATCGGGAATATTGCAGTAAACACATCAAAATGACGACAACAAAGTCGAACATATAGTTGCTGATTTTATCGTTTGGATTTCTTTTTCTTGTTTCCACCATCACCACCACCTCCAAACAATGCTGCCTGATAGGCATTCTTGGCTTTGCCTTGCTGCTTTCGTCCCATATTCTTCATGGGCCGTCCTTCCTGATCCATCACGTTCTTTTTGCGTTTGCCATTGGCGTGTCGGTCGGTGCTACCACGAAAGGATTTCTTGTTTCGGTCATCATTGTCACTATGGTTATTTGCATCATCCCCATCATCACCAATCACTCGACTGGCCTCTCGCGCCAAATTCCCCAAATCGGCAATTCCAGTCCAATTGTTGGCTTCCATGCGCTCTATGCGTTTGCGTTCCTTCTTTTCTTTCTTTGTGACGGTCAATCGGATCATGGCGTCTTCTTCAAACTGTGTCTTTTCTTCCTGGAATTTGGCAAACTTCTTGGCCGCCATGGCCTCTTTGCCCACAAGCACGCTGGTTCCACCATGGAGATCCTCTTGTTCGGGTGCATCTCCGTATTGCTGTCGCAAAGATTGTGCCAATTCCGAAGTCCTCAATCGACGTCGTTCTCGCTTTTGTCGCGCGGCTTCCTTGTCCTGTTTGTCCAGCATGTAGGGCATGGCGGTCATGCGAGGTGCTTTGTAAATGCCATCGTCGTCATTGTCGTGTTTTTTATTATCGCTTTTGGACTTTTTGGTCATGGCAAGAGTGCGTTTGGCGGCTTCCAAGTCATCATCGTCATCGTCATCACTGTTATCCGAATCCTTGTCTCCCTCATCCTCTGAATTGCCACTAGAATCATCATCGTCATCATCAAATGCCTTTGGATTGGGTCGATATTGCAGCGGATCGTCCGACTGATGTGTGTCCTCCTTTTCTTCATCGTCATCTTGTTCTGCTGCTGAAGTCACATAGGTCGCCGCGGTTTCGGCTTGCAACAACTTGTCAATTTGATAGCGGAGCTTCTTGTCGAGACCACGCAGTTTGTCCAAGACAACTTTCATTTCTCGCAGGCGATGCAGATTGGATGGAGGTGCCCCCGTCATTTTGGCTTTCAAGTAGACTGTCAGGTCAATCAAATAGGACAAGAGCAAACTGTTCTTGACGTCCAGAAAATCCACTCCCGACTTTTTCGAGTGATTTTTAACATGATCCTGAATCGCCGTCAGCAGCGATGCTTCCACTTTTTGGTTCGTCTCTCGCAAGCCCTTTTGCATCTGTTGAGACGCCCTATTGGTTTCATCGTCGTCGCTGCTGTTGTTGTCGCTCATGGTGAATGGTGGAGATTGTGGAAGGAAAAGAGAGGAGAGAAAAATGAGTGGTGGCATTCCAGTCATGAAGCTTTTGAATCCCGAAATAACTCCACGGCCCAGTCACCGTGGAAAGCACAGATGTGGTTCCGAAAAGCAACTCTGAAAGCCGCGCCTCATTATGATCATGATCTTGAGGCCCCAGCTTTTGATGCAGACAACCAAGATGATGATCACTGCTGGAAACGCATTCAATTCAGGGAAGAGGAAATGGTGGCAAATAGTCCAGCAAGCGCTGCCGCCTCAAGAAGACTTGAACTGTGGCCTCTCCAATGCACTTTAACTTGAAAGGTTCAGGAGGGCCATTGAACTAATGTTAGTGCGCAAAGACTCGACGTCTGATCATCTGATGAGTGATGAGGCTACTGTACTCTGTGAACAGCCACTTGTTGAGACCAATCTACAACCTAGCCAGAAATTCAAACATGCTTTTATTTTACTCTTTACTCATCATCTCCGGCTGGTTCTTCTGGAGCTTCTGCCTCTGAGGGGGCTTCTTCCTCAGCGCCATTGAGCAACTCTTCAGCTCTCTTTTGTTCTTCCGCCGCCTCATCAATGTCATACTTGCCAGCTGCGCTGCCGGAGGATTCGGCCCATTGTTGCTTCGATTTGTGTTGGAACTCGTCGTATTGCGCGACAATTTCGGGACCCACGGATCGACGGGCCTTGCTCATGGAAGCCTCAAAATGCTCACGTGTGATATAGGGGACGGGGTCAGGAAGAGCATCGGCCTCTTCTTGAGTGATTTCGCCATCTTCCACTCGCTTTTGACGCTCGATTTGTGCGGTAATGCTGTCACGGATAGCATTCTTGGCAGCACGTTGGCAGATTTCTGTAATGTCAGCACCCGAGAAACCATCGGTGACCTTAGCTAGCATTTCCATGTCAATGTCTTCTGCCACAGGACTCTTTCTGAGGCTGGCCTTGAAGATGGAAACACGAGACTCGTAATCAGGCAATGGAATGTAGATCAGCTGATCGAGACGACCGGGACGCATGATACCAGGATCCAAAATATCGGGACGATTGGTGGCACCAATAATGAACAATGTCTTTCCAGATCCCATACCATCAATTTCGGAAAGAATCTGGTTGATGACACGGTCGCTGGTTTCGGAACTTCCACCAGAACTACCGCCACGAGCACGGGCAATCGAGTCCATTTCATCAAAGAACAAAATACAAGGACTGGCTGCGCGAGCTTTGTCGAAAAGGTTTCGGACATTGGCTTCGGAACCACCAAACCACATATTCAGCAATTCTGGTCCCTTGACAGAAATGAAGTTAGCTCCACATTCATTGGCAATGGCCTTTGCCATCAACGTTTTACCACATCCAGGAGGCCCATAGAAAAGAACTCCGCGAGACGCTTGCATACCAAAACGTTCAAACAAGTGGCGATGTTCAATGGGATACCTAACCATCTCCTGGAGTTCCCGTTTGGTTTCTTCCAATCCTCCAATATCTTCCCACTTGATATCTGGCACTTCTACCTTGTTGTCGCGCAGTGTACTGGGGTCACTGTGGCTCAAACCGTGAATCATATGATCTTCGGTGACTACCAACAGATCAAGAGCTTCCTCGGGAATGGGTTCTTCACTATCCACGTCCATGCTGCCAATGTTGGATCGAATGCACTGCAAGGCTGCTTCAAGTGTCAATTGCTGCAGATCAGCACCCACATATCCATGCGTATCACGGGCAATTTGAAAAAGATCCACATCGGCTGCCAGGTCCATGTCCTTTGTTTTGATCTTTAGAATCTCATGGCGCCCGTCTTCATCAGGGATGACAATTTCCAATTCACGATCGAAACGACCAGGGCGACGAAGCGCCGATTCAATGACATTGGGTCGGTTTGTGGCACCGATCACCATAACGTTGGAGCTGGATTTCAAAGAATCCATCAAGGTGAGCAATTGAGACACCACACGCTTCTCCGTCTCTCCCTGTGCTTGATCACGCTTTGGCGCGATCGAGTCTAGCTCGTCCATGAAAATGATGGAGGGTGCCTTTTCCATAGCCTCCTCAAAGGCTTGACGAAGATTGGATTCACTTTCACCACCCTTTTTGGCCATGATCTCGGGTCCGTTGATAATGACAATGTGAGCACCGGTTTCCTCTACAAGGGCATTGGCAACCAGAGTTTTACCACAACCAGGTGGACCGTGAAGCAAGACACCCTTGGGTGTGGGTACGCCAGCTGTGGTCCAGAGTTCTGGGAAGCGAAGAGGGAGTTCCACTAGTTCTCTCATGAGTTGCACCGCTTGGTCCATTCCTCCGATGGAGTCATATCCCATGCCAACTTCTACCCGTGGAGTGGAGCTTCCAAGAATGACTTCTGTTTCTGAATGTGTCACTCCGGCAACAGCCTTATCTTCGTCTACAGGGGTGAATTGATTGATGAGGGAAAACAACTACAACGTAGTGTACCCGTTGCCATTGCTGATGTGAAACTTACCATCCTCCTCTTCCTCTTCGCCCTCTTCATCTTCAGGTTTATCGCTTTCTAGCTCCACTTCAGTCACGATAAACTCGAGTTTTTTGCCATTGGCATCACTGAGGGTCAAAAGATGATCTTGCTTCATCATGGCACCCGTTTCATCCAAGTAAGGCATGACGAAACGTTCATCGATTTCGTCTTCAGGGATGGCGTCTCCACCTTCACTATTCTGCAAGGCCGTCAAACTATCTTCGACGGGGCTAAGGGTGACGGCTTTAATCTTTGGTGGCTTGGATACTTGCAAAATAATCATGTCTCCACTGCGTACGGTATCGGCAGGAGTTTCTCCAGCGAGGCGTTCCACTTTGATCTTGTCCCCATTTCGAAGTCGCAAGTTTTTGGCCAAGTTAGCGTGCACCGAACAGCTGGATTTCTTTAGTTTTCCAACAGTGACAATGGCATATGCAGCACGACGGCGTCGACCAACCAAGGCCACGGCTTCACCCTTTTTCAGTCCCAATTCTTTGGCTTTGGATGCCGACAAGATGATTGTGCAGTCGGATTGCGCAGTGGGCTATAAATAAAACAAAGCAAATATAATCACAATGAGAAACATGCATTCAAGGATTACACTCACCAGCAGAATCACCCAGGTCCTGGAGATTGACCAGTACCCATTACACACAAACATATTCCGTAGCGTACCATGTCATCTTTGACCACCACGGCATCCAAGAGACCTGGTAGATACAGTTCAGCTGGAGCTTCTTCCTCTGTTTCATCTTCTGGCGCTGCCTTGGTAGCTCCTCCTCGGGTCTCCAAAATGGATTGTTGGTGGTGTCTTGACAGTCCAAAGGAAAGATGATTGTGGTTTAAAGAAGATTTTCCCCAGGAAATTCCGTGACTTGCATGCGGCAACACTGCCGCCAGCAAAAGTGCCGCCACCAGTGCTGCTGTCATGGTGGACTCTTTCAGCATCATCTTGATAAAAACTATAGCTATGCGTTGATACCCAAGTCCCAAAGAGTACAGAAACTATGATGTAGACTGTCCAACGAACTGATTGCCCAGTGGAGCTTTTTCATCAAAACAAGAGGCAACAAAGTTGAAACCTCCACCATCAAAGCCGAGGGTACGTCATCGCCCAGGCAACACGTGGAAGGGCTAGTTGAAGCCGTTTTTTAGCCTTCTCCCTAAACCAATGCATCAGAGCTGTAAACGTGCCCTACCGGTACAGTAGGGCTTTTGCCATCCCCAAAAACGACCGGCAAAATTTTCCTGAACTCATCACGTGAATGCTCGAATGCTCCGCAAAGGCCACAATACTTCTGCAGATGATTTGGTTGAGCTACGATTGTTACTACGATCGAATTGGTAGACCTGTACCGTACCCAGCTACGTCGTCTTTGCAATCTTCTCCGCTTTAGATGTCTTTCTATTTCCGCCCAAATACTTAGATGATCTAGGCTAAAACAGATCGATGCCTCCTTCTGAACCATTCCGCCTCAAGCGAATGGCACTCTGCAAATGGTACTGGCTAGCTGCTATTCGTGCGCATGGCAAAGCATGGTAAATACAGGAGTCATGATGCCCACGAGGGACACAGTTCCCGGAGCGAGACGTTCCAGTATCCATGCCCAAGAGGACACGAATTTATACGCGTCCACAGTAGGTTGGGAGGTCTATCGGTTTCCTCCTTTGCTGCGGGTCGTTGGTTACGTACCCGGTCGGCCCTGAATGAGCCTTGTAAGAGAGTGTTGAATCTAGCCAGTCGCCCAAGTAATTTGGACTCTTTTTGGCTGTACGACGGCTCCAACGATCGCCACTGCTAGCTAGTAGTACACTATACACACACACACACTCACCAGGCTATCTACGAGAAGATATTAGTCCAGCCTTATCAGTTATAAGTTAAGCTACCATGTTTAGAAGATCATACGATTTTAGAAGATGCCCACCTGCAATTCAACGCTGCAGAACTAACTCACTATGTTGGACTATTGAATTGAATTGCCTGCGGTAGGCACAAAAACCATCAAAAGAGAGTGTTGATTGCTGTTGTTTCTCTTATTTGGCAGTCATTCCAACATCCTTGAACCATTCTCGGTTTTCAATTTCATCTTCAATTTGTTCATGAATACCGGGGTAGTTCATCTTGAAATCAAAGATGGTGGTATCCTTGGTGGTACGGTTGTCCTTCATAAAGTCGAGTTCGGCCTTGACGGACTCCTTCAATTCCTGATCAAAGGCTTCGGACTCTTCGAACATGGCCAAGACCTTTTTGCGTTCCTCTTCGACACCGGGCTCTGGTTCGTAGGTTTCGGGAGCAGGACTGGCAGTCTTGTAAAAGTCTTCGAGTCCAGCGATCAATTCTTGGTCTCGAATGGAAGACTTGGCACCGGAAAAGTCGACTGGAGCGGGAGGTTTGTTGTACTTGTCGGCCATGACTTCGCCCGTGGTCACCCAGGCACGAAAGGAGTTGACCTTGGCGGCGGTACGGGGAGTCAACTTCCATACATTGCGAGACCTGGTAAGGAATGATCAAATGACATACAGCAGTGTAAGCAAAGAGAGACTCATATAGAGGGAGATGACTAACGAGAGGCAACAAGCAAGGACAACGAGGGGATGAAGGAGATCGCATCGAATGCTTTGCGTCGCATCGGCACTTTCGCAGCATTTGACTAATTCGACTCAATCCACACCAGCGATGACGATGCAGTGATGATGAAACTGTGGGGCCCTCCTTGGACAGCCTTGTAGTGGCTCAACTCGTCTCGTTTTCATCGGGAAAACACATGGTAGCGGCACAGATGAACTTACCAGTCAATGTTTCGGTGGGCAAGTGTTCGCACCACGCGACGGGAGGTTGCTGTAACGTTGCTCATGGTCGGCTTTTGCTGTTCACACAAAAGAGTGGGTGTGGGATGCGAGGATCTGCCGAATACCGCTGTCCTTAGTAATGCGTCACTGGTTTGTCTAACCTTAACTGACGTGGAAATTTAAGGATAACCTCTTCGGATCTTCCGAGACGCAAAAAGAATTGACAATGGCATGGCTTTTAGAAAGTGAAGTAGAACAAACTGAATGTGCCGTAATACTACTCATCAAGATAATGCTGATACGCAATGCATTCTCCCCCATGATGCGGGTGGCTGTAACTGGTGGTCGCCCATCGCTGTTGAGCATCCGAGGAGGACTACCCAAGAATTCAGCATGGTTGCTCCACCGACCAAATAATCCAGCCCTGATTTCCGCTGCTTTTTTGACCACCCAATCGAATGGATCTCCTGTCCATGCAGCATCATCGTCCTTGCGATCTCGAAGGACACAACCTCTGGCACCACTGTTGCCATTTCCACACCATCGTGCCGTGGCGCTCTTTTCGTCCTCTGGTGGAGCACCCAAAGGCGGTGGTCGCGCTGGATTGTTTGCCAGTGTCCTTGGAGCTGGCGCTCTGATTGTGGGAAAGGGAAAATACATTCTGGGTGCCCTCAAATTGACCAAATTTGCCTCCTTGGGAAGCATGTTTGTGACTGTGGGAGCCTACACTATGCTCTTTGGTTTCCCCTATGCCGTCGGAATGGTGGGACTCATTGCAGTTCATGAGAGTGAGTTGCTTCTGTGCTCTGTTTCTAAACGAAATGACAGTGTGTTGGTTGGGTTAAAATTATGTATTCCATGTTTCTGACCACTTTTACTTGTTTTGGTACTTCTTCAGCCGGACACGCCCTGGTGATGCTACGATACGGCATTCCATTTTCTCCCATGGTATTTGTGCCCTTCATGGGAGCCGCTGTTGCCATGAAGGACATGCCCAAGGATGCCATGCAGGACGCTGTCATTGCCTTTGGAGGACCGGTATTGGGCACGGTGGGTGCCATGGGAGTGGCCGTCGCAGCCCAAGCCACAGATTCGCAACTCCTCTTTGCCTTGGCCGATTTTGGGTACATGATCAACTTGATCAATATGATCCCCATCGGTGCCTTGGATGGAGGCAAGATTGCGGGAGCATGCAGTCCCTATGCCGGTGTCGTTGGATTGGGCATGGGTGGTGGCCTTCTCTATGGGGGAGTCATTTCAAATCCCATTTTCTATCTCGTCATGCTGGCGGGAGGATGGTCCACCTTTCAACGATTCTATGATCCAAAGGGATATGCGCCACCAAACTTTTATAAGATTACACCCACCCAGAAGGCTGGCATCTCGGCGGGATATGTGGGTCTGGTGGGGACCATCATGCTGGCCATGTCCGCAAATGCAGTCAACAAAAAATCGCCTGAGGAAATCAAACGATATCAGGAGCTTTCCATTGATGCCAGATATTAGCTACTAGATAGAATTGCTCCTTGTCTACTAATCGCATTCCTAAATATCGTTTGCATCTGTCTGTACGAGACAATGCATTTCTTGAACCTCCACTTTTGACAGCTCCAAGTGCGATCAAGGTCGACCAAGCCAGCGCCACTCTTCCAAGAGCAATTCCAATTGATGTGAAATTTCACCCGGAAAGTACATGGCGGGGACCCCAAGCGGACTTTCGACTCCGGCCACAGTTGCAACCTTTTTGCCGTAGTCATCACTGGAATCAATGTCCAAAACCTTGAAGTTTGGCCCCATCGCAGAGATTGCCTTGTCTCCCACCAAGAGCTTGTTTTCCCGAGAGTATTTGCGGGGCTTGGACATGTGTGCCTTCCAAAAGATGGCAAGTTGAGGACATGGTTTACACTCTTGTTTCCAAAACTGGACAGTTTCGGTATCGCTGAAGGAGCGAGCAGCATGCCATTCAACTGCCTTGACAAGCAGAAAATGCTTGTAAGCTCGGAGCGTCAGCTTTGCCTCTCGGTGTATGCTGAATAAGCCGAACGCTAAAATTTTCCATTTGTCGGCAAAGTCCAGGGGGACAGCATCGATGAAACGTAGAAAATCCCGGCGAAAGTTGCTCAAGAGAGTGGAGAGGTTGAGGCGAGCAATCTGTTTCTTGAGAGTGACAAGATCCACAGAAGTTATAACTCCGTCAATGCCAGGAGAAATGGCTTCCCAGGCTGCTTGGTTCCAGATCTTGGATACCAAGAGGCAAGATTGAAGGCTCTGAAGCATGTCCTTCGTCTGCGAGCAAAGAGGTTCGATATGACGACGAAAGAAACCGCAGGGAGCGACGGGAGAAATGGCAAAGGAAACAATCTTGCCAACAAGATTGGCACTGTCCATCACAGCACGGACGGGGCTCACGATGCTCGGACGAAGCCCCAAAGCTGCGGCTTGCTTCACATTGTCCATCACAGCATGGACGGGGCTCACGATGCTCGGACGAAGCCCCAAAGCTGCGGCTTGCTTCACATTGTCCATCACAGCATGGACGGGGCTCACGATGCTCGGACGGAGCCCCAAAGCTGCGGCTTGCTTCACATCAGTTGCCTTCAAGGAGGGCTTGGACACTTTGGTAGGAGGCTCGATAGGTTCAGCCATGGCGTGTATGTTTGGATAAGCAGGTGCTGAAGTGAATCCAGGAGGAGAGCCATACCCGTAGTCATACTGACTCCAATCCGCTGAAGTGAATCCAGGAGGAGAGCCATACCCGTAGTCAAACTGACTCCAATCAGGATAGTTTGGATAAGCAGGCGCTGAAGTGAATCCAGGAGGAGAGCTATACCCGTAGTCAAACTTGCTCCAACCAGGATAGAATCCAGAACTAGACAATGATTGCTCATGCTGATATCGGCTGGGCTGGCTGGAAATCGAGGCACTCGGTGCTGCCAGGTTGGGTCGAACCGGTGGAGGAGCTGTACTTGTGGTTGCTGAAAACGCACTGGCCGAGGACCCAAAAGGAGAGCCATACTCATAGTGGCTCCAATTTGGATAGAAACGAATACCAGACAGTGCTCGCCCGTATTGCTGTTGGCTGGGCCGATTCGTCTGCTGAGAAATCATGTCAGAGGGAAGCAATCCTCCAGAATTGGGATGGTAGCTTGGGTGTGGAACTGATCCATTGGTCAGAAAACAAGGAGGAATGTCAGCATAATTTCGGCTTGTCCATGGCACCATTTCTCCTCCATTTCCTGTACCATACATTCCACTAACAACATCAGGAGTTGTCATTGGAATGCTCTGGCCAAACACAGCTGGATTGTTCCGGATGCTTGCATGTGCATGATGATTGTTGCCATCAGCCCTTGCAGCAGCATTGCTTCCAACATAGTCAGCCGTGACAGATCCAGCAACAGGCTGACTCGTCGTTGGAATCGGGGCAACAGCGGCTGAACAACAAGTCATTGGATTCGCCAACAACACATTTCCGGTGGATCCTGCGGCAGGAATGCTGCCCTCCAGAAAAGCCCCAATTTTCTGGCGTACAGCATTTGGGGAGTGAGTAGTGTTTTGTTCGCTTTCCATTTTGTAGAGCTACTGTGGACGCAAATGTGTAAAAGTGTGTGAGAAAGGATGGCGAAGGCACTGACAATGCGGTAGCAACAAAGATGGCTCTTGGCGCTCAATCGATTCGATTCGCAGTCGCACAACATCAGACAATCCACAAGGGTAACAATGGCGTACTCGTAGTCCCTGAAGAGCGGCAACCGGAGGCTGAAAAGCGCGTTACTCAATCAACAGCGGAATTAGCGGCAGCAGTTGTTGTGCCTTGTTCAGTTATATTGTGGCTTCGTGCTTCGTTCTTCACTTTGCTGTCCACCATGAGAGCAAAACCAATGCTGAGAGCTCAGCGCAAGAGGCGCGAAAGATCTTCTAGAAGCTGGCGAAGCTGCAAATCGAAGGTTTCCTTGCCTCGCCCTACTACACTGTAGAAGGTTGGAGGTTGGTCAACGCGGCTGCGGGATGCTACTGGTATCATGGTGCATGGCGAAAGAACCATGGATCCACCTATTGTATATTCCAAAGCCAACTGGAGTTGTCCAACTCAGTCACATTTTTGGTCAATTCCATCAACAATCCGTCCAAGTGGAATTCCTCCGTCATGCCCGCACAAAACCAGGTTGGCATCTTGCTAGTACTGTATGGCTGCTATACAATACTGATGACAATGACATGTTCAAAGTTTGTTTTCTATAGCATAGTACGCCCTGTTTACTGTTTCAAATCGAGCTGTTTCTTCAAGACTTGCTGTATCACTTCTTGACCTCGCACCAGATCCCCATGTGCCGGTATGAGGGTGGTTGCCTTCCATTTCCGTACAATAAAGTCTATAATATCTTGAAATTTATCCTTGCTGGTGACCATGACATTTTTGTAAATGGGCAGATAGAGTCGATTCATGGCAAAAAAGAAGGCTCGACTACCAGCGGGAATGGACTCCAAAGAGGGTGCCAGTTCCCATTCTTGAACGGTCGAAGCCAAGTGCGAATTGGGAATGCCGTCCGCTTGTGGATAGTTCCAGTAGAGATCGGTGGTAATGAGTGTCTGCGATGGCGTGTGGAAAAAGACGACTTCATTAAAGAAGGGTTTGCCCGTAGCGGGGCTCACTTCGACATCAATGTGAAGTGGTTGGATTTCTTCCAAATCCCAGCAATTGTCGAGATTGACTTGATTGGCCAAAACAACGTCGTCGTCATTCTTTGCTGCCTTCCAAGAACTGGGTCGAATTTGGGTGGGAATTTCCCCGGCAAAATCCACTTCGGGCATTCGTTCCGGCAATCCCGGACATCCCCACATGTGGGCATCGGGATAGGCAGCTGCCCATTGGGGAGCAAACTTGAGGTGTTCGTAATTGGGTGACACGACGTATTTGACCGTGCCCAGTTTGTCGAGTGCTTCCTTGAGTGGTTCATCCAATCCCACGGGCGAATGAACCCACAGGTCCTTGCTGTTTGCCAATTGAATGACGACCATGCGACAACTGACATCGATATTGTTCCACATGAATTCTCGATCGCCCGTGTAGACACCGGGGATACTGGCGGGTGTCAAGACCGTCCCCAACCGATTGCTCCATCCGACCGACGAATACCCACCCACTTTGGCACCCTTGGCCAAGTTGGCATCCAATTCTTTGGCTTTTTCCACCAGTGCGGTGCGAGTCGAAATGGGAAACACGGGGGGTGGGTCTTCATTATTAGTCGAAGACGATAATCGGAGGCAGTGTCGTCTGGAAGACGAGCATGGTTCCCACGGAGAGAATGCCGCCGTAAGGAGGAAAAGACTGGAACAACGCAGCAACCAAAGCAACATCATGGTTGTCGGGTTAGAAGAAATCTATGGACTTCATCGTTCATCATGTGGATCTGTTTGACATCTGGGCAACTGAGTGAGTCAGTGAAAGACATCACCGATGAGATCTTCACTGACAGTTAGTCGAGTTAGTCGACTCAGTCATGTTTAGCACTTGTAATCCACGTCTCAATCCAGGTCTACCTTCGTTCTGTCCCATCGCCATGGACTCTCCGGCTTGAACTCCGCCATGAAAGAGTTGAAACTGGAGGTCAGCCGTCTGCCTCAAAGCCGTTTGGCATTGACGAACAAGGCATATGTCCATCCCAGCGCCTTGCAAGGGCTTGTTCTGGGGCAGCAAAAGCCTGCACCCAAGCATCTCGAAGTTTTGTTGAACCGTCATGCTGTGTTTCACGTGGAAGAGAAAGATGGGGTGCCTTGCCACCAGATTGCTTTGAACAGACTGCATCGTCAATATACACAACTTTGTCTGGGAGACCAGGTGTCCTTGAAACGTCTCTCTTGTGACGTAATGAAGGACTTGGCGGCCATCGCAGTCTCGGTTCGATTTCTGTCCCAAAAGAAACAGCGCTCGTTCCAGCCTTTACTAATCAACACTGAGGAGTTGGCTGCCACTGTCAAGACGACGTTTGAGGGACAAATCTTTCAACCCAAACAGGCCATTGCTGTCGACTATCAAGGGACGTTGCTAGAATTGACCATTGCCAACATTTCAGTGGACTTTTTTGGACGGCTCGTGCCAACGACAAACATACATTTCCAGGATCAATCCAATATGGCGGTACTGAAATTCATCGACTACAAACCATCCAATTTCAATTTGGAGGAATGGGGCATTTTCGGGTTGGGTGCCGCAATCAATCACGTGTTCCGCCAAGCTTTTGCGTCGAGACTCGTGAGGTCATCACACATAGGGAGTCACGCTGTGCACAGCATGTTGCTGCGAGGACCAATCGGATGTGGGAAGATGCTCCTTGTGATAAAACTGGCACAAGCATTGAATGCCCATTACCCTTACATCATCCAGGACCTCAGTACTACTGTTCTGGACGAACTTTTCTCCAACGCAGAAAAGGAACAAAGAAAAAGGAAAAAGGGACAGCTGCACATTATTGCCATTGATGGAATCGAATGGGTCCGAGAGCAGCGCAACTTGGAGTTGCTCCTTCGCAGGGCTCAACAATGCCACAATGTCTTGGTGGCCGTCACCACACGACAAATGGACTTTGAGTCGTCGTCCTTTCATCTCGTTGTTGACGTGGGTCCTCCACCGGATGCCTCGGCACGCCTCAAAATACTGAGACACTACACTGCCGGGCTTTCCGAGGAAGCCCTGCAACGATTGCCAGAACTGGCGGAAAGATGTCCAAACTACACGGGTGCGGAATTGGAAGGTTTGGCAAAAGCAGCGGCTTCGTATGCTCTCGCTCGATCCCATGGCAAAACTTCCATCGAAGATCCAACCAAATACGATCCAAAGGTAACGTATTCGGACTTTGAGAAAGCCATGCAAGACATTGAACCGAGGCTGAAGAATGCTCCCGTCAGCTCCAAGACAGCCGTACAATTGGTGGCAAACGACCACCCACCGGAGGACCAGGAAGATTGGATCCTGGTCTAGACCCAGGAGGGAAAAGGCCCAGACAAAGGGAATCCTCATACCAGTACCACACCATAACCATGAAGCTGAGCGAGAGCCAACAGCAAAACTGCCTGCTAGAAGTGGCACAGCACTAGTAATGGGCTACATATTAGGCCAGCTAGAAATTGGTTTGAGACATGGGTGGCTACAAGGATCTTGCGGCTCTTGCTCGACTACTAGCTAGTTATCTAGCTATCTAGCTAGTGTGTCATTGGTTGGCATCGGAGATCCCGGCGGACGGACGCACATCTGATTTCAAAGCAAACTTGCCTCCAACAATAACCGACTGTGACAGCGAACGACCATGAAGGGCAGTCCACAACAATGAGACAATTGGGGATCTTGCGGTTGGGTATACGTAGTTGAAACTTGATATCTGCCTAGATAATAGAACCATTAGACCGACCATGCCATTAGCAAACCTCCCTGGCCTTAGAAATGGGGAGGAAGATGAGAATGATGATCCCCAGAGTGACAACCATCGAAGAGGCAGCCATGAACCGCGAGGATCTTCCATCCAAAACCCCAACAACCAGCAATCCAAGAGAACCCGCCGGACAAAATCAGGACCTCCTTCGACGATTACGGTTCCAGTGGAAGAAAAGAATCTGCTACGTCAACTATCGGATTGTTGCGAAAAGCACACCAAACAATGTCACAATCGCAAAAGCAATGACGACGAAGTAGATGACTATGATGAGACTGTCTGCCAAGCCGCACTCGAAATTGTCCGTGGCGCATTGCCCAAAGTAGAAGCCGCCTATGTCTATCAGCCCAACAATAACAACAAGCGATCCAGACGAGGAGGTGGTCCCGAAGCCCACGAGGTGGGCGTGTTGTGTATATTCTACAAAGACGCCTTGCTGGGGGGATACTGTCCTCTGGCTCCTGGGCTTTTCCAGACTCCCGAAGGATTTCCACATGTTCATGAAGGTATGTATATTAGTTTAATCATGTGTTGCGTCATTCTGCGCTGGTGCTCTGTGGTTTGCGGTTTCTATTGGTTCATGATATTGTGTAACTTATGGAATCAATCTCTCCTTGCCTTCTCCATTTGCCCCAGTGCTGCTAAGAGTTCAATTTCTATATCAACAATGTACATCACCCAAATGGATTGCCGAAACAGTCAGTCCACAAGAAGATCATCACAACCATCTGGCCTGTCAACGACCTCCTTATCCAATATGGAATGTCGAAAAGACCATTGGATATTTCTTGAACTTTCTCGTCACGTCTTCGGCCAACATTTGGCCTCCTCAAACCAGAGCCATGTACCGGCATGCCATTGAATGTGACCTCATTCAAACCATGATGGATTTGGCAATTTTGGCGGAATACCTAGAAGACCCAAACAATTGTGTCAAGGACAACAATACTACTGAATCACAATCTACTACTGCGGAGGAAACTCCACAACAACAACAATCCATCCAAATACTACTCTTTCTCAAAACCAGTGCTCTAGACCACAATATGCGACAGCAACAACAGCACGACAATAATAGGACAGAGCCAACACCACCTCACCACGAATACGTCTTGGATATTCCACCCACTCGAGATGCCATTTGGTCCCTGCAGACCGCCACCCTCAATATCTTTGTACGGTTGTGCACACTGATACAAGAAGCGGACGTCAACGACGAACTCTTGCCGCCGCGCCAGTGGAAACTTCCCCTAGAAGATTTGTTTGCATCGTTACGACCCATTCTCGTGTCCACATGCGTCTCCGTCTTGGCCGAACGGGCCCGATCCGCTGCCTTGGAGTTTGTCATGACCCGGGGGAGTCTGGTCTGGTTGCCCGAGATGGAGTTGGGTCACGTACTCGAATTGGCACTCTTGGTGGTGCACGCCATGGGTGCCGTCTTTTTGCGACAAGAACAATGGCGACACTACGCTCCCGCAAAACAACCACCGCAAGTGCCAACGCTGTGCTCCGATGTGCTGCACAAACTGGTCTGGCTATTGCGGCGCACGGTCCTGTTTCCTCCTCGAATACGGGGATACTGTCAAACGGAAGCGACTGGCATCCTAAGACGCGAAGTACTCATGCCATTGCTGGAAGAGTGTCTCCCGTGGATACGACAAGCTGCATCATCATCATCATCATCATTGGACCATCAAAACACTCCCCAACGACAGGAGGAAAACGCGATGCATTCCACCACGGACGCATTGGAAGAAATGGTCCTGCGCACGATTCACGTATGCATGTACACAACGCAACAACAGTCCATGGTAATTGCCAACAGCAACCTTGTCGTGGCCACGGCTGGCCCACTCTTGGACCTGTTGATCAAGACCAGGTCGGCACACATATCCTCCATTTGCATGGCGATTCTATCCGCCTTTTTGAAACCCGACCATCAGGCAAAGCGTCTTTGCGCCGCAGTTTGGGCTCAGCAGCAGCAAGAAAACGGCCAGTCGACATTCTGGATCTCTCGTGTGCCACCGTCACCAACAAGGCCATACTCGCAGGAGATTTTGAGCATGGTCAAACCAAAAGAACAAGAAGAAGAAGTTGCCCCGCAACGTACGCCCGTCAAGGAAGGAGTGTCACCCGCTGGCAAAGGCAGCAGCAAAAGCAAGCGGCGTGCCTCTCTTTTAGGTAACAATCCCCTCATTATACAAAGTCCGATGCCCAAACGACAAAAGTTGGAGGATGAAGAGTCCGGTGTCACAGCGGCAATATGCAAGGTTGATTCTTCCTGTTTTCTAGACGACTTACTGGGGCAATTCCTGTCGCAGGGGCTTGACGCGGCAGAATTCATTCTGGGCGAATTGGGGGACAAGACACAAGGGCTTTCGAGAGACTTTTGGGACAAGGCTCTGGTGTTTGTCGGGTGCATGAAAGTGCTTCAGGCTGTTACCACCCAGGAAGGAAATGCGGCTTCATTCGCGAACGATGAAAATTGGAGGGATGCAGATTCGTGCGTGACCTGCTTCGTGGAATGTTGGCAGTCCTTGTGTACTCTCTTCTATGAGAATGCCAAGTCTGAATCTCACACGAATGGATACTCAGCCAATTGGGAGAGTCTGGCGAGCATGATGATTGACTGTGGATTATATTCGTTCCAAGTGAGCGCCACTATCAATAGTCCGTCGCAAGTTTTGGGGTCTCCGTTTCGCGAGGGGTGCGACAAGCTTTGTGCGGCTCTGGCCATCATGGCCAGGCGGGTTGGTCCGGCTTCGCTTCAAAAGAGGTCACCGCAAGACGAACAGGTGTGCCAAGGTTGTTGCCGAGATGTTCTTGGAGCGTTTTCCTTGAATGAAACGCTGACGAGCCGTCTCTTCGGCTCGGATGCATGTCTGTGTGCTTTGTCAGTTGGTCGCATCGAATCGCAACAGGCTCGAATGATGCCATTTCGGCGTGACTGTGACGTTGTAACTGTTGCCGCGTTGCCAATTTCTGCAAGGTTTGTGTTGGCTTTCTTTTCTTGCCCAGAATTTGAATGCACTTGCTAACGTTGACTTATACTTTTCCTTCCTGTTCGTAGGTGCTGCATGTTGGCGTCGCTCCTCATTCAGCCCCAAGCACAGCCTAGGAATAAAACTGCCACGCTGGCTCCCACGTGGGAGTCCATGCAAAAAGTCGTCTCGGCGTTTCGAATTGCACTGGCTGCCAAGACATTCGAGTGGAATAATATGACATGCGCAGCTTTGATTTCGGTTCCTTTGCAGATTGTAATTTCTTGTCTGGGGCAAGCCGAATTCGTGCAGTCAAGCTGGCACGTGTCTCATGTTGGGTTTATCCTAACTGACTTTATGCGGAGCGTAATGCTTCCTGCCATCCAAACAATCCAGAATGTCGAAAACAACAACTTGCAGGTTTCCGCCAGCAAAGCCCTGTTCGTAGCTCTAAAGCAACTGCAGTGGTTGCACTTGCTTCTAGAAGAAAGATGCGATGGAAGCAAGAAGGATCTCAGAGAGGCAGAGAGCAGGGATTGGGACGTCTCCAGCAGCCTGCAGTTTCTTTTCCGGTCGTACACGGCTAACTTCCCACGTTCCACGAGCAACGGCGAGAACCCAAGCAGCGGAGCATACGACGGCCTACGGAGGGAGCTCGTAGTTCGTCTCTCGCGCTATGTTGTTGCGGACCCAGAAAACAGCAAGGACATTAGTGAAATTTTGGAGGATTTGGGATCCACGCTGAGGTTGCTCCGCTGGAAATGCGTTGCGTGGGAATGTTTAAGATTGCGCTGTACTGTTCATTTGAAGGAGATCAAATGGCTAATGCTCATTCCCTTTTGTGATTCGGATGAGCAGATTCGCGAGTATTCCGCCCGCGAGCTGGGAAAGGTGCTTCTGGCGAATCATGGTTATGCTCTGTTTGCACTCTATGCTGACGAGGATGATGAATGGGACGCCCCAGTCGACACCAGGATGCTCGATCATTCGGCGGAGCCGTCAGGGGAAGAGTCGCATCCCTCCGAAGATGACGAAATCGAGGTCAGGATTCATCGACAAACCCATTCGTTGGATCGAATTGTCCAAGCATTGTTCCATGAAATCGACCAGTTGATGACGTTCTATTGCGACCGAACTTACACCCCTACCCCAACTCAGACGTCCTCTCAAGAAGACTCAGCATCGAAACGAGAGGACCAAGACCAGGACCGGCGCGTCCGCCGTGTATCGGCTATTCGTGTCCTTTCGTCTTTGTGCTACTTCGCCGATGCCAACTCTTATGTCGGAATGAAGGTGCTAGAGCAAGCCTTCTCGAGACTCACAAGGTTAGCATCGGCCTTCGACGACGACTCCAAACAACCACGCGACGCTTTTCTTCGAAAATTCGCCACGGCTTCGTCATCCTTTAGAGAGTTGATGCAGCTTTCTCGGCACCGCCGCAAGTTTTTAGACCATTTCACTGGCAGCTTGGTTCGTGATGTCCTCATGCCTCACTCAAGTTTGGCCGCACGGTATGACTGCGACAGCGACCTCGCGGACATAAGCCCAGGAACGCGCGAGCGAAGGTATTTCCGCCTCTCGCGTCTACTTTGCGGCTTCCTAGGAGCGTCCAACAAGGGGGTCCTGACATGCAAGCGACTCGATTCCGTGGATTCCTTTCTGAGGGAGGCAGTGCCCCATGTGCTGACCCATCTAGTCCAATGCCGCGATTACGATTCCCTCAGGCTTTTTGCCGGCTTCTACCCGTACTTCTTGAGAAGTATGAATCAGCTACAAGACAAGGCGCGACGACGAAGGGCCAACGAACCACTCCTCGCAAACCGGGAGGTCACTCTGGGGGAGTCGAAATTCAAGAAATTTGCAGGCCCCGTCATCAGCGCGTTAGTGCTGAAGGAGAAAACTCATAGTCTTTGCTTGCATCCAGAAAACGTTGGTCGCATGCTTACAGCTGTCCTAATGAAGTCGGATAAAAACTCTCTAACGTTCTTGAGATGCACCGTTCTGGATGGCAAGGACGAGTGGACGTTGAGAAAAGTTATCGAAGCTGCGGAAAACGAGATTGTCAAAGCGCTGGCCGCAAATCTTGGTTCTGACCCACAAAATGTCACCCCAGCAATAGTTGCCGTCAAGACCGCTGCAATTGCCATGCTCCACGAACCAACCGGCTCCGCCCGCGAAGACGCAGCGTCACTTGCCGACAAACTTGCATCTCAATGGATTACCAAGCATTTTATGGTTATCATCGTGATGGTGATTCAACACAAGTGGAAGTCAAAATCTCACAAAGACAAGCTGCGTTCGATGAGGAGTCTCAAGATTCTGCTTCGATTTTTACTGCCAAACGAGGCATTGCACTACTTTCCCCAGGTTCTCGCCGTAACCAGCGCCGCTATTGAGGACGGCAGTTCTAGCGGCTTTGATGATGAAGCAAAGCTGTTGGTTTGTGGGCGTATGCGCCTTCTGGCCGTGGAGGTTTTGGCAAAGTTCTGCCAGCTCCTGGGACCGCCAGCATGGCCCCAGATAGGGCAGAACTTGACAACTATCACAGTTTCTCTCATGCCAGCTTTGTCCCAACCCGACTCGACAGTGCACGCAGAAGTGCAGCGTCTACAACAGCTCTCTTCAGCAGCCGCAGCTAGCCTGCTGGAGTGGCTCAGTGTTGGAGCCCGTGGAAACTTCTTTAAACAATACTTCAGAGAGATTCCGTTTCTACCGGCTTCTTCCCAGCTGGATGTTGTGCGTTCTAACTTGAAAGAGCGCGGCGTGGTTTTCGACAATCTTGCCTCAACAGAGGAAGGAAGCGCACAACAACATGCATCAAGTAGGGATTCATACACGGGCTCTGCTGAGGCGTCCATCAGCAGCACTGTCGGAAAAGGTTCGAAACTGGCTCGAGAAAATGAGAGGGCCCAGCAGACAGCTCTATCCAAACGCTTGAAGACAGTCTGCGAGTTGCTTGGAAACGAGAACGTGAGCATTCGAAAGGCCATCCTAAAGCACCTACTGGGTCTTCTTCGTGCCAACAGATCTCTATTCCACTCCCTTGTTGCAAACGAGGGAAGCATTTCCAATCGACATTTCCTGACTCTCCAGTTCAGCGGAAAGGAAGGTAAGAGACTCGTCTTGCTGCCTGTGGTGCAAAAAGTGATGGTGGAACTTACAGGGCCGCCGTTTAGAATCCGCTGAGTCATTCAGTGTCACGACAATGATGGGCATTCTCTTGGCACGAAGCGTCAACGAGACAGGTAAGTCCGCCAGTTTCATGGCGCGATCAGGTGCTGCATATCGCCATTCTCACAGTTATGCTGCAACTTCAGACGACGATGCCAAGAGTCTGCTTGGTACCTGCCTGGGCGAGGTCGGTGCGATTGGCGAACACCGCCTGGGAGGTATCTCAATGGCCGCCGTAATGGGGCCATCGGACTCCCTCGAGGCTTGTGACAATGACTGGCGTCTCTCCCAGCCACCCTGGGCGTCTAACACGTCGAGATATGAACTCCAACTTGTAAAGCGACATCTTGTGGCAGCGCTGAAGGCCACAACTAGCACAGAAGACCAAAACAAAGTTGCCTTTGCATTCCAGGAACTCTTGCATCTGCTGGATGACGCTGCGCACCAAGGAAGTTCACAGCGGCCAGACACATCCCTTGGAGACGCAGGGGACAAGCCCCGGCGAGAGATGAGTAGCTGGTTGAGCGGGCAGTTGCAGGATGCTGGAGTATTCGAGACAGTAGAACCTTATTGGAACACGAATTTCACCGAAGTGAGTATCATCAGCGAAAAGATAAACGCGTTGGCCTTGTCCCGCATTCGACTGACTGTAACGTTCTTGGTCCAATAGTCACAGAAACAAATGCTCGCGGCGGTAGAACCCCCCTTTTTCAAGACGTCGAATACTTACTACTTGTGGCTCTCTCAATGGTGTCGCTTCATGGCGTTGCGTTCCCACTCTGGCAAGAGCCCATGGAGCAGTATGTTCCACGGTTGCCGAACGGCTCTGAGAGCCCCAGCAGGCTTGGTTGTCGCGGAGTTTCTTCTGCCCTTACTTGTCCTGGATCGACTTTGCTTTGGGAGTCTCCAAGAAAGCACAATAATTCTTCAAGAGATTCGGGATGTGTTTGGATACAGCAAGAATCATTTTGCCGATGACAGTACCGGTACAGACATGACGAACAGAATGTCTCAGCCTGAACACAGGAAGGCCGTCAACACGATCTTTATGGTTATCGACAATTGGCAGCACTGGGTGGAGTTTTACAAGGAGAATCGACAACAACACAAGCCTTCGAAACGCTCTTCTCACAGCCCTGATCTCAGCCCCATAGAGGCATGGACTGCCGACGACTGCATTTTCAGGATCGAAGAAATTCTTTCAAAGATTCCCTTATTGCTTCAAGCTGAAGCCGCGGCTTCTGTTGGCATGCATGCAAGGGCTCTCAGACTTTTGGAAATGGCAGCACGCAGTAGTGTCGTCAAGAAGGTTTTCAATGCGACCGGCAGCGATCGAGTAGAGGCGAATTCCCCGAAGGTGAAACAAGGCAGCTCAAGGGCCCTCGGCAGTCACGTGGTCTCCGGAGTTGATTTGAATCTGATGAAGGAGGTCCTGTCCGAGTTAAGTGACTACGAAACAATGGCTGCTCTTGAAGTTGATAGCCGTCATGCTAAGCCTTGGGAACGCACGATGGACAGCATCAGACAAAACGAAGCATCTGGCAACTGGGAAGGCGCACTAAGAGATTATGAAAGATTTCAACAATTGCGAGATGAATCAAAAGATTCAACGCTTCAGGGAGCTCTAAGGTGCCTTCTGAAGCTTGGGCAGTTTGAGAGTGTCTTGAATCAAGTGAGGGGCATCGTGCATGGAGGTGACACTTCATCCCATGCATCTTCGAGGGCCATGCTAGCAGAACCATTCGCAGTGGAGGCAGCATGGCGACTTGGAAGATGGCAGACGCTTTCTGAAGTATCAAACCAAATCTGCCAGCGGGGGAACATTGCTACCACGCTTGGGCCCGATGCGACCTATCAGATTGCGCAGGGTCAAGCCATGCTGGCGCTTCACGAGAAGAAGGCCGATGCAGTTGTGTCAGCTCTAACCACAGGTCGCCAAGCAGTGATGGATAGTCTCTCGAGTGTGGCCCGTGAGAGCTACTCGCGTGCCTATCCCTACGTTGTCAGACTGCAATGCCTACGTGAAATTGAGGACGCGGCTGAATTCATGTGTTCCTCCGACGATTCTTCCCCGTTCTCCTTTGTGGAGCTAACAAAATCAGAGTCTCACTATGGGTGGAGCTGGCAGAAGCGGTTAGAATTGGTTTCTTCGTCCAGTTCGGCTGCTGTGATCGACACGCGGCTTGCGTTGGCTCGGTTAGCGAAGGATCCTGTCTTAGAAGGCTCCCTTTTCTTGACGGTCGGGAAAAAGGCCCGAAAAAGTGGTCTGTTGGGCATCGCTGCGGACGCTCTAGCAGCAGCAGAGACAACATTTCATTGCGTCCCGTCAACTGCTGCAAGAGAGGTTGATGGGCTTCTGAACACCACTAAAATGCAGCTTGCCAAGCTGAAGCACAGTGCGGGTCAGAATGGCGCTGCTTTGAAAATGCTGGGCCAGGATCAAGTTAATCACTTGTACGTCATGAACGCCGTGGATGCCAAGAATGCGGTCTTGTCCCAGGAGAGGGAAGCGGAAGGATCGATGAGGGCTCCGGTCGAGGACGACGTTGTGATCGTGCGCTTTTCAAGCCGCGTCTTGCTGTCGACGCAGTGGATCGTAGAAGGTGGCTTGAAAGATGGCGCCGAAATCATGAATAGGTTCGAGACCATTCACAAGTTGGCACACAAGATGGAGAAAGGTGAGGCATGAAAGTTCCCGATGGCGAGGATGCAAAGCGAGTACTCACAACATGCGAACATGCGCTTTTGTGACCAGGCAATTTCTACTTTGCAAAGTATGTTGACTCAATTGTCTCGAATAGAATTGCTGCCATGATGAGTAGCCCGCAGGCACAAAACCAAGCTCGGGTTGACGAAGATATCGTCAGGTCTGAAGCTATCAAGAAAGATTCATGGTGCCAACAGTACATGCTCAAAGCAATGGAACATTACACACTGAGCTTGAGACTAAGCTTGAAACATGTGTATCACGCCCTTCCGCGATTGCTCTCGCTTTGGTTTGAGCTCTCATCTGTATTGGCATCTGAAAAGGTTGGTAGCACAACACAATCTGGAAACAAGAAGCAAAGAGTTTCGTACGGGTCATCCAAACGCCGGTCTTCACAGAATACCAAAAGTACTGGAGGTGAGAAGTTTGTTTTCACTATTCGCTTTGGATGTAGCCCTATCTGACCAAACCTTTCTTCCCAGAAAATCAAGACCATAGAGCAAACAAATTTATGCTCGAAAATGTGAAGCTCGTGTCGACGAAAACATTCTACACGGCAATGCCACAGCTCATTGCTCAGATAATGCACAAGGACAGTCGTACAGCCGAAATCGTGCAAGCACTTCTCAAAGAGGTACTTGCAAGGTATCCAGAGCAAGCGATGTGGCCGCTGGCCTGGCTTTGCCACTCAACCAACAGCAATCGCAACCGAATCGGCCAGGACATCTTCAAGGCTGCAGAAAAAGCGCTCGATAAGAACAACAAAAATTCACTTCGCAACCTCTTGGTGGCATCCAAGTCCCTTTTTAGGCACCTTCAGAGCATCGCCAAGTGAGTATAATATACAACCGAGCACGTGCTCTCTGCTTCGAGTGTTCTGTCTACTAGCTAGACCTATCTCATCGCTCTGTCTCTTCTTTCAATTCTCAACATAGGTTCGAAGTTCAAGATCCCAAGGGCAAGAGGAGAGGCTCCATTTCTTTGAATCCTTGGCGCGGGGAAGTACCCCTCTGTGACTTTGTCCCGCCGGTTCAAGCGGCCCTCACCGCGGTTTTGCCGTCATCTGACGGCATCGGCCGCAAGAAAGATTTGTTTCCGCGACAAGTTCCAAGGATGCGTGATTTTAGCTCGGAAGTCAAGGTGATGTCTTCTAAGGCTAGGCCAAAGCGTATAACAGCTTATGTGATCCCCGCTGCTAGCGCGTCAATGATCAGGCGTGAAAAGCAGAAGATTGCAAAGAAACCGCTCGAGATTGATATTGGCGAGCTTCACTTTCTTGTCAAACAGGAAGTGAAAGGCGACCTTCGAAAAGATGCTCGAGTGCAAGATCTCAACACAGTGATCAACCGGTTGATGGCTTCGTCACGTGACTCTGGCAAGTGTGGGTTTTCGTCCCAGAATCGCCAACTCCGTTTACGGACATTTGCTGTACTTTGCCTTTCGGAGGAGAGTGGAATCTTGGAGTGGGTGCCGGATACTACGGCTCTTCGTGCACTAATCCAGGGCACATACAATCCACAAGCTTGCGAGCACAGTGCGCGAAGAAGAGGCTCCAATGCTGTCAACTTTGCTGATGCTCATCTCCGTCAAGCCTTTGACAAATGCCAATCCGCGTTCTTTGAAGGCAAGCCAACCGATGCAGCGGCTCTATTTGAGGAAAGGATGCTGAAGGAATACCCCCCACTCTTCTACTGGTGGTTTGTTCAAAAGTTCCAAGACCCCCATGCATGGTACGAAGCAAGGACAGCGTTCACGTTGAGCGCAGCAATTTGGTCGGGGGTCGGCCACGTGCTCGGACTCGGAGACCGACATACAGAAAACATTTTGGTGGACACCAACACTGGAGAATGCGTTCATGTAGACTTTGATTGGTAGGTACAGGAGTGCTTGATGATGTTGTTGGTGATGTCCCCTTTTTCAGTTCTCTCACCATGCACTCACTGGCTTGCTGCCATTATTATGACTTTAGTATCTTTGACAAAGCCTTGAATCTCCCTCGGCCGGAGATTGTCCCCTTTCGATTGACTGCCAACATGCTGGATGCGTTTGGCCCGACGGGTGCGGACGGTGTCTATTCTGCGTCTCTCAAACTAACCATGGGCACTCTACGTGACAACCGCGACACGCTGCTCTCCGTGCTGGAACCATTCATCAAGGATCCCGTCATTGACTGGAAGCGTGCCAAGAGCACCCAAAGTCCCAAGAAGAAGAGCAGCAGCACGGGTGGTCGTTTGGACATGACCCAAGTGGCTGACCGTCAGACCCGAGATGCCAAGCAATCCATCAAGGTGGTGGAGCAACGATTGCGGGGTATCTACAACTTGCGGAATCCGAATTGGAAGAAAATCAAGCGAAAAGATGGCTTTGCAGCAGGCAACCAACAACAACCCGACGAGTTGACTCAGTTGTTGCCTTTGTCCGTGGAAGGTCAAGTCCACCAACTGATTACCGAAGCCACGAGCAGCGAGAACTTGGTCCAGCTGTATGTAGGGTGGATGCCATGGGTGTAGAGCAGAGCTAGACGAATCGAATCGAATCCACCTGGATATTTTACATTGCAACTAGCTAGCTATTTCGCCTTCATAGTTGGCTAGCTGAAGAGCAGGTTGTTGCTGCTCTGACAGCATCTTTTTCTGTGCCGCCGTCGCTCCTCTCCCCAATGTCCCACCCTGTTCATCATAAGGTTGTAATGCCAATCTTGGCTCCTTCGCGACAGCAACCTCCCACAACTCTTTCAGGTCGTCTCGTTGTAGCACTCGTGCCAATTCCGGCGAGAGTGGCGCTACACATTGGATCCGAGGAGTATGTTTGTTGTCGTTGTTGTCACTGCTGTCCTTATTGTCATGTGCAGTACTTATTGTTGCTGTTTCTTGATCATCTTCTTCTTGTACTCGTTGTATGGGAGGTAGGTCCACGGACATGCAATGCAAAAAGAGCCGATTGAACCCTCTGTTTTGTCTCCACCATCGATTGACCTTGGAGTCTCCATGTTCGGAATCTCCAATGATGGGATGTCCAATAGCGTGTGCATGCCGTCGTATTTGATGTTTGCGTCCCGTCAACAGTCGGCATTTGACCAGCGAACAGGCTCCTTGATACTCCTCTCCGAATTGGGCACCGTTGATGGACGCCAACCATTGAAATTCGGTTTGTGCCTCTCGTGTTACTTCTTGAACCGTAATGGGTTGATCTACCAACAGGGTGGGCTCCAAATTCCGCCAATCGCCGCGTACCAAGCAAATGTACTCCTTGGTTCCGGCTTTGAGGGCGGAATGCAATTGTCCACACACTTTCGACTCAAAGGCAAACAAGAGTACCCCGGATGTTCGATGATCGAGTCGATGGACGGGCCATACTTTGCGCGACAATTGTCGTTTGAGCAGTGTGGAAACCACAAATTGTCGTCCTGGTTGTTTGTGCGAATTCCGGCCACTGCGATGGACCGACATTTGGGCGGGTTTGTTAATGGCGACCCAGTCATTGTGATATTGTAATATTGGAATGCGCGGTCGAATCAATTTGGGATGATGACTGCCGTTGCTGTTGTTGGGATTCTTTGTTTGGCCTTTTTGCCCTCCTCTTCCTCGTCTGTTTCTCCTCTTCTTCTTGTGGAGCTTGGCTGGTTCCTCCTTTTCTTCTTCCTTGTCTTGTTCCGCTTTTCCATGGTCGTTGTCACTTTCATCATCATCATCATCATCGTGCGATTCTGACGCTGAAGATGACAAAGACTCCTCCAATTCTGATGTTCGGATATCCTGACCAGCTGGATCATTCGATGCACTCATCGTGGTCATGTAACGAGCAACAGCTCTCTTGTGATTCCTCTTCAAGGATACCGGTACTGGCACGGATGGCACCGCAAACGGACAAAAGCCCCGAACAGGAACCACCAAACTAGAAACAAGGCAGCTCGTCAGGACCAAACTGAGCTGCACCACAGGGGAAGCATTTACCATCCTCTCCCAATAGTCCTATATAGCCATGAGAGGATAGACCTCTTCAACGCTGAACTGTTGGCTGGCCTCCATTCGCTACCGGTAGTCTAGTCTGATGTCTCATTGAGCTCGAACTGTCCGCTCGAGATCTTTTTTTGTCCGATGAATCGAATCGAATCAAATCGAATCGAAAGCATTCGATTCTTCATTCGATTCATTCGAATCTTGAATCGAATCGAATCTTCGGTCTTGTCCGAAAAACGCTTCGAGTGTTCGGGATTGTTCCTTGAAGAAATCTTGTGCATGGGAAGTTTAGTTACTTAACAGCGGCACCTCCAGAATCTGATGGACAGTCAAAACGGCTGCCAGTCCGCCATGCATGGTACCGGTACAACTGTACGCTGTACCGGTACCGCTACAACACGCATGCATACCGGTACTAGTACCTGGTACCGGTCCACACCGGAAAGCAGTGACCACCACACTGGTCACGGATGTCGACAAGACGGCAGCCACTCCAAGCTCGGTCCCAAACAAGAGGACGCTCTCAGCGCAATCATCATGCCGCTCACTCGCCATAGATTGATCACTGCAGTCAGGTACGTACTACCCGAAGAAGAAGTCTACCCTTCTGCCATAAGGCTGCCACCTACCGTACTGTACCAACATGCCAAAGCAAAGAAGATCCAGCATGCGAGGCATGCGGAGCATGAGCTCCAGTGATTTGTCGCTCCCCAGTCGACCACATCGGACACTCGTATCGCCACATCAACGCCATTCCATTTCCATCAAATTGAATCTAAACTGGGCGTTGCATGTAGGTCGAGGGAAAGAATGGAAGGCTCTGCAAGATTCGTTTCAAAGAGTGCAAAAGAAAGGGGCTGCATCAGAAGCGTGCATTGTCTCGGGGCTATCAGGCATCGGAAAGACACATTTTTGTCGGCAACTGAAACGAGACATGATGGAATCCAAGGAAACTCCTCGTGGCTTTTTTGGAGAGGGGAAATTTGACCAATACCAGCAGCTGTCGGATCCCTTTGCAGCCGTTGTTGAGGCATTTTCGGATATTTGTAGCCAAATCCTCAAAGACTTGGAACGGAGAGAGGAGATCAGCAAGAATATTCAGGCATCCTTGGGGTCCAGAACCGATGTGAGACTGGCCATGAAACTGATTCCTCCCTTGGCAGAGATTTTTGGCAATAATACAATCTCAGTTGATGGTCCCGTACTTGGCAAATCAATGACAATACAACGGCAAACTGATCGTGAAGAAAGGCCCCAACCAAGTGGAGGACACGATGAAACCCTGGTTCGTCAGCAGCCAGTGTCAGCTAGTCACACCATGGCCCTGTTCCGATCATTGCTCAAAGGGATTGCCTCATCGTCCTGCTATGTCATACTCTTCCTCGATGACGTGCAGTGGTCTGACATGGCTAGCCGGGAACTCGTGCATGCCATTCTCTCTGACTCTACAATTCAAAATGTGCTGCTACTGGCAGCTCGGAGAGACAGTGAGCGCACACAGCAGAACCCTAGCAGCTCCAATCTCCCTACCATGATACCAGAGAACAAGAAAGAAGCGAACTATATCTCATTGCACAATCTCAGCGAGAGCCAAGTTACTGCACTTCTAGTCAGTCTATTTGAATGCCACCCCTCACACCAAAGCAATGAGAGGGTGCAGCCACTCTCCAAACTCATTCTGAAAAAGACTGGTGGTAACATTTTCTACATTGTGCAATTGCTCGAGTTCTTGCAGCAGCAACATTTGCTCTTTTATGACACTCTGGACAATGAATGGACTTGGGATTTGGCCGCCATCACTCTGAAGGCCAATGCCAGTGAGAATGTTGTCCAATTTCTCACACAAGTCATTGAGAACAATCTGCCAGGAGAAGTCAGAGCTGCCTTGGCAATGGCATCATGCCTGGGGTTTGTCTTTCATGTAAAAGTGCTCACATTGGCTCTGCAAATGACAGAAGACAGTGCCAGCTTCTTTGCCGAGCATGCGACAACTTCTACTGACAACTGTGAGACTTCAATGTTGTGTCAAAGATTGCAGGACAGCTTACGGTATGCCTCTGAAGAGGGGCTGATTGAATCAGTATCAAAGGATGGCAGCGTTTTCAAGTGGTCACACGACAAACTACTGGAGTGCTGCTACAGCAACATGGCAGAGAGACAAGACATTGAACTATTGCATCTTCAGATTGGGAGGGCTATGCATCAGAAGCTCCTTTTGGAGGAGGCACAGGATGATAGCTTCTTGTTCCTAACAGTTGCACAAATGAATCGAGGATCAGCCCGTATAGATCGAGGATCAGCCCGTATAGATCAAACCAGCCACGAGCGCATTGATCTTGTAGAGCTAAACCTGAGAGCTGGTGAGAAGGCAAGGTCGCTATCAGCATTCCAGACTGCATCTGAATACCTGGCAATTGCTCGAAGACTGGTTATAGAGGATGATTGGAAGAATGAGTTCGTCCTGACATTGGAGCTCTACACCATGTCAGCTGAGACAGAGTTTTCCTGCGGCAATTACGACACGTTGAAGGATTTGTTGGACCAAATTGAGAGTCATGGGCAGACTATTGAGGATAAGATGAGAGCCTGGTATCTTCGTGTGGCCATGCTTGGGCAGAGCAGTCCCAGGGAAGGATCCAAAGAAGCATGTCGTGTGTTGGGTCTCTTGGGCCAGCCAATGCCTTTCAGGCCATCTGTGTTTCGTCTGGGGTATGAATTCTTTCAAGTCAGAGCCATGGTAAACAATTGCAATGAAGATGACCTGCTCAATCTACCGACAATGGAAGGGAAAAAAGACCGTGTCATCATGAAACTCCTGCAATTCGTTGATTACTTTGGAAGAATGGACGAAAATGAGAGTTTGATGACCTTGAGTCACCTCAGGCAAATGCAACACACTCTAAAAAATGGCATGAGTGACGGGGCGGGTGCAACCTATGCGGTGTGGGGGATTGTGAAAGGAATGTTTGGTGATGTCGATGGGGCGTATCGGTTTGGGCAATTGGCAACCACGGTTGCTGATAACTGGGAAGAGAGCCAGGGTGCCATCCCAAAGGCTTATGCATCGGTATATACATGCATCAACCATATGAAGGAGCCTCTAGCACATTCCGTGGACCCACTCTTGATGGCATACAGAGCTGGACTTGAGTCAGGAGAAGCTTACCATGGTGGCTGCTGCATGTCTGCCTACATGGGCGTCTACATTACAATGGGCTTGCCAATAGGCCCGTTGTTGGGAGATATGGAAAAGTTCATTGGCCAACTCCAGGAGGGTGGTCAAGGCCAACTTGTCCGTTTCATTCGTCCAATGAATGAATTTGCACGGATTTTGGCTGGAAAGCAGTCCTCTCCCTTGATTATTGATGAAACGGACCTGCCCGTGTACCGATCCACAGATTCCATCTGGTTGATTTATCTTCAATACATCCAAAATGACATTTGGGAAGCAAGAAACACGCTGCGCCGTGTCATGAAAACCACCAAGGAACCATTGTTTGATGTAATATACATGAGCTACCATCTCAGGATTGTTTCTGCCCTTATCTGCTATGGCATCTACCGGTTGAAACCCAAGAGGAAATACATCAGAATGGCTTCAAAGTTCAAGAAGTGGTTTCGAACAAAGGCACAGAAGGGTGATATCAATGTCCCTGGTATGCTTCAGCTGGTGGAGGCCGAAGAAGCAGCAACTCTGCAGCATTCAACTACTGACCAAACACGCAAAATATTTGATCAAGCCATTCAATCGCTGCGCCAAGGCAGCTTCACAGCATTTGCCGCCATCGCCAATGAGAGGGCAGGCGATGCCATGGCTCGGTTTAACGACCCTTTCTGGAGAGACAACTACTACAGAAGTGCGAGGCTGCTGTACAAGGAGTGGGGGGCAACAACAAAAGCGGAGGAGATGAAGGCAAAACTTGGAAATGAAGAAAGCTCTGCACTAACACAATCACATGTGTTGACGGTGAGGGGGCGCAGCCGTTTTGATGCTGTCAACATTGAAAACTCGTTGGAGGGAACATTTGTCTCTGAGATGCAAATAGATTGATCCCTTGGTAGCCATAATAGTCTTCAAATCTTAGAAGGTTCTTTTCCACTGACGGCCAGCTAGCTAGGATAGGATGATCTGCAGAGGCAAAGTTTAAGCCATGTCTCTTTTTGAAGGGGACAAACCACCTGATCTCTCTTTGCTTCCACCACGTTGATTTGTCTGGTCGATTAATTGATTCGAAAAAGCGCAGCTTGTCCACGTAGAGAATCCCTGATTTTCTCACCGTGGATTTCCAAGACTCCAGTGCAGTCGCAAGAAACCTGGATGCGACAATCCTTCAGTCGACTGAATAGACGCAACTCATGCTACCTGCACTTGGCAATGGCGTTCATGGCCCGCTGCATGGCTGCAGCAAAAGCAGCCCTCTCATCTGGCGAAAGGGATACAGGGTTCGTCTCCAAGGTTGCTGCCATGGTATCTAGAGTTGTTGTCGCCACTTTGACAAGTGCTGCCTCGGCGCTTGTTGGGCCTGCCTTGGCTACCGAAGAGGACTGTTGTGGGTTTATAGCTGTCACGTCGGTCGGTGCTGTGGTTGGTGGCTTTGTACTAAACACTCCAAACTGTTTGGCTTCCACCGCCCGAAGTCGTTGTCGGTCTTCCCACCCAGACGGAAGATTTGTGGAGGTAGTTGGACCTTCTTGTTTCTGTTCAATCTGCTGCATGTAGAACGCCTTGACTTCTTCGGTCGTCTTGTAGCCACTACCACCTTCTTCGCTGCTATAAGCATTCTTCGCCCCAGAAAACTTGTTCGCGGCATCGCCACCAAGCTTCAAGTCATGCTCTGACATGGTGTTGTTCCTATCACCCCATCCGATCGGCAGAGACGACATGGTTAGTGCTTGGTCAGTGGCTGTTGATTTACATATATGTGAGTGAGGTCTGGTGGCTGTGGGTTGTGTGTTGCGGCGCAGCGGCGATTGCTATCTAACAAGCTCGATTGGTGGTTGGAGGGAGGCATGCCGACGCCTTGGAAAATCGCAATAAGTCCAGTTCGGTACCCAAAGCAAATGTGAGTAGCATGTTTGGGGTTCGGGGTTGGCGAGATGAGAGACGAGGTCCAGGATCTCTTCTGTCTTATTCAAGGTCTACGAGTAGCTACCAGCCAGTAGCTAGCTAGTAGCTAGCATCTCTCTAGCATCCATCATTCTAAAACATCCTAGCTACAGTAGCTAGCCTTGTATCGCTTGCTCTCTAGCTCGCAACTTGTTCCGCAGCCAGCCGAGACCATTACGTTTTTCAGAAAGGGGTCTGGTGACTCTCTTCTCCTGGCCGGACACAACTGCATTTGACAATGCGGTTGGGTTCGAGAGGATGAGAACAAAGATGGTACTCAGAAACTCCAAATCATCCTCATCACTTTCTTTGTGATAACGTAGCAACTGGTAGATCATGCCGTTGTTATCGTGATAATGGCGAATGCCCCGCCGATTCAAGTGCAAGTAGAAATTCATCTCCAGACTGGTCAATGTTCCAGTGCCGTCCAGAGTCAGGTGACGTAGAACTGGATTTTCTCGCAGCATGTCAATCATGGGTTGGGTGCACACTCGACGGACCATTGACGGAGACACAAAGGGCCATTTCAGATGTAATTCTTGCAAGCTTCGGTTTTCCTTGGCCAACGCCAGGACCAGGGGAGTCACTTGTTGACGAAAGGAATCATTGTCGCTGTCATGATAGGTCGTCCTATTGTCCAATTCCAAAGTCAACAATGTCTGATTGTGCTGCAGGGACTGTGCCAGCGGAGTCCCATAGTCCTTCCAATCAATCCCGCCCAACGAAAGGTGGCGTATTGTGGTATTTTTCTGGAGCATGCTAGCCCATGCGAGACAGCTGGATGGGCCCCAAAAGCTACCAGATAGTTTGATACGTTGTGGTGCCCTGATTGTCTCTTTCATCAAATCCTTTGCCATGGCGGTGATGGAGTCATTTAGATTGGGCGATGATCCCATGTCCGTGATTTCCAAGTCTTCCAAATTCGATAATGGATTGTTGGGATTCAACTTCTTATTGATGGACTCCAGATTGCCATCTGAGATGGGGGTATCTCGGATCACGAGCTTCGTCAAGCTACCACCTTTGGTTGCACCACCAAGCACGTCGTCCAGTGAGCAGTTTGTGAATTCACAAGACTCGAGGATGATCGTTTCCACAGAGGAACGTGTCGTAATAGTGTCGTCTTTTCTAACATCTTCACCATGGAAATGAACACGCTGCAAGGTCAAGGTGGTCAAATGAACCAGTGGCACCACCATGGTTGACAGTGCTGCAATTGTTGACAGTGTCACATCTTCGAGTGTGAGGTGTTGCAGCTTGGGGGCAGTCTCCGACAAGTACGTGGAACAAGCCAAAACTTGCTGAGGCACAAAGTGGGAATCGTCAGTACCAACTTCTTCAATGTGCACCGACGTTATGGCTCTTTTTTGACGGAATATCCCACGCGGTCGCTGCAACGAGTGGGATGCCGTGGAAAAGTCTCCCCTGTTCAAGCACACCTTCAAAGTTGTTGGTTGCTTCTGATGGTTTCCTTGCTTTTTGTTTCGAAGGATAATTCTAAAGTCCATCATCTTAGGAATGCAAAAATTGTATTGTTGGTTATGTTGTCTTTTTATTGTGAGCAACGATGTTGGTTTATTGTTGATGTCTTCGGATGCTGGAATATGTTGTGTTGCTTGGTTGCTTCCGAACCTTTCCTCCCTGTGCTCCGTGGGTCCCCTTTCTTCATTCCCGGTTGCATCTTTAGAAAGGCAACCCGAAACGCCTACAGAGCCGTCCCTGGCAGAGAACATCCTCTGGTCCTACTATATGCGTCCTGTACTGTACTGGCTAGCGGTATCTAGCTAGAGTAAAAGTAAGTCTGTTGTCATAAAGGTGTGGTACCGGAATTCTCTGCCTCTATCTCTACATTTTCTCACTTGCGGTTGGCATTTTCCTGCAAAGGTACGTGTACCTGCTAGATGCTGGATGCTGGTTTCCCGAAGTCTCAACGAAAAAAGTCAACTTCGAAGAGCGTTCTATCATCATCACGTCCAGGTCCCATTGTGGTGCTTATCTGATTCGATTCTGATGACGAGCGACTTCAGCAGATTCCCAGTTGAAATTCGTTTTGATACTAATGAGAGCTACGGTGATCCTCAGTTGTTGTTTGGTTCTGCTGGTTTTCGGTATTGGTGTCCTGCTTGCTTGTTCGCTTGCAGATACGACGTACTTCTGCGTCGTTCTTCCCTCATTTTTCAGCCCGCAAAACGTTGCCGGCCTAGCTAGGTTCTCGTTGAAGATTTTATATTTGGTGGAGCCGTGGCTTCTCGGTGGCTGGTGTCCTAGATTGAGGATCTCCACGACCCCTACAGAGGTGTGTCCCGGTATGAAGGCAAACTCCGGTATGAAGGCAAACTCGCAGGATAAACCTTCTGGCAGCACGGACTACACGAGCATTGCGGAAAGACACGAAAGACAACGTTGGTAAGGACCTACGACAACGCCATCCCCCCATTGTTCCGGTCCGCCTATGTTTGAACCAGCTTGTGCCCAGTCGTCTGGCACTTTCCCTGATAGTGTTTATCTCGTATTTACGAACCTCTCCTACCGGTACTGGCCAGTTTGCTTCCTGCAGCCCTCCAAGGCAACAGCGCGTTCCTACCCATTTGAACCATACACAAATAGAATTGTGCACTCTTTGCAATCTCAGCTGCAAAATCTAGATCATTGGCACGTCCAATCATCAGCAGTTTCCTTTCAATGAGAAGGATTTCTCATGATCATACCGGCGCTTCAAGGTTGCCTTTAAACGAGCTAGCATTCGTTGATTGGCCGTTTTGGCGTCTGGAACCAGAAAAAACTCATCCAACCGGCCCTCAAATGTGAGACCGGTCTTGAAGGTGCTTCTTAAATGGGTGGGCAAAATTTGTCGCAATAAGGTCGCCATTATGTTCACAGTGGTGCTCGTGTGGAAAAGCCTGAGCTGTCCATTGAAAGGATAGACTGTCAAGAGCTCGGAAAAGAACTTCTGAAAGGTTTTCAGGTCCTGCTTTTTCGTCCAGTCCCAACCTGCCGTAGCCGAACAGAAAAGACATGTTGGAAGCTGAAACTCTGTGGATTGTAAGCAAGACATTGACACAGATGCCATACAGCAAACAACTAACCTTCACATTCTGCCAGACAAATAATGCCTTTTCGAATAGAGTCCATATCAGGACAAAATGCAGTATGGATATAATAGCCTCCTCGAAGCCAATCATCAACCTTTTCAGGAGTATTCAGCCTTGTTGAATCCAGCTTGGGGGCATCATGGGCAAAGACATAGGTTCCTTCCTGTTGACTGAAACTGAACCCAAGGTGTTGGCCTGGCATGAGCTCAAATAGTTTCTCAAGACAGCGACATCCTTCTTCATACGTGTCTAAAATCTTGTACTCTTTCTTGAACTCTTGCACTCCAAGTGCTCGGCGGATGGCATTGTCAATGTCATTCTTTACAACAACACCGTACTGAGCATACATGAAATCGGTCATATTTTCCAAATCAGGCATCATTTCCACCGCATCCTTGAGTTGCTTCCCAAACTCGAATTCTTCAGGGGTCAGTCGATTGCGGCGGGGATCATCCATGCCCATGTTGGCTGGAATTGGATTGTCATCATTGTTGTTGATGTTCGCATTCTGATCTTGCTCTTCATCAACAGCTTCAGTAACAACAGGCGCTTCTGCAGCTTGGTTCATTGTTGCTCTCTGTTGAATGAAGGTGGAACTACATCGCTAGCAAGCGGTGGAAACGGTCTTCAACAAGCAAAGAAGATGGAAGATGGAAGATGGACGCTGTTCAATGTTCAATGCTTGTCGTGAGCAGTTCTACCACCTGTAAAATCGTGATCTGCGCAGTGTCTGGGTTCTTGAACGGGACTGCAGTCACAAGGATTGATAATTCTTCAAAATTTAATAGCCTGAGCTTGTCGCTTGTCGCACGTGTGTCGCAAGCAAGAGCTTCCAAGAAGAGTAAAAGGAGTGCTGTGGGCCCTCTGAATTCTGAATGACCATACTTGTCCTGTACTCCTTAACTAATTTTGATTCGGTCACAGACCAAAGCTCACTTCTTGACTCACTTCGTTTCTTGCCTTTAAATCGGTTCTTGAACATTTGATCCACGCTCTACACTCAGTGGTTTGGGCTCCATAAGTACGTTATTACGGTACAGTACCCTACCTTCCTAATAATTGAGGCTTCCTGGCTTGCCCCTCGCATGGTCATCAGACAGACAGTCTTTTGGCCACCCAGTCACCAGCGAGCTGGCGAAGACGATGAAGCCGCAAGTAACCAAAACTGTTGTCTGCATCGAGCAACCATTCATCCCTCCTCGACCTCTGGGAACAGTTCCAGCAGCTATTCCAACCCATACCGGTACGGTAGTCCACTCTAACGAGGTAGGTAACCCGATCATCCATTCATCGATGAACCAAGCTGCAGAAGCACCCGTTGTTAATGAAGAGCAAGATCAGAATGCTACCATCGACAACGACAATCCAATTCCGGCGGACATGGGGATGAATGATCCCCGCCGCAATCGACTGACCCGCGAAGAATTTGAGTTTGCACAGGAACTGAAGGACATGGTGGAGATGATGCCTGATTTGGATAATATGACCGATTTCATGTATGCCCAGTATGGTGTTGTTGTTAAGAACGATGTTGACGATGCCATCCGTCGAGCTTTTGGCTTGCAAGAGTTCAAGAAAGAGTACAAGATTTTGGACACGTATGAAGATGGATGTCGTTCTCTTGGGAAAATGTTTGAGCTCATGCCAGGCCAACACCTGGGGTTCAGTTTCAGTCAAGAGGAAGGAACCTACCTTTTTGCCCATGATGCCACCAAGCTGGATTCAACAAGGCTGAATACTCCTGAAAAAGTTGATGATTGGCTTGGAGCATGCTATTATATCCATACTGCATTTTGTCCTGATATGGACTCTATTCGAAAAGGCATTATTTGTCTGGCAGAATGTGACGGTAAGTTCCTTTGTTTGTTTCAGTTTCTTGCTAACACTCCACCATGCGAGTCATTATCTAACAAAAAGTATCGTCAACGTCTTTTTTGGTTGGCAAGGATGGGATTGGACCAAAAAGCAGGACTTCAAAATCTTTCAGAAGTTCTTTTCCGAGCTCTTGACGGTCTATCCTTTCAATGGACAAGTCAGACATTACCACACAGGCACCACGCTAAATATAATGGCAGCAATGCTGCGACAGATTTTGCCCGCTCATTTGAGGAATACCTTCAAGACAGGTCTCGTTTTTGAGGGCCGGTTGGATAAGTTTTTTCTGGTTCCAGATGCCAAAACGGCCAATCAACGAATGCTAGCTCGGATGAAGGCAACCCTGAAGCGACGGTATGATCATGAGAAATCCTTCTCATTGAAAGGAAACTGCTGATGATTGGCTGTGTCAACTAAGTAGAATTCCGCAATAGAAGTGGGTACAAACTTGCAATCTGCATGCTGCATTTTGGAAGGTTGCAGGAGCCAACATACACACAGGTTGTTCTCCCGGTACCAGGAGTGAGATAGTCGGTTGATTTCACTCGTGCATAAGATAGGTCGGTTGTCCATGCCGTACCGTACGCCAACAGTACGCAAACTATTTCCAATTGGTGTAGTAGACATGCAGTTGTTCTGGCCTAGTAGCTAGAACCCCCGTTCATCCAGTTTTAGCAAGCAAGACGTGTAGATGTCTTTATTTATTAAGAGCGTGCTCTAACTCTCTACGAACAACTGAAGCTTGTGGTGCAACTGATAGCAAGCTCGTCCCACACGACTCTCAATACGATCAACACAAAAGAGCGAGCTTAGTCGACTTTTGCCAGACCCTGGTCTAAATCAGCAATGATATCTTGTATGGATTCGATTCCAATGCTCAAGCGAACCATATCTGGCCTCACACCGGCCGCTTCCTGCTGTTCTGGATCGAGCTGCGAATGGGTAGTCGATGCTGGATGAATGCACAGAGATTTGCAATCCCCAACATTTGCCACATGACTGAACAATTCAAAGCCATCGATCAGCTTTCGGCCCGCGTCCATCGGTTGATCTGACTTGATTCCAAAGATAACAATGCCACCTCCCTTGCCCTTGAGGTATTTTTCATTGAGGGGATTGGAAGGATCATCCTTTAGACCAGGATATCGGACCCAGGAAACCTTGGGATGTTGTTGCAGGTACTCTGCTACCTCCAGAGAATTCTCGCAATGACGATCCATCCTCAAACTAAGAGTTTCAATACCCTGCAACATGATCCACGCATTGTCGGGTGAAATGCATCCACCGAGATTTCGCAGATTGCAAGTCAATGCACGAAGCTTGAACGCGAGAGGTGCCAATGGCTCGGGCAAGTCATGGCCCCATCGCAAACCTCCGTAGGATGAATCGGGTTCATCAAACAGAGGGTGTTTACCAGCTGCCCAATCGAATCTTCCGCCATCAACAATGATACCTCCAAGACCAGCGCCGTGGCCACTGATCCATTTGGTACAAGAGTTGGTTACAATATCCGCCCCAAACTCCAATGGTCGGCAGAGGTAGGGAGTCGAAAAGGTGGAATCCACCATAAGTGGCAGTCCAATACCATGGGCCTCGTTGGCAATCGCCTCGAGATCAAAGACATCCAAACTAGGATTGGAGCATGACTCGGTAAAGAAAGCACGGGTCTTGTCGTCTGCAACTTTGGCAAAGTTGGAAGGGTCTGTGCCATCTACAAAACGAACCTCGATTCCCATTTTGGGTAGCAAGGTGTCAAACATGCTGAACAACAGGAACAGCAGCAATGTAGCGTTATATATCATCATCTGGTAGTCATAAGAGTCATAGGCCATCAACCGCTTACGTGTAAGTCCCTCCATACAGCTGACTGGATGAAACAATGTTATCCCCATTTTGGGCCAGGGTGAGGATACCGTAGAAGATGGCATTGGTTCCGCTTGCAACGGCCATACCAGCCATTTCATGAGCACCCTCCAGCTGGGCATAGCGAGCCTCCAAGACATGATTGGTGGGGTTGTTGATGCGAGAGTAGATATTACCCAGTTCTTCCAGAGCAAACAGCTTGGCAGCATGTTCCGAACTCTGGAAAACAAAGGGTGTGGTCCGATGTAACGGAACGCCACGGGGAGCACCAAAGCCTACTCCGTAGGATGCACTGGTGTCTGGAGTGTATCCTCCATGCCTGGGATATGACGATAGAAAGGTGATTAGAAAAACAACAAAATGTTGGACGAAAAGAGGCAGTCAGGAACGGAGTTTGTCCAACAGAAAAACAATCAAGGAGCTACAAATCTTCTTGTGAAAGATCGTTTCTGCAAAGATGCCACAACCACGGCAACGCATCCAAGCAGGAACATCCATTGATTGGCACGTACAGCGCAATGGTATCAAAACCTTTCGTAGCAGTCAAAGCCTTGAGGGTGGAGCTAAAGGACCGAGAAAGGGGAGACGAAAACAAAAAGGAAGAACTTTTGGCAAATCGATTCATCATTTTAAAACAGGGAGCTCCAAGATGGAAGAGTGATGGTGCGAGGGTATTCTAGTCTACTACTTGCTTGCAAGTATCTGAAATTTGTGTGCAATGAACAGCTGACTGCCATCATGTTGCGTTGATCCAAAATCCAAAATGGTGTTTTTAGAGGGGTTGTCTGTTTCCTCCTTTTTGAAACTTTCTCTCTCTGGCCTGGGGGGTGAAAAGTTTAAAAAAGGGGTCGGAGAGGCTGCTTCTCCGATGGAGGGCCATTATTTTACCAAGAATTTCGTTGACAGCACCTCTCCGCACCTCCGACTCCCCCTTTGGTTGCACCTCCACCCCTCTTCCTTCTCCCCGCTCAGAGAAAAAAGGAAAAGGGTCAAAAGGGTGAAGATTTGACCACTTTGGAGCGTGGTTCTCGTTTTCTTTGGCTCGTTTCTGCCTTCGTTTCTGAGGGAAAATCCAAAATCCATTCGCTTGCAACCTCCATTTCGCGTTCACGATGCTCCGAGTTCTTGCCCTCGGTCTTCGATGGTCAACTTTGGCCTTTTCAACGGCCTCTTTCCCTTTTTGTTTTATTAAAAGTACGAGCTGTACGTGCTCGAGACATTAAAATTTTTGGTTTTGTTGAGACTATCTTAAAATTAAAGTTTACCCTTCTGATCTTTGGCTACGCAGCATTGGTTCCAGGTATGCATATCCCAGAGTTGTTCCACCAAGGTTCAAGGATACATACATGATGTACATTGTACTAGCTAGTACATGGTGAAGGAGCTGCTCAAGGAGGACCTCACAGCTCACAGAGTCTCACAGAGCACAGAGGCAATCCATTCGCGTCAACAATCGCGTCAAAGTTCAAAGCTTCAAGCTTCAAGGAGCGGTAAGTTCGCTCTGGTGCGGTATCGGTACCGGTACGCACGCTACATGACCGGTACCGTAGCAGTTTATCCATTCGGGGATGTTTTTGGCGTTTTTATCAAATGCAGCAAAAAGTGAGAATACTACATTGTAAATAATTTGCTGGGATTGACAGAGACAAGCCTTCAGGCTGGAGTTCTGGGGTGTGAACTTCTGGTGCCACTAGCTAGGCAGCAGAACAGTACTGTGGGTGATGGGTTGACTCTGTGGTACTATTTCTATGGAATATCGATTGCATTCACACACAGCATTGGTGTTTTTTAATAAACATCAATGGTGGTTGGCGCTGTTTTTGGCGCGCAATTACGTACTTTTCCAAAGAGCCCTCATCATTCGCGTCCACAATACTCCGATCGCGTCGCGTCAAAGTTCATACAGGAACACGTCTCCCCTGGTTTAGAGGCGAGATGACACTTAGAGCGAGACTGGCCGGGCGAGAGCTCCGTTAAGAGCCTGTCGGTCCTCAATCGTCCATTTTATGGGCTTGAACGCGGAATGTAATCTCCTCCAGGCTTCGAAGGCAGTTAGTTACCTGTTGGTACAGCTGTAGTTGCTCACGAAAATCGATACTAGTAGCTACGTAGTATGTTTTCTGTTTTGTTTAGTGAATTGGAATATGTTAGACTAAAACTTCCTGTCCTAAAACATGCAACTTCAGCAAGGAAGCTCCCAGTCTGGACCTCCCGGCTACAGCATGTACCGGTACACTAGCTAGTCATCAAATGGGTAGCATTGGAAGTAGCGGGCCTGATCTTGCATATTTTGCATGGCAATCCATTCGGCTGGAGCTCCCACAGGGTTTCCTCGTTGGTTGCAGTCCTCCCTGGCAATGGCCTTGATGGCATTGGCAGGTCCAACACCTTGCTCGATCAAATCTTCCCACCGTTCTCTGGCTTGGCTGGAGGCAAACTCGGGTGGTCCAGCCTGCAAGAACCGACGGTTCCCCTTGCAACTTCCATTCTGACACTTGTTGCTGCAACACTCACAGTCACTGGAACAACCTCCATTTCTCCCAAGACAAGTGCCATCGGGAGTGCAAAACCCAGAAGAGGAAGTGGGCGATGCAACTGGGCTCGCAACGGGTGATGCAACAGGCGATGCAACAGGCGATGCGACCGGAGAAGCAACGGGCGCTGCGACGGGAGGATCCACTGGCGAAGAACTGCAATCAATTGTCGTGACCTGGGATGGGGCAATGTTGACCCAATTGACATTGTTCGTGTCGGCATAGCGTGTTGTTGCAGTGTCCGTGGCATCCTCCAAGAGCAAGGCTAGATTGTCGTTGGCGTAGGTGACGCTGACAATCCCACCATGACTATGATGCAAGTCTCGGGCTGTGGGAAAGTTCGATGTGCCTGTCTTGTGAAAGAAGTCTCCGTGAGTCAGTGCGCCGCCATAGGGAAGCACCGCATCGAGATTGCTGGAATATTGATCACTGGTCAAGCTACCTGAGGCAACCTGGTCGTGATTCCAATAGTCTTGAAAAATGGCCCAGATTCGGTCCACATTCGCCTGAGGAAAGAAGGGAAAAGGAGAGATTAGCTACTGAGTCCTGAAGCTTGGAGCGTGAATTTCATTTCAAAAGAACTCACGTGATGCATCATGAACAATGGATCATCCGGGCTGTGCATTGTAGACATGTGGCTGTGATGTGTGTGTATCGGTATTTGAGTACAAAAGAAAGGGAAAGGCGACATAAAGTTAGTAATGCTTCAGTGCAATGATATGCATGTAGTAGAAATCATAGTTCACGCCGACTTTTTAAAAAGATTGAAAACTCACCCTCCAATGAAAATGTGTGGATTTGCATGAGGATATCCTTCCAGTGCCGGACGAAAGTATTCGAACACACTGCTGTTGGTGACAATTGCCAACACTTGGGCCTCTGTCGCAAAATTGTAGTTTTGATTGAAGCGTCGTTCCAGACACCCATTGGTCCATACCGTGGTGGACCAGATTCCCTGATAGCCGGCAATTCCCTCATCAACACAACCTCGGAAACGTCCATTCGGCCGCACTCCAATCGATGATCCAAAGGTGTCGGTTTCCAAGACATGTGCATACAATTCCGAGCCAGCATCGTATTCCCAGTCGAAAATGGGCAGGGTAAGACAAGCTTTGCCCGAGACAATCTGAAGAGCTTGTTCAAATTTGTAAATGTACCAACGATGCCATGGCAGAAAGGCGTCCACTCCATGGGCCACACCACTATTATCAAAGTGGATTCTTACAAAATCATCAAAATTTGGAATGCCGTACGCATTATTGGATTCCAGCGCCTTGAGATCCGCCACAGCCTGCAGGAAATCCAATTTGGCCTGGCAAGGGGTATCACGCCAAGATCGTCGCTGACTCGTCGTGCACGATGTTGCCACAGAGGCCAGCAAGGACCACGTCAAGACACAGGGAGCAACAGCAATTGTCTTCATCATCGATATTCTTTGCGATGTTACCAAAGCAAGGACCACAACAAGACGACTCGACTCCACTCCACTCCACTCTGACTGTCACTCAACTCGGAACTCGGAAGATAGCTTTTGGAGCTGCTTTTGGTTTGAAAATTGTGAGGAGCATCGGTTTGGTGGCAGTGAGGCAACCACGCAACCACCAAGCACTCTCTTATTATTAATGACTAAAAGAATAACGCGAACAAAAATGTTCGAAAATTTGAAATTGATTAAATAAAAATATCAAGAGGACTTAACATCAGCAGTCGCCATGCAGCATTTCATCCATTCGCGGATGATTTTTGGCGCAGAAAATGTATGTTTTCTTCTGCATGGAGGCCAAACCGGTGGCGTTGTCAGCTCTATTGACCTCGTCATCAAAATGCTGCCGAACTACATGTACATGTAACACAGGGATTCGGTACATGTACCGTACTCGTATGGCTGAATTGCTATGTGGGGAGTGGTGATGGAGACTTTGTCTGGGCGACATACAACCAAGTAAGTGGGTCAACTGTTACAGGTCTGTACCACGTACCGTTACCGTAGTGAAGGACAACAAAATTGTTTTCAAACGCTTTACTAGGACCCACCGTAAATCAGAGTGGCTGGATGTTGTGAAAGCTGAGGAGGGCCGTCGAGTACAGTACCGTATCCTTTCCGATCCAGGAAACCCCGATTTGCGTTTTTGGTGATATCATTCGTGGATACTATTAGCGAAAATGAGCCAAATGGAAAAATGGTCATGAAGATTCGGAAGTCGGAAGACCACAGACGTCAGACCTGCGATGGGACGACGGTTGCCAACCTGACAACATGTTCAACTGCTACCAGGTACCTGGTAGCTAGTAGCAAGGCTCTTGGCATGGCAATGTTTGGTGATGGCTCCACCCAGCCAGCCCTCTCAGATACCGTATTAGAGAAGAGGAAGGTGGATCAGCAGCAGGAAGCATAATCATGGTGACTGCGTCCAATTTCCTTGGCAACCAAAGAGCGCTTGCTCCCTTCTTCCAGCGCATCTTCTTATTGCTGATTGTCACTGTCGCCACACAGTCTTTCATATTGCCACCCGAGATAAACAGACCATCCAAATGGAGAACCAAGGCAATAGCTTCCACGACGATCAGCACCACCAGAACCACACCAACACTAGTAGGAACCGCCACGATGGACCCACTCATCGCGAGGCTCTTATTATTGGAAGAAAACAATAATGACAATAATTATGAGCTACTACCAATACTATCATCCGACATAATGACGGCATCACGAGGCATTGCTGTGTGGCGTGCGACGTTGTTAAAGGGTCGATTGCCTACGGCTGTTGATTTTGGGGGCGCCACGAACGACATGCGAGAAATGTGGCCGTCTCCACCCATTCTCTTGGAAACCGTGACCACCGCCATGACAACGCTCCAGTTCCCACGCTTTGTTCTACGACATCCCGATACCATCGATGCCGTCTTGACCAGTCTACTGCAAATGACCGCACAATTTAAAAATAGTGCCAAAGAGCAGCAAGAATTGCAAGAGCTGCAACGACAGCAACAACGAGAAGATGTAGAAGAGGACGAGGAAGAGGATTGGGATATTCTACAAGATCGATGGACAGATTATGATGATGATGACGCATCATTAGAAGAAGAAACTGAACAATCTACCAGTGACCAACATGCAGAACTCTCCAGTGAAGAACAGGAAGAATTAGCAATCAGCATTGTGGCAGAAGGACTCACGGCACAGTGGGGTGGAGTTATCAGTGGTGTGCAAGCTCTGGATCAACTCTTTGGAATGGATCATGGCTTGTTGGACAGCAGCAACAACAATAATAATGCCAATGGCTTCGGATTGCACGATGGAGTGTGGAAGCATTCTGGATGGAAATTGCTCCCATCACTGCAAAGAGAGATTGCAGTCATGCCCGAACTACATGTACGGGCGCTCATTCAGCAACTAGGGCGACGCCCCACGGCAGAACAAAGCGATGCCATACACAAATTTGTGCCACGAAAACCCGACCAAGAAGGAGCATTGGGAGCTCAGTATGATCCGACCATACGGTCCTCCATTCGAGGCATTACTCTGTCGGGTAGTTTGTCGGAAATGCTGCCTTCAGAAGCCATGCTATTGGTGGAGAGGAAACAACAACAACAATCGGATCGCAAACCCTTGCGACGACTCTTTCTGGCCAAACTGGCCGAAAACAAGTTGTTCAGCTACGAGTCATCCGGGTGGCAAGATGTGCCCAGTATTACCCATCCAAAGAGTCGTCACCTGACACGTCTCCCGTCGGCACCGGGTGGACCCATTTTGATCTGTCTGGATACCTCGTGGTCCATGACGGGTCGACGGGAACAACTCTCCAAAGCCGCCGTCTTGGCATGTGTCGCGGCAGCTCACAAACAAAAACGGGAGGTTCAAGTGGTAGCCTTTTCGTCCCAACGAAATGTCATGGAAACGGGACCCATTACGGCCAATGTCGCGGGAGTACAACGCTTGCTGGAGTTCTTGTCGTCATCCTTTGGTGGTGGAACTGATGTTACCGGGGCCTTGAAACATGCCATGATGACCGTCACAACGTCGTCCTCCCATGACAATCAAAGTGACAAGGAGAACAACAATCCCGCCACAATCGACGATAGCAGTGATAGGAAGACAATGGCGGCCAGTCTTGATATTATCAATAGCATGGCAGCGGCAGATATCTTGCTAGTGACGGATGGAGAAATTCCGGACCCGCCTGTGTCTCAAGACGTAATGGAAAAGTTGGAGCGCCTGAAACAACGGGCCGGTGTGCAAGTACATGGTCTCTTGGTGGGAAAACGAGAGAGCGTTCCGTTGGCAAAGCTTTGCACCCACATCCATGACTTTTTGATTGGGTATGATACAGTGATGCCAGCACCTGCTACTTCATCATCTGCGAGGAGAAGTCTGGGAGCTCTGCAAGCAAGGATTGGCCACTCGCAGTCAACCAGGCATGGCTCGAGACCTTGGGGGTGGCATTGCACGTTTCGAGCTCGACGTGGATTCATCGACGTGAACAACCGATGTCATGGCTCGTTGGCGGCAAAGTTCTCTCGATACGACGATGACGAAGATTGGGGAGGTCGTCGGAAACGCAGGGGTGGCAACGAAAGAAGCTACGATGTTTATGACGAGGATGATAAGCGGGACGATGAGTACACTGACCGCAGATACACTGATGATTCGATACAAGTGAAAGAGAACGAACGAGGGGAACCCAATGGTGTCGAAACCGAGACACAAAAAGCTATTGAAAGCCTCCGAGCTTCGGTTGCAGAGACTGTTCGGAATCAGAGCTGGGAACCGAGCAGTCTGGATGAGGAAAAGAATGTCAAGAACTCCTGTTGGCTCTACCGTGGCGAGCTTTACCAAGCCGTCGAAAGAATCTCGGAAGGCTTAGTTGAGAGAGAGGAAGAGGCTCGACTGGTTGTGCTGGGGATGGTTGCCGAGGAACACGTTATTTTACTGGGGCCTCCCGGGACGGCGAAAAGTGTGCTTGGTCGACGTCTATCGCAACTGTGTGGCGGCACTTTCTTTCAGAGACTGCTTACCAGATTCACCACACCCGAGGAAATTTTTGGCCCGCTCTCGCTGCGCGCCCTTGAAAACGATGAATACCGGCGCAAGACTGACGGATTCCTCCCGACAGCCACTGTTGGCTTCCTGGATGAGATCTTCAAAGCCAATTCGGCAATTCTCAACACTCTTTTGACTATACTGAACGAGAGGCAATTCGACAACGGAGCCGGCGTGAGAGAAGAATGTCCCATTCGAAGCGTCTTGGGTGCCTCGAACGAGTTGCCAGAGAGTGACGAGCTTGATGCATTGTACGATCGATTCTTGTTGAGAAAGGAAGTCCTCCCTGTGTCCGATGAAGGCATACTGAGGATGCTTGGCATGCCACTCCCTGGTTTGTCACCTTGTGATGCAACGAACTCTTCAACAGAGATTGCGACAACTTGTGACACAGTCTTCACAGACGATCTAGACCAACTGATCAAAACCATATCCCTAGCTGCGGACGCTGTGTCGATGGGCGCTGAGGCGTGCGAAATGATGAGAGATCTGAGAAACTTTATGCGAGACGATCTTGATGTCGATGTAAGCGACCGTCGTCTGGTGAAAGCCACAAGGCTTTTGAAAGTCAGTGCTGCGTGCCACGGCAGGAAACAGGTGGACCCTCTGGACTGCTTGCTGCTTCAACATATTGTATGGAAGCTACCTGAACAACGAGCCGCTATCAGGGAATGGCTTTGGAGCCGTGTTACACCTGGCAGTAGCGGATTATCAATAGCTACGCTGGAAGACGAATCTCTCGAGTCGGCAGCGGCTTCGTCTGTACGGCAGTTTCGAGTTCTACTGGATGGCCTACGAAGCCAATCGTTGGCAGCAGTAAGGAAAACTTCTGGGGATGTCACTGGGGAAAGTGGCGGTAGGGCCACTGACGTGGAAGTGATTCAGTCTCTGGCCTTGGAAGCCTCCCGCATTGGGGCAATACTACAGCAGCGATCAGCCGATTTAGCAAGGCATGCAGAGCTGCTGCGACGTGCACAAGATCACTTGTGGCTTGATCCTGACGAAGCCACAGCGGCAAAGCAACTGCTTCTCCCCAGAGCAGAAGCGTTCTTGCAAGCAAATGATCAGGCTTTGGAAGATGCTCTGTGCTTGGAACGAGCTCTCTCCGGGAAGGATGAAACTCTTTTGACAGATGATGTCCGCCTTTCAATCATTGATGAGCTATGGAATGACGAAGGTGAAGCACCACTGTCCTTCTCGAAAGAAGCGTTGGCCATGACCATGAGAGAAGCAAAGAGCAAGTACGACATCGAAACGTTTCGCAAGTGGAAACGAGCCCGAAAGAAAGCGGAAAGTTAGTTGCTCGAACAATCTCAGTAGATGACAGATTCAGGGCAAGATCTGCAACTTCGCCGCAGTCTGATTTTGATGGTCTAATGAACTCCCGGGCCTAATCCTGTTACCAGGAGTTTCAGAAACGATTTCCATGTGTTTTCCTTCGTATGATAGTGTAGCTTATGCATAGTACGAAGAGCTTACAGCTGGCTAGTCCTCACCAAGTCACAGGGAAATGTTCGGAACCAGGGCAGCCATTCTCGTGAAGATACTTCATAATTTCTACTAGATGGCCTCCTCTTTCCGCATTGGTACATGTGATTTCATCCCATGGACATCCATTTTCATGCGCATATTTTAGGATTTCCAAATGTCCATTTCTAGCAGCTTCACTGCATGTCAAAGTTTCCCAAGGACAACCATTTTTGTGAGCATATTTGAGGCATTCCAAATGTCCCTTCTTCGCAGCATTGGTACATGTTTCTTCATCCCAATGACAGCCATTTTCGTGGGCATATTTGAGGCATTCCAGATGATCATTTTCAGCAGCAGCAAGGCATGTGATTCGATCCCATGGACACCCATTTTCATGGGCGTACTTGAGGCATCCCAAATGACCCTTTCTAGCAGCACCATAGCATGTGTAATCATGCCATGCACAACCGTTTTCATGGGCATATTTGAGGCATTCCAAATGGCCATTTTCAGCAGCACCAATGCATGTGAGTAGAGCCCATGGACAGCCGTTTTCATGGGCGTACTTGAGGCATCCCAAATGGCCATTTTCCGCGGCCCTGAGGCAGGCAGAATCACGCCACACACAACCGTTTCCGTGGGCATATCTCAGAATTTCCAAATGACCATTTTCAGCAGCACCAATGCATGTGTCTGAACCCCATGGACAGCCATTTTCGTGGGCGTACTTCAGGCTTTCCAAATGTCCATTTCTGGCAGCACTGCTGCATGTGCGTGTATTCCATGGACAGCCCAGTCTACGGGCATATTTGATGCATTCCAATTGGCCATTTCCAGCAGCAGCTGCACATGTATCAGCATTCCATCGACAGCCATTTTCATGTGCATATTCTAGGATTTCCAAATTTCCATTTTCAGCTGCCTCGTGGCATGTGTTTTCATCCCAAGGAAAATCGTTATCGAATGCAAATTTTACGACATGTAAGTGACCATTCTTGGCAGCATCACTGCATATGGCTTCGTCCATATTGAATCCCTTGTTTCTGGCCCATTGAATAGCTTGAATACAACCCGCTCTGGCAGCTGCAGCACAAACCATGGCACCATCAATCTGCCTTCCAGACCCAGTACTACGGTGCCTGTACCAATACTCTGCTCGAGAAGGACTAGAGAAGACTGCTTCGAGGAGAGTATCCGTGCTGGATATTGAGACCTCTTGGCATCTATCGGTGTCCTCATGGTATTCATTTGACTTTGGAGGATTCTCCACAGCTCCACAATAAGCCGAGTAGAGATCTTTCATTTTGTGGCTGACCGGAGCCACAAAGGCAAAATGTCCCATGCCCAAAAACGGGAAGATCTGGTTGGTCCACATATCCTCGTGCCGCAAGCTGGACTCATCATTTTTGGCAAGCCTGACATTGGTGGTTGCCTGTTGGACAACTGAATTCACCTGTTTTTGTAAGGTCAAGGCAATCTCAAGCTCGTGTGCTGCATCTGTTTTGCTTCCACCTGTGCTGCTGATGAATTGGAGTTGCTGAAGGAGAGAGGACAGGGCTCTTGACGCATCTTGACTAGAAACCTTGATAGATTGTTTTGCTCGCTTTTGTGGATCGGGTGATGCTGAGCCACAGTTTGATAAGGCTCTCTTGCCAATGTCTCCCTCCATCTTTGTTTGCTTGATATCTTTAGGTTAAGTTATGGTGCTGCGGTGTGCCAGGAGGATGTGTTGTGTGTGGCACAATGGCGGCGGTGTCGCGGTACCAGTGCCAATACCGTATCTTATTAGACTAGCTAGCTAGTATTTCGTCTCCCGGAGACGATTTGCTTTTAGGGGTAAGGGTACTGATGGGGAGTGGAGGTTTGAATTATACCCCGCGTGCATTACTTAGAGGCCTCTGTAGAAGTCTACGTATTCGACTAGTATTGTATTGACGGGATACAGTCAACGCATGTACATGCACATGAAAGTCGCCTTGCGTTCTTCACATTTTTCACATGAATGAGGGATCACATTTTTTGCATGAATGACGAGGGAGCCGTTGAGCCGTTTCGGGGCTCGGGGCGAAGCAGAGAAAGGGATGAGCGCGCGGAGGGTTAGGGTGAGCGCGCGAATACCAGCAATAAACCTCATTGACCGCCGCAAAAATGGTGAAATTCGTAACCAGGTACCAGCAATAAACCTCATTGACCGCCGCAAAAATGGTGAATTTCGTAAAGTTGGTGACAGTTGAATTCATCGCCAAAATTGTTACAATAGCGCTTCCACCTGGTCAACAACACCAACAGTGAGTAGATTGTAGTGGCAGGTTGCGTCAGAACTGTTGTTGTTGTTGTTGTTGTTGTTGTTGTTGTTGTTGTTGTTGTTGTTGTTGTTGTTGTTGTTGTTGTTGTTGTTGTTGACTGCTTGCAAAGGAAGAGTGTTTTCGAGTCTTTTCTCAATGGGGGTTCGTCGTGCTTTTTACTAGTGAAAATTTTTACGAAATTCGTGCCGAAAAGAAGCCACAATGGCGACAACTCGAAGTGGAAGTTTCTACGATGTCACGGTGGCTCCTGGAAGCAGGAAGACGAAAGAAGTCACTGGCCGAATGATTCAATCGATCCGTCTCTAAGCGAAGCTCTGCATAGAGTAGTAGCGTAGTAGCCGCTTGTTGCAAGCGTTGCTCCGGCCGTAGAAGAGGAGGCGCCATGGTCGCTCGATGGAAGAAGAACCGAATCTTCAATGAATCGATCCGTCGAACAGAAGCTCCTGTCATGGACCGATCGTCCGATCGTCGAACGGCTGCCGCTGCCGCTAACCAAACAAGAGGAGCCTGTCATGGTGGTGGAGTACATGTAGTAGTAGCCGTGAAGCAAAGCTCTAGGAGTAGCCGCCGTAAAGAAGAGGAGATAGCATCATCTTGATAGAGTTGATCAGTCGAAATAAATGAACGAAAGAGGAGAATACGAGTGGCTTTCATGTTTATCAGTCGGCGGCCATCCCTCGTTGGTCCTCTCTTTACGTTCGTGGGAATGAATGAACAAAGGCCATATCCACAGCTGCAACATCATTTTTCCACATTCTGAGACAATTCCTATGGCTATTTGCTGTACCAGAAGATGGAAAATTGAACTTGTTGCTAGTCTAATGGCTGTTGTCTAACAAAGGTTAAGAGAGAACCAACAGTCGGAACCTCTCCGACTCGACGACTGACTCTCCGTCGCACGAAACAAGGCAGTCAGTTCCATAAATTACACCATCGAACAGCGAAAGCTATGTCCTTTTCTTTCCTCCTCGACAATGGCCGAAACACTCCACAACAAGGACCGGTCGATCGTCGGCAACAACAACAAGAGTCAGTAGAAGCGTTTGCGGTAGCCGTAGCTGTAGCGGTTGGCTCCTTGTGTACTTCGTCATGGTCGGATAATTGCTGGTACTGTTTCAATAAAGCGAGTTAGGTGTTGGTAATAAAAGATTTATGGAAACGGAGACGAGCCAGGAGGCATATGAATTTTACATGTAACAGAAGCAGAAATAATAATATTGCAGGATCCGTTGTCTTTGGCGCCTTTTCCGACCACCAGAAAGAGAACGACATTCGTTGCTTATTGTGTATTGTTGATCAGGCACCAGCACTCACATCCATTCATTCGATCGTTGCCCTCAGTGCCTGCTCAGCCAGTGAGTGAGACAGCTTATACTTTCGTACCTTATCCTGAAACAGTGTGACAGTTGAAGGCTTCCCTCTTACCGAAAAGATACCGGTGGATTAGCAGAAGAAAAAATGACGTCTACCAATGACGACCTTTCGGATGGCCCTTGGACTTGCAGTTCCTGTGGCGAAACCAAGGCTAGTGAAAATTTTTCCAGTCGTCAAGTCAAGCTCGCGAAAAAGGGCAAAGAGGCCAAATGTCAAAGTTGCAATGACGAATTGACCCAAGCACAGAATTCCAATGATGATGTCGATGTCGAGGATACGAAGACGGGGAATACAGATGGGGAAGACTCGACGGAAGAGAAGGATCCCGAAAAATCTCCAGAAAAGGCAGAGAAAGAGGACATGGAATCAGAAGCAGAAGAGACTGGATCCTCAACTGGGAAAGAGCAAACGGAATCTAGTAGTAGTAGTAAACAGGACGATGATGAAGGCGATTTTGTGGATGAATCAAAGCTATCAAAAAAGCAAAGGAAACAGATGAAGAAAGAGCGCAAGGAGGCCAAGAAAGAACGCAAGGAGGCCAAGAAAAGGGCCAAGAAAGAACGAAAGAAGAGAAAAAAGGACAAAAAGAAAGGAAAAAATGACACTGAGTCTGCGGGATCTTCGTCATCCTCCTCAGTCCCTACCGGCGAAGATCCCAAACCAAAATTCTCAGATGACGAAGGTTTAGCCAAATTCTCGGATGAAGATAAAGCCAAATTCTCATCAAATGATGAAGAAGATAAAACCAGATTCTCGGATGATGAAGAACAAGCCAAACAGGCCAAATTCTCGGATGAAGATGACGACGAGGGAGAAGCAAAGTTTTCAGAGGATGAACCAGACGCCAAATCTCCAAACCAGAAGGAGGAAACCAAGACCAAAGCCAAGTTTTCCAGCGAGGAAGATAATGCGGCATTTTCGGATGTGGACGAAGAGGCACAGTTCTCGGCGAATGAAGAAGATGAAGAAGAAAAAGCTCAGTTTTCAGACGATGACAATGCACAATTCTCGGATACGGAAATGAAGGAAGCATCCACTGACAAAGACAAGAATGCGAGCAGCCCACAAGAAGAAGACAAGAAGGACGCACTGCAGATTCCACGAAAGAAAAAGGCTCCTCCGCAGGAACCAAAGGACAGCAACAATGCTACCGGTTCTTCATTGATTGCCAATGTAGAACCGGCAAAACCAAAACCCAAAACAATTGGCATGATGGACATTGACGACGAAGATGATGACGGCCCAGACGCAAACGAGGAGGAGGAAGATGAGTATGGAAATAATGATCAGTACGACAATGGGGGCAGTGTCTCGGTCAGCCAACTCAAAAATCGCATCCTGGGGCGCCAAATACGTACGCACGACGACGATGATGAAGACGATGAGGAGCATCGCGACAACCTAGCGTCCCAACAATATTCAACCACACACAAAGTATCTCCAGAATTGCGAAAGGAGCTTTCTTGTGCCATTTGTCACGAAGTCTTGCTGCATCCAGTTTCGCTTCTATGCGGACATTCCTTTTGTCAAGAATGCATAAAGTGGTGGTGGCAACAATCTACAGCCAATGACAGCGCCAAGAAGAAGAGCTGTCCCACCTGTCGACAAACCATGCCGCTCTCCAAGAAGGAGACGGAGCTTGGGGTCAACATGGCACTGCGCGCATGTGTCGTGGCCTTGCTAGGGGATGATTTGCAAGCTCGTCTGCAGGCAGAACGAGAGGTTAAGAAAAAAGCAACAAAAGGTGAAAATGAAGGAGCCCACGACGCTGGATATGAAGTCTTAACAAGTGTACAATCTGACGGATGGAAGCAAAGCAAGCGGATTCCATGGCCCTGTCGACGGTCCATTATTCTGGACGCAGAAGATCAACGCATGCAGTTGGCACTAGGACTATGGAAAGATTCGACTGGAGGTGGCGTTCGTTTCAATGATCGGGAGCAGTCTCTGCAGGTCTCGCTCTGTCTTCTCTCCATGGAGGAGGATGAGGTCGCGGATACTGGCTTCCCGCGAATAGTCGATGACGAGGATGACGAGGACAATGATCATTTACTTGTGACACGGAATGGTGGACGTTTTGTTCACTCCTTTGTAAGAGCCATGGTCAAGCAGCAGTCTGGAGGCACTATTCCACTAGGAAGACGTGGCATCACAGCAGAAGGAGTGTGTGCCATGTCACTAGATCTGTCGAACGTGAACCTCTCTGCCAGTGGGGCTACAGTTGTTTCCTTCCAGCATGAAGAATCTGGTGCCACACTAGAATTGAGAGTAGCCAGCAATTCACCGAGAGCAATGGCGAAACCGCCGGGAAGATCAGCTTCCACTGCATTGGAGCTGAACGATGACGACGATGAAGAAGGCGATGAAAAGCAACATGATTCCGAGGAGGATGGGTCGCATATGGACCGGTTCGAGGATGACGGATTCATTGCAGACGAAGGTGAAGAAGCGGAAGAAATCAATGACGAGAACGACTTGTGCGCAATTTGTGATGAGGGAGGTGAACTTATTATTTGCGGCGCCGAAGAAGTCGAGGGCTGTGAACGCTCGTTCCATATAGCTTGCGTCAACCATGATGTGGTACCTCCTGGAGATTGGATCTGCCAGGACTGTGCCCGCGGTGCCGGAATCGAAGTTGGAATCGAGGGCTACGAGTTCCCATCCGCCCTGGACCAACCATGCTCGGGGTGCAAAGGAGAAGGGGCCCACATTGTTTGTAATGGCGGCGACACCGTCGCAGGCTGCGGCTCAGCGTTTCATCTCGGCTGCGTCAATCGAACGGCAGTGCCGAAGCGCGATTGGATTTGCAAGAAGTGTGCTCGCGAACTGACTCTAGAAGTTGGCATTGAGGGCCATGAGTTCCCAGCTGATGGAGAACCTATTAAGCTCAGTGATGACAATGCAGACGAAGAGGCCGATGACTTCGGCGAGGACTCGCCGGCAACGAACAAGAAGCGAAAGCGTTTGGGCAAATCAGAAGATGTCATCAAGATTGATTCAACCAGTGATCACAGCGATGAGGACAAGAAAGCAGACGAAGATGCCAATGCCCCAACAAGACGTCATATTGGGGATGACAATGATTCCGACGACGAGGAATTGGAGGTTCTCCTGCCTAATCAGAGCGAAGACGACAAGAAAGCAGACGAAGATGCCAAGGTTGCCAGGGCTGCGATGAAACGACATATTGGGGACGACGATGATTCAGACGATGAGGAATTGGAGGTTCTTCCGTCGAAACCAAAGAAGCGTAGTCGAGTTCTTGAGAGTGACGACGAAGACGAGTAACTTATTTTAAAAATCATTCGGGTTTGGTTTCGACTGGTCGTTGATCTGTACCATGAGCGATGCGATACAGCCCAGATCACTTTGCTGCGCTATGATGCGGGATGTTGTTGCCGTGCTTCTGTCTTTGGGAGTTGAGGGCTCTAGCTAGCTAGTTACCGACAGCGAGTCCCAGTGTTGGGATGTTGGACCTTAACCAATTAAGCAAAAGGAGAAGGTATGGTCGTCGCACTAAAAGAGTCGTGCTGACCCAACAGTTTGGGGGCTGCGCCTTCAGCCAGTCAAACGAATCGAATCCAAAAGTCTCTTCCCTAAATTACTCACTACTTTTACTTCCTAGCTAGCTACAAAACTACAATAACTCACTCCCTCGAACTGACTACCTACCGTACCGTGCAACGGAGGCCGTCTCCGATTCGGGCTCACTGGACTCGCCTTCGTCTTCCGCCGTCCCAATGACTTGACCACGAATATCCTCCAACATTCTGGCAATTTCCAGGCTTTCTCGCCACGTAAACTCGGGACATTCCAAAGCCCCCTCTCGCAATGCCTTGCCGACTCCCTCGATTTGATAAGTAAAGCCAATCGAGGAAGCATGGTCCCATGATGCAAAGGAATCATCGGGGAGTGGGAATTCCAAGATTTGGGCACCATCGTTGTTGTACAATTGAATTTTGGATGGCACGTGATGATTTTCTAGGACGATTCTGCCTTTGGTTCCTTGAAAGACGGCCCGTTCTTCCGTGCTGGCTTGCCCCGTGACATGAAATTGAAGGAATCCGTTGCGGTTGTGCTCCATTTGACAACTGACCAGTGCCGTATGATCGACAGGATGATGTTGCATTGTTGTTGGTTGTTGGGTGATACCCATGGCGGATACTTTGTAAAAGGAATCCCCTTCATACGCCGCCAGACCCAGCTGTGCCATGTACATGGCCACATCGTAAATCATGCCTCCCGATGCAGGGAACCAGATCCGATGATGTTCGTCACATCCTTGTGTGGACCAACCAAAGTCCCCCGAGACCATTACGGGTTGTCCAATAGCGCCATCGGCAATGAGTTGTCGTACCTTCTTCATGGCGGGAAAGAATCTGGACCACATGCCTTCCCTGTTGCATAATCAATTGGTGTGGAGTGAAGGAGTTTGAGAAATGATGGCAAGATGGTTACAAACAATACACGGAAAGAAACGAGTTTCAGAAACCAACATGAAATCAAAAGTAGAGGCTCCAACTTACAGAAAGAAGACTTGATTGCGCTTGGCCAGATCAATCAATTCTTTGGTTTCCTGGAACGAGGTCGTCAATGGCTTTTCCACCACGGTGGGCTTGTGGTGTAACAGAGACATTTTGGCCAACGGAGCGTGGGTATCGGCAATGGTTCCAATGTAGACCACATCGACATTGGGATCCTGAATGAGGTCATCGTAGCTTCCATAGGATTGTGGAATGTCATGATTTTTCGCAAATTCCGCAGCCTTGGATGCCGATCGAGCGGCCACGGCGGAAATCTGTGTGGTTGCAAGCGCACGAAGAAAGATGAAGCGAAGAAGATTTCAGGTACGGTAGACAGCCATCAGCGGACACTGTCTTCTTCTGATCTGAAAGAAGTTAGTGGAATGAAATGATTGATCTCACCTACCTCTGCTCCTTGGGTAAAGTTGACAGCCTTGGCAAAATCCTTCGAAATAGATCCAGCTCCAACAATACCCCACCGAATTGGTTTCGAGGCGTCCTCCACCGTCGTCAGAGTACGAGCATTGGCCACTTTGGCCCTTCGGAGCAGAGTTGACTGACGCTGACGAAGCAACAATCTAGGAAGCATCATGGTTGGAATCTTCATCATGGTACAGTGAGTATTTGAATACAATGCAGAGAGGGATGGAGAGATCAACAGAGTGGCAAGGAGCGTTCAAGAAAGCCAACGACCAACGACATACACTGTACGCGGATTTCAAGAATTTCGTCGAAGGCCAGCAAGCCATTTTGTTTCGACCACGTCATTGTGGAGGAGGAGCAGTACCGTATGCAATAAATCAAATGAATCCTTGGTGTGAAGTTTGCTCAGTCGGGGAAAGGAGAGCAACCCCAGACTGATGCCTTTTGCTTTGATCTTTGGCTTTGATCGCTGTCTTCTCACAAATCCAACAAGACCCCACAAACATCCGCAAAAGAAACAGAACAACAGAACATGTCCTCCACAACCACCCTTACCATCACCAGCCACCAAAAGCGCCCAGCAGCAAACCACCACGCCACCCTCGCAGCGAAAAAGCAAAAGACTGTCATAACCCTCGCCGAATGCGACGTCAATCAACCCCTTTTGGATGCCCTCGATGATTTGGCCGCTGCCATGGCCACACAGACCCGCTTTCGTTACCAAGCCGCACAGATCCGCAAGGTGGTGGCGGCTCTGGCGGATTTGAAAACTCCCATTACGTCGGGAACGGCGTTGGCGTCTGGCAAACAAAAGATCAAGGGGCTTGGCAAGACTACGGCTGCCTACATGGATGACTTTTTGTCCACGGGCACAATTTCTGCCATTCAGGAAATCAAAAATAACAAGACCAGCAGCAACAGCAAGAAGGAAACTCCCACAAAGACAAACAGCAAGAAGAACAAAAGCAGCAATAATAACCAGGCAGAAACAATCCAGATTGACGACGACAACGCAACGGGCAACATCATCCACATCAATCGGGCTCCAATTTTGGCCTTGTGGGCCACCGTTGTCAGCCAACGCCAAGGATACACCCGCGAGGAAGCCTTGACACATGCCAAATGGATTCAAGTGGTTACGGCACGAGCCAAAGGAAAAAGTTTGGGCAAATTTGGTGGTGGTGGAGGCGGCAACAACCAAGGCGGCAACAACAATGACTCCACAACCACCAAAGACACCTCTGTAAATGTATGGTCCAGGATGAATATCCCCGTCGAGTCGTCGGTGGCGGGACGTCGCTTTGCCGTCATGAGTGACGGAGCCATCGATGCAGCAGCCATGGAACGTTACTTGAAAAAGGCGTTGGGACATGATTTGGAAAGGATCCAAGAGACCTTTTGGAAGTTGGCAAACAGCATGGACCCTATTTCTCTGCGAAAGCAAGCCTTTGATTTGTACGTTGAGATCCGCCCCGATTGGCAGGGGTGGGGCAAAGCAGGCAAAATGGACCTTGACAAAGTTTGCGCCCTCGTCGATCTAAACAGTAAGAAATAGAGACGCAAAATACCAACCACGCAAAACCACAAAAACAAACCACAAAAACACGGACGCATTGTAGATTTTTAGGCGGCGCGCCAGCAACAGCAGCACCCTGCTGCGTTCATTGTATTCTCCACGGTGATCTCTACCATGGCGACGGTATCCCAGGGGACATCTCCAGAGAAATCAGTACTGGTAGCATAATCAAAAACGAGTTGATAGCAAAAACTGTTGTGATGTTTGCCACAAACTACTCAACTCCACGACCAACCACACGATCAACCCAAGAATGAGATAGTTGTTGACATTCCTTCAATAGGGGGTTCTACATAACATCAATTTCTCTCTCGACAATTGAATTCTTTCCCAATCTCCGGGATCGATCGCTTCATTAGTGTCATGCCAAATCAAACTACACGACTGGTTGTTCCCAATCTGGCATGGCATTGCTATCTCGTTTGGTTGGGTCTCCTCCTGCAGTTTCTTCGGTTTCTTCTGGTTCTGGCTGCATCCACAAATGTCCCCACGGATTTCCATCGGAATCTACATCATCGTCCAAAACCACCCCACGTCCTCCAACAATCCCTCCTGGTGTCACGGACAATAAGGCTTCCCGGAGGCCATAATAGGCTTCCTTTCGGTCAAAATCTTCGTCAAAAACGAGTGGTTCATCATCGTAATAAAAGGAATGCACCCACGTGTGTCGATCGGTAAATCCCCAGAGCCAAATTCCGTCAAAACAGGCTTCCGACAAGGCGGCTGCTAAAATATCGTGATAAATCTGTCGTTGGGCAATCTGCCGCAGATTGGGTGCCAATTTAGAGACGCGGACATCCATTTCACTAATATTGACGCGCAATCCCAATTCTCCCAATCGATGAATCTGTTGTTGGACCATGCGAGGCGTCGGGACGCGGTTGCGTCCCACACCGGCGGCATTGAAATGTGCCTGAATGCCACAGCCGTGGACAGGAATTTTGCGATGAGTGAGATCCCGGAGCAGATTGTAGAATCCTTCACTCTTGAGGTGATTGGGGGAATCAATGCCCATACCTTCTACCTTGTTGTCATTGTATAGCAAAATGGCGTCAGGATCGGCTTGATGGGCCCATTGGAAACATTCTTCAATGTAGGTTGGTCCCAACTTGCGTAGAAAAATGTTGGGTGCCAGTGTCCCATCCGGCGCCAGTGCTTCATTGACCACGTCCCATACAAAGATGCGTCCTCGGAAATGTCCCATGGTGGTGAAAATGTGTCGTCGCATGGCTTCTCGGAGTTGCGCGGCCGTCATCGTCTCCAAAAAAGGCGTGGGACTCGTGACGGCCCAAATCAAGACGTGTCCCTTGACTTTAATGTTGCGTTCCAACGCCCAATCGACCATTTCATCGACCACTCCAAAATCGTAGCGGCCCAATCGATCCGTGACGGGAATTCCGTCCGGCAAGGGCCCTGGTTCGGACGTGCAAAGCGGCGCCCATTTCAAATGGTGTTCAATCACAATGGCCGTAAATTCCGTTTCCACAAATCGCGCGTAACGAGATTGTTGTGGTGCCGAAGGAGCCAACTGATAGCCATCATCGTTTTCTTCGAGTACTTGCACGACTTCGTCCACATCCGGATGCAACAGCAATTTGGGCATGACGGCCGTTCCCATGTCGTATTTCTTGCAGGCACGACGCACCACCTTTTTCAACGGGGGACCGTCAAATTCACTTTCATCGTCGTCCGTCGTCTCACGGCTATCTCCGTCCACACTCACATCGCGGCTGTCTGTGGCAACGTCCGTGTAATGGCCACGATTGGAAATATTAATGTTGGGCACTGTCGCGACAATGGGGTCGACGTCGCCACCGAGGTTGAGCAAATCGGCGCTCATTTTGATTCTGTCTAGGTTGATGTACTACCGTACTACTACAACAAACTGGATGGTAAAGCTAACGGCAACACTGGCTACTAGTCTGGCTCTACTAGCTAGCTGGCAGGACAGAGCTCCAAGGCAAACAAGCCGTCGATCGAAAGAACAGACTTTATGTTGCTGTCAAGCAAGATGTCAAGATCCAAGACAAAAATGATCGCTTGAACCATTCAGCAGAGCTGTGATGGCATCAGTGACAACAGGTGGACGGAAGAGTCGAGTGACAGTCGAGTCAGAGTTGCTGGCGGCAAAGCACCCACGGATCATTAGAATGGTACTGTAGACGAAGAGGGCGCTCTTCCTCGTTGAGGTCCTTCGACATCAAGCTAGCAATGACATTGTAGGAACAAAGGCAGGCATTCACTGTAGCCGTAGACATGATGATAGAGAAGTTTAATTAATAAAGCAGGTTGGCTATAGCTTCGTTTACTACATGCAAGTGTGTAATACAGACAAAAATGTTCCCCTTCTGGTTAGATGCATGCTTTGCCGACAATCATCCGGCCATTTGGAGATTACTAGATCTCCAATTCATCATCGTATCCCTCCGTTACCGGTGCTGTCTGCTGAAACTGTGTGGACGGTTGGTCTTCTTCGAACGATTCCTCCACCACTGGAAATGTTGCACCCAAAAAGTCAACGTCCCCAGACAAGTGGGATTCTACGACACTGCTGGACAGCACACTGCTTCGAACCGAAGGATCAGAGACAATGTCAACCCAGTACGTCTGCATAGCACCTTTCCCTTTGGCTTCCACCTTGTCTTCTCGGGCTGTCAACCAACGATCCTTTCCAGCGGCAATCAGCAGGTCTGCGGTGGTTTGAGAAACTTGCATTCTTCCTTTCTGACCATTGGATTCCATTCTACTGGCCGTGTTGACTGAACAAAGAGAGCGAAATAACAAAGCAAGAAAGAGTTAGTGGTAAGCCAAGGTTGGATTCATCCAATCTCTACACTGCACCACCATGAGAGCTTGGCATTTGTAAACGTACCAGTGTCTCCAAACAGCTGGAAACGAGCTTTTTCTCCCCTCAACACTCCAGCCTATCATACGGTATCAACAAAGACGAAAACACATTGTGAGCATCTTGGTACATACATAATCACCAAAAGTTGGCTGTTTTGTTGTCTTCTGGACTCACCGTCACGGGCCCACTGTGCATCCCAACTCTCATTTCCAAAGTTGATGTGTCATCCCCCAATGTCAACAGGAGGTTTTCACTATTGATGATTTGATTCATCTTGACAATGCAGTTGGCTGCAAACTTGGTCATGATGACAGCATGGTCTTCTTGAGGTCTGGGTAAGCCAGTCACCTAAACAGGAAGAAAAGATGATGAAGCATGAGTCAAGACATCAAGATGACATTGTTCTTAGACAGTCGTGTCAGGAACTTACTGCAACATAGCAGTCGCCAATTGTCTCGACTTTAAAGATGGAAAGCCGTTTTGCAATCTTGTCAAAGGCACCATATAGAGTCTCCAGAAGCAGGAAGACTTCGGAAGGAGTACGGGTGGAGCTCCATTTGGTGAATCCTTTGAAAGGAAGCATTGGGGTAAAGATGGTTAGACCCAGAAGCAGTAAGAGAAACGGCGAGACACAAGAGATTGACCCCCGCTTACCAGCCAGATCGGCAAAGAAGACAGTGCAGTTCAGGTATTCATCTGCAATGGGGCTGCAGCCATTCGCCAGGGGGGAGCCGGTAGTTGATGAATCAGCTGATACAAGAGAGCTTCTTGCAAGAGCGCTGTTTCCAAGTCTGGTTCCGTGTTTGTTGGCTGAATCTGTACCATTTCCATCTGCTTCGTACAGGCGTTCTCGGACAGCCTCTGGGAAGAGCTTGTTCACCACATCACTGGTCTGCTTGGCTGTTTTCATGACAAGTCTTTGGCGCTTTTCAACAAAGTTATCATACAGAAGAAATACCACCACAGTGAAGGCAAACACGCCAAAGATAGAAAGTGCAATGATCCATGGTCCGTTTGTGATATAGTCATCCTCCATCTCTTGGGATGGGTACAAGCTGAGCCTGTAGAAACAGCCACCAGTGTCTCCGTGGCGTGCTTCAGGATTTCGCTGAAGGAAAATACCGTAGTCGGTGAACTCCCCCATTTCATCATACTTGGAATCATGTAGATCTCCGGGGCCGACGAATTTTGCATCACTCCCATGGATGGAGAATGTGAAAGATTGGTTGCATGTATTGTCAAGGACCGCCACGACGCCTTGAGCTTGTTCGGGAAGTACGTTTTCAAAGTACGTTTGCCAGTAGATGAAAGCATCCAAGACACCAACCAGAGACGCGTTCCGGTCGAGTGTATCGTAGACTGGAATGTAATAGTACGCCAACGGTCCGCCATCATAGTGGTTGCCACCACCTTGCCAACGTTCCAACAGCAAATCTAGGAAGACTGCTCCTCCTGATCCGACCTCAAACTCAAAGGTTGGTCCAGCCATGTTCCTTCTTGCGTCGTTTGCCAAGAATGCATCCAGCTCGGCCTTGGACTCTGGGAGAGTCCGAAAGTCGGCGTTCACAACTGGCACCGGAATCTGAGGCGTAAACTGCCAGCAAGGGAAGAACGGCCCCGGTTCATCAGTTACATAAACCAAATCTTCATCAGGACCGCTTTCTCGGAAAACCAGAACATCCTCAGAAAGGTGAAGACCCTCCGAGTCGTCGGAGTCGCCGTGGTTGTCAAAGTGTTCCACCCCAGTTGTGGTCGCGTTGTGACCCGTAAAGCGCTCCTGAAGCGCCATGCCTTCCCAATACCACTGCTGATTTGCGACGGAGTATCGTTCCCATTCTTTCAGATTCTCTCTGGTTACCAAAGGTAAGAACATGATGGCAATGACTTCGGCCAGTTCCAGCGTCAAGCGTGCCCTCATCTCAAAGTCAGGCAAGGTCACAAACGGAAAAGTTTCATTCGCAAAATTGGCATGACTTGTAATCTGTCGGGATAAGGAGACGATAGCACTCCTCTTGTTGGCTGCTTCTGTTTCAAATGTTTCAATGACCTGTGAAAGGAGGAAGGAATGCGCGGCAAGACTTGGTGAGAACTCTATTCGTTGCTCAGAGCTCAGGGCTCCACAGTCGAGCCTTCAAGAGAGCACGAGACCAATTGAGAGAGCCCTCTCATACCTTGGAAGCGTGGCTGTAAAAGTTGCCCTCAAAGTCCTCTTGCTGGCCTCGCTTGGTCAGAATATAGGCCACCAAAGAGACAGCCACGGCTGTTCCCACCAACAGACAGAACAAGAGGAGACGAAACTTTGCGACCCTTTTGGTCTCATCCTTGGCGAGGGAAACTTCCCCTTCCGAGGTGTCGTCAGCGCTCTTTGTACTCTCATTGTCCACATCGACAAAGACGTCTTCGTCAAAGTCCGGGGTGAACTGCGATGGTTTACTCATGTCCATGGTGCGAGTCAAATAAATGGGATTAGATGGGTCCTCGTTGTTTGCTTTTATGAGAGCGTCCAAGGTCCAAGAGAGACCATTACAGCAAAGAGAGTCAAGTCCCCAAACGCAGCCATGCATCACACCCAGACCACCACCACCAACCTCTTTTGAAGATTTTAAGTCGTGTGAAAGATTCAGTACAACAGTGTACTAGAGGCACCTACGGTAAGTTTATCCATCAATCGAAACAAAAGTGATGACCCCCAAGTTCTTGTTTCTTAAACAAAACGCCCCTTCGAATGAAGTCATCGAAAACCACACAAAGCAATTACCTTAGAAATTGCACAAAGCAGTGCCCATCTAGGTCATCTAGGGGCTTCTACAGAGCTCTTAGTTACCACTGGTTGAAAAACAGTAGTCAAAGCTGCTTCTTGTGTGTTCCTGGGGACAAAATGATTTAGAGTCAGATTCGTTTTTTTACGGGACATGACTCTTAGAGTCCACGTTCGACGTTCCAAAAATGGCCACGGAGGTGAAAAGCGAAAAAAAAAACCGGGCTTTGGGTTGTTTCGAGTTTCGAGGAGGATCAAGCTAGTCGTGAAGGTCCGACAGAGGGCGAGCACCTCTCATCAAGCAACTGGGTGGACGGATGGACCCGATGTTACCAACCGCCGACTTGCCAGCTAGCAAGCCCCCTAACGCTCGAGTAGGCCTTGGATTGGTTGGGAAAGTGAACAGACACATGTACGGTTCAATGCTTTCTGCTTTGACAAAAATGCCAGGGCCGGTTGAGCTGGCTCTCGAGGACCCGTTTCCCTTTTGCGGTCCCCAAGAACCCAAGATCGCAATCTTGGCAAATTTGCTCGATGGGAGGCGGAGCGGAGGCGGGCAAAGTCCTCTCAACCAGAGGTACAGGCAGCATACCGCCCGGTACGCAGCCTGCCTTCTTCTGGATAGCAAGACGTTGAACTAGCTAAACGAGCGAGATGCCAGCTCTGCGATTGATCCTTCACTCCATGGTGCGTCAGGTCAAAGATCTTTTTAGTCGTGATGGGGTGGCAACTCCAGAGCTAATGGTGAGAACGAGCCGAGGCGGATCTTTGCCTCAAAGCAAGAACCACCTCTTCCGAATGGGGCCCTCCCCTCGCCGTTGAGCACCCCAAGCAACAGTTCGATCGTACCAATACCGACGACGAGTCCCCATGATATGTTGCTCCACGTTGGAAAAGTCCCCGGCCCTCGTTTGGAACTGATGAGCAACGAAAACGGGTGAGCTGAGACTTAGCCCATGATCTCGTGCGAATCACCACACCAAATAGGTGTACGAGAAGTTGCGTATGCACTCCAACTCGCACCTTCGTGGCCCAACGGCGCCGTCGAAAACAGTTTAGCACCAAAGAACCCTTCGAATCCAACTTGATAAAAAGGATAAACCTATTCCTAAGCACTTACTTAGACAATATCAGACAACATCAAATGGAAAGCTCATCATCAAACCTTGGCTCGTGCCTTTCTCCTCCAGGCATCGCCTGTTCTTTATCTTCATCGATTGCCCGGCCCAACTGATTATTGAGGCTGGGAGTTGAGCCCACTTCCACGCTGGAAATCATGCTACCTGTTGTGCTGCCGGCTCCTGCAGAAATGTTCACCCAGTAAGTTTGCATGGAGCCTTTCCCTTTGGCTTCAACCAAATCTTCCCTCTTGGTTAGCCAGTGGCTCCTTCCAGCAGCCACCAATGAGTCGGCAGTGCTTTGAGAAACATGAATCCGGCCTTTCTGACCATTGGATTCCATCCGACTGGCTGTGTTGACTGATCCAAGCAAACAGGAGGAAAGGGTTGGATGTGAGTCAGAAATCGTAGCTTGCTGCATACAAGTACGGTACGAAGCTACTTTAGACATACCAGTGTCTCCAAATAGCTGGAAGCGAGCCTTTTCTCCTCTCAACACACCAGCCTAACAACGAAAGAAAAAAGACCAGTGTGAGCGTCATCATCAAAAGGCCAGGGCTGCCTTTCCCCACGCACCGTGACTGGCCCACTGTGCAACCCAACTCGCATGGACAGCTGGGCTGTGTCTTCCCCAAGCCTCAAGATGAGATCTTCACTGTTGATGAGATGATTCATGGCAGACATGGCTCTAGAGGCAAACTTGGCCATTACCGATGCATGGTCAGCACGAGGCCGAGGCAACCCCGTCACCTTTAATGTGCAAGTGAAATGGAAAGATGAATCCAACTGTCAAGCTGAAATCTGTTCAGATAGGCGCATCAACAACGTACCGCCACATAACAATCTCCGATTGTCTCGATTTTGAACACTCCAAGCCGCTTGGCAGTCTTGTCAATTGCTCCAAACAGTGTCTCCAACAAATAGAATACATCCGTTGGAGTACGAGTAGCGCTCCATTTGGTGAACCCTTCAAAAGCACAGGAGGACAAGACCATGATCTGAGACGCCAACATTGTTAGGACTTTTGTCCAACATGAAACGTGACTTACCTGCAATGTCTGCAAAGAGGACGGTGCAGTTGGGATATTCATCAGCTATTGGATTCACCCCCTCGGATGTTGTTGCCTCTGGTTGTAGCCATCTTTCAGAAGCCCGATTGAGGAATGATGACGAGCATTTTGCTTCCGCTTTGGCATCGTCATTGGCATAGAGACGATCCCTGACAGTTTCTGGGAATAGCTGGTTGACAACATCACTGCTCTGTACAGCAGTTTCCATGACCAGCTTTTGTCTTCTCTCCACAAAGCGGTCATAGGTCACAAATATTGCAGTAGTCACAAGGAAGACACCCAGCATGGCTAAGGCAATCACCAAGGGTTGGCTGGTCACATACTGGTCTTCCATCTCCTTGGACGGGTAGACTCGAATGCGGTAGTTACACCCACTGTAGCCATCGTAGGAAGAGGGCTCTCCCATCCCAGCTGCTTGTTGATCGTTTTTCACTACGAGTCCATACTCACTGGATGCCGACAGGTGATCATAGGTGGTATCGTGCATGTCATAATCTCCCAAATATTCTGCTTTCTTGCCGTCAATCCGATAGGAATAGGTTTGACCGCAGTCATTCTCGAGTGTTGCCATGATGCCCTTGACTCCTTCTGGAAGAAGATTGTCAAAGAAAGTTTCCCAAAAGATGAGACACTGCATAACTGCCACCAGGGGTGCGGTTGGATCGGCAATTCTTTCATAAACCGGTGAGTAGAAGAAGCTCAGTGGGCCTTTGGTGTATGCGTTGCCCCCCGCAATGTATCGCTCCAGGAACGCATTGGCAAACGCAGCCCGTTCGGCCCTATCGGTAAAGTCTTGGGCCAGCCCAACAATGTTTCTGCGTTCGTTCGAGTTGTAGTAGAAATCGAGCTCTCGTCCTGCAATTGGGGATTTGAAAAAGTCAATGTTGGACAATGGGATTGGAACTTGAGGAGAATACTGGCCCACGGGAAAGAAGGGCCCCTCGTGTGTTTCATTGAATGGGGCAAATCTTTTGCTTCCGTCATCGTTGAACCCATCCATTGTGATGATAAAGGGCCTGATTTTGAGTGTGCTAGCATCCCAATCGCTACCACGGTTCACTGCAGTACCCGTAATGTTATCTTGTCCACGAAACTTGGCCTGAATTGCCAGTCCCTCCCAGTACCAGTCTTGATTTGCAGCGGCATACGCGCCATATTGTCTGGCTTGTTCCTTGGTGACAAGGGGAAGGACCATGAGGGAAAGCAACTCTGCCAGATCTAGCACTACTCGTGCCTTGAGCTCAAAATCGGGCAGAGTCACAAATGGCCAGCTTTCATTGGAATGCTGCGCATGACTCGTCAAGGCAATTGCCATGGACGTAATGGCAGATGTCTTCTTGCCACTTTCAGTCTGAAACGAGTCGATGATCTTACAGTACAAGATACAAGAGGAGAGAGAAACAGAAGAGAAAACAGTAAGAAAAACTGACTTGACTCAGTTGGCTTTACAAGAGTCATTCTTCATTCCACCTCATACCTTATTGGCATAGTTCTCAAAGGCACTCTCAAAGTCATTGACCTCAGCTTCTCTGGTGGTAAAGTAGGCAGTAAGGCAAACAGCAATGGCCACAGCCACCAGCACAATCATGAGGACCACTCGCAATCCGGTGACCACCTTGGTCTCATCATGGGCAATCTCCACTGTTTCCTCCTGAGCCTTTTTGTGCTCGTCTTCATATTCAATGCTCATCATACTCAGATCCAACTGCTCGACATCCTTGTGGGGGTTGCTGCTGTCATCTATCATTGCGGTACCTTCTTCTTCTTTGGATTGATTGTTGTTTTTTATGACTTTTGTTGCACCTCCTCGAGTGAGTTGTAGTGGTGTTGGGAGCTGGGTTTTGGGTTTTGGGAGTGGGAAGTGCAGAGTGCCGAGTGCTCTTCTCCTCCCAATTCTACGCACAGCTGTACACGTTCCGGTATTGTAAATTGGTACTGTACCGGTACTGCCCTCATGTGTGTCAATGTGTCAATAGCTTCGATGCTTCGATCAATATGACTGTAATTCGAGTCACCTTTACGATTGCTCATTGTTTATGAAGGGCATTTCATTGGATGACTGTCAATGGTCAAACTCTCGAAATGGGTTAAATAAAGGCTAGCTACTACTACATGTACTGTAGTCATACGATTTTACGATTATTTTAGCAAAAAGTAGTAGACTATGGAGTAGCTAGTACTGTTGGATCGTTGGATCCAACACACTTCAGGATTCAGGAGCTCCCTTCAAGTGATCAAGTAACATGACAGCTGTTATGACCCGAAACATTCGGTTATTTAACTTTTTTGACGGGAAGAATGCAAAAACTCTCATGGAGGTATGGAGGTCCGGTAGTAGTTGCGTGCTTCAGAAAGAAGGCACGCTACGGATTGACGATGGCACCATACGAACTTATTTCGCTGGGGCCGTGTAACAGCTGTGTAACTCCAGCTGTATTATAACTCCATCGTCGTAACATCTGATTCTCATGACCGCTCATGGAGGACTTCTTTAATTCCCAAAGTGCTTCAAAGTTTCCTCTCCAGAAAATAGGAATTAAAGGATATTCCTGCTTCATCCGAAAGCGTTCCTCAGGCGAGGTCCTATCCAAACTCCATGTGTGTCCTCCGTGCATTCGCGAAACACATTTATTTTCGTCGATTTATTTAGGCGTACGTATCAAGATTTCATTCCTATCCATGTGACACACATACACGGTACGCGAAAGAAAATCATCCTTTTCTGTGAATACCGTGTGAGTACCGGTTTGCCAGGTAGTCCCGTTAACTCGGTGAGTTAGAGTGGGTGACTGACGTTTTCGGCAGCTCGGCAGGCTCTAACGTTCTGATTGGTCCTACGCGAAAACCATTTCCATGAAAGCTACGGTACGGCGAATTGAGAATGGGAAATCAATGGTTCGCCGTACCGCAGCTTTCGTGGAAATGGAGGGAAAGCAAGCCGCTTTTTGCCGTTATCTTGATTTCACGTACGTACGGAGGAAGAAAGAGGTGCAAATACCTGGTTAGGACCAACTCTCAAGTCTCTCGTAAACAGATCTACGTTCTGTAGCGTACTCTAGCTACTGTACCGGTAGCTAGTACCGCATCCTTTGATTCTTTGATTCGATTCCTTTGTTTCGATTGATCATTCGATTCGATTCAAGGTCTCCGAGCCTAGAGTACTACGACTGTACCGTGCCTAGGTGCCATTGAAATCTTTTCTGAGTTGGTCCCACAAACCTACTCTGCTCTTCTTTAACCCTTCCAGTGGTGTAAATGGAAGAGATATAATACGTACAATCAACATTACATATTTAACTCTTTTGTGTGGTCCCGCATCCTGTCAACAGACATTATTAATAGTCATTACCCAGCCAAGACGAGAAAGGAGAAAAGTAGAAAGATCCATGAGCCATGAGGACAGGAAACGGGAAACGGGGTGCAGAAGTGCAGAAGTCAAAGCAAGCATTTAGACATGTATTTTATTTTAGAAGACCGAAGATACCTTCATCCTTCATCCTATGTCATAGCTAGCTAGGCCTGGACTGGTACATGTAGCTTCAAGTTTCAACGGAAACAGTACTTTATTACTTTATTCTTTGAACACCCAGAGACAAGAATCTGCAAAAGGGAAAAGACTGGTGGTGGTTCATGCGTTCATGTGACTTTATGGGGGGGTTAGGCAGCAGCGCGGGGGAGGGAAAAAGAAAAGAAAGAAAAAAAGGGAGAGGGTTAAACTCCCAATTCCAATTCGAGAGCATGCCGGCCAAAGAACAGTGTCGAAAGGAGTCATTCGGAGACACTGAAACAAGATTGCATACTTATAGTTGGAGGGGGATCAGGCAATGACTGTATCATTACTATATATAAAATGGACATCTCCCCACTCCGACGTGTCGGAAGAACAGTGTAAGTGTCAGGAAATACGTCACAGAAGACGTCTTTTATCGTTGGTCTCGCACTGACTCCAGATTTGAATGGATTTGTTCGATCAACGGATACTCTCTTCTGGCTCGCTCTTTCCCATTCCCTCGCTTGCACCGAACCTTCCCATAATTCAAATCTCCGGATTGCTGTTGTGGTCGTCGTCGTCATTGTTGTTGTAATTGTTGTTGTTGTCGATAAGGTAAGAGAAAGGTTGACAATGAGGAATCAATCGGTGCTATTACTGTTATCTGCTACTGCTATTACTATTATCTAACATTGTTTCTCGGTCGCTCGGCTCCTCCAATATAGATCGATCGCTCGCTCCCACCATTGCTTTCTCGCTCGCTCCATTCCGCCGATTTGCAGCAACAACAGCAACGACAGCAACAAGTCAACAGCAGCAGCAGCAGAGCGACCGACCTTGACAACAACGAGCACTACTCCATTGATTGCTTGGCTAGTCTTCTTGTCTTGAAGTCAGCGACTACTTCGGTAGGGGCAAGACACCTGGCAAGAGGAATTTCGAGAGAGAGGAGATCGCTCCACGAAAATCAACAACAACAACAACAACAACAACATCTCGACCATGAGGATCACAGCTACTTCTCCCGCCTTCTCCAAGTGGCTGCAAAGTGTCAACAGATACCCATTCAATGAGCTGAGGGTAACAAGGCAAGGATTCAATTGCAAGTATGTCATTTGTGGGTACAACAGTGATGAGGAGGATAACTTCTGTTTGGCCACAACCAGCATGGAAGTGACCGTTCTTGAGGAGTTGATATTGCAAGGAGCATGCAAGCCACTTCCTCCTGCCATGACCGACATCATGGATTACATGTTAGCTTCAGGCCTTCAGAAAAGTCCAAAATGGTACAGAGCTGTCATCTCCACCCTCTCTGAAATGCTGGAGTCGCCGTCGCCACATCCCTGTGAAAGGAAGGACATCTTCATTGAGTGCATCTACTGGTTAGTGAGGGAAAGGGTCAGTGAGAGCTATGAGTTGTCCTCCCTCGAAGGACAGAGTGTGATGGATGCTTGGATTTTTTGGCACTTGTTGCACTGCAAAGGATTTCCTTCAAGAAATACGTCGAGATGAGTGAGACTATGGTTGTTGATTTCATTGGCATTGACTCAGATGAAGAGTGAGACTATGGTTGTTGATTTCATTGGCAATGATATGTAAGTTACTGCTAAATTAGATATGAAAGTATGTATCTCAATCTTTGTTGTTGCTACCCAGCAGAATATCCATTCCATCTAGCTTGGCAAGATCTATCATGTGTGGTCTTCCTCTCCTGTGTGTCAACCAATGGCAGTATTTGTGACAGCAACCATTCGGTGGAGGTTGCTGGAAAGGAGTGGCATATTGGTTGGAATTGCTGCTGCATAAGGCAAGTTGCTCATTTGAATCTGGTGTTGTTGCTGATAGAGAATCAGGTTACCAATGTAAGAATTTCTTGTTTGTGCTACAGGAGGAGCTGTTTGTGGTGGTGGATTGGGTGGTGGAGGTTGGAGCTGTGGAACCGGTTGTGGTTGTGGAACCGGTTGTGGTGGTGGAACTGGTTGTGGTTGTGAAGCTTCAACTGGACTGGTGCACAATGTACACAAGCAACAATCATTTGGTGAGTACTTCTGCCTGTGAGGTTTGAATCCAACAATGAAGTCTGAAAAGAATCGCTCTCCAGTGTCCTTTGGCAATGGCTCTGCATTTGGAAATGGCTTGTCTAGACCAACAGCTTGTGCCATTTCATTCAGTAAGATCTTTCTCTCTTTT